ACGTCGGCACGACGCACACTACAGTGTACTAGTACCGTACAGCAAATGGGGATGGTGCAAGATCACAAACTGCACGCATTCATTGCACCTACTACTCCTGGAGTGCAGTACAGTACTGTACACAGGGTTGTTGATATGCGTAAACATTGCGAGGCGAGCACTACAGTACTGGTAGGTGCTCCAGAAGTGCTGCAACAACAAACACAGCGGTAGTTCTGCTTACTTGTACCGGTATTCCCCGAAGGATTTTCAGGGAAATTGTATTGGAAAATTCGTGTGGATAATTACTCTACCTAATGGGCTTTGGATAGGACTGTGAACGGCTGCTCTCAGGGTGTGGTCAGTGTACGGCGTCGAGGCGGCATTTGGATGTCAATTCAAACTCGAAAACCTTTTACATATAATAATTTTTCCCACCATAAACTTTTACAAGATTATTGGCATGAGAGGTTCTCTTTTGTCCAATAATACAGCTCGAACGATTTAATTGGATGAAATAAATCGGCACATCACTGAACATTCGGCCCATCACTGGTCGATCACGTTATTAATATGTTCTCCGATGTGACTTACGCAGGTTCATGAGAAGTGATGTACCTGGGGTTTCGCGACTTGTTTCATGCGCTCGTTCCTGTTCATATGTGTTCAGTCCACGGCATGGTAGACTTGACCGTATCATGTCTCGCCAAACGCGCACAACGCTTCGCCTGCCGCCACGCGAACGAAAGCTTTGTGGTCTTGAATAGCGCTGGTGAGTAGGAGCAACATATCGTCGCAGTGCTCGGCCAGTTCCGACTTGGGCCAGATTGTGACGACTGTCGTCAATTGCTGTGCGATGAGGCCTTGAGCCTCACCTGCCAATGGGGTGAACAGTGCACATTTCAATATCAAGTCACCTAATGGTCCGCGATAGTTCCCACACGGACACAAGGATCTTCACATTGTATTTCGACACGGTGCTAATTTTCGTGAAGCAGTCTTTGCCAGCTTGACGAATGGATCACCAGCGACGGGAGCACAGCGTTGGCAAACGGCACGAAGGCCGTTCCGCTCATCACGGCAAACTGGGCACATCAAGAGTCGTCAGTAAGACAAAGGACGCCGTTGCGACTACATATGTACGTACAGTGGCTGTGAAAAGTTTAAGTCCACCTGTCAAAATTTCGAAAATTTCAGATTATTTCTAAAATATTTGTCACGTTGACACGAGTCTTGATCCATTCAATTTATACTGCATTGGCTAACAAGTTCAACAATCGATGACGTAAAACCTGAAGAACAGCTGGCTAAACTTGAAGTCAAACTTTGTACCACTCTCAAAAAGTTTAAGTCCACATGATAGTACGGCGACATTCAAACACAAACATGATCTCTAATCATCTACCATCACCAAAATTTCATTTATAAATTGCAACCACGCCTCCACAACCAACTACAGCACTCAACAACCCTCTGAAACGAAAGCATGGGCAAGGGCAAGGAGCATCCACCTGAGATACGCAGCCGCGTGATTTCAAAGCACAAAAGCGGCCTCAGCTACGCCCAAATCGCCAAGGAACTGGACATACCTAAACCATCGGTTAAATCCATAATGAAGGCGTTCAACAAAACTGGTCTTGTTCGTTCTGCACCTCGGACTGGCCGCCCACATGTGACAACCCCGCATGAGGACCGCATCATCGTTCGCGCGGTGAAACAAAACCGCCGCCTCAGCGCTGAGACACTGCAGGAAACCTTTGCCGTCTTCCACGACAAGGACATTTCGCTGGCGACTATTCGTCAATGTATACGTGACACTGGTTTACATGGGCGTGCGGCACGCAAGAAGCCATACCTGTCAAAGGTCAACAAAAAGAAACGCCTGGACTACGCGAAAAAGTACCAGCATTGGACTTACGATGACTGGAAGAAGGTGCTCTTCACGGACGAAAGTCCGTTGAATTTGACCGGCTCGAGTGGGCGAGTCTACGTCTGGCGCCGACCCGGCGAAGAATTCAACGAGGCCTGTGTCGTTCCTACGTTTAAAAGTGGGCGTCAGTCGGTCATGGTGTGGGGCGCCATAGGAATGAATGGCACCGGTACTCTGGTGTTCATCGACGGCAAGATGAACTCTGAGGATTATGTTGAGCTCTTGGAGGCCCAGCTGCCCGACAACTGTGCCAAATTGGACCTCTCGCTTGACTTCGTCTTCCAACAAGACAATGCCCCCATACATAAGGCGAAAGTTGTAATGCGCTTGTTCGACGATAATGCTATCGAAACTCTTGCCCACCCACCTCAGAGCCCAGACTTGAACCCCATTGAACATGTGTGGGAGGAAATCGAGCGGAAGATTCGTATTATGCCTGCAACGTCGCTTGGTGACTTGCGATCGAAAATTGAGAGGTTGTGGGATGAAATTCCATTGGAATACATCCAAAAGTTGATTCAATCGATGCCAAGTAGAATGGCCATGGTTATTGCAGCCAAAGGTGGTCATACGAAGTATTAAAGTTTGAAATACATTCACTTTTTTCGTTTCATTGATGTCGGACTTAAACTTTTTGACAGTGGTACTTTTTCTCGTCTTGTCTACTTTCTTATTGGCTCACCAGAACGCTGGCTTGAAGATCGCACTTGATTGGTTGAAACTACACCTATCAAATGCACTCATTCGTTTCATACAAATGTAAATACTTCATTCGAAAATTAATATACTGAAATATATATCAGATGGACTTAAACTTTTCACACCCACTGTACATACGTACGACCACGGGCAAGAGGCACGAGGAAACGCTCGCCTTGGAGTCGAGGACTTGAACGATGTTGTCCACAGTGTCCAGCACGTACTGCACCCCGGTCAACTCTTGGAGTTGCAGTCTCCAAGAGTCCGGCCCTAGCAGCAGCGCGTGGAGCAGTCGATGGGTCTACAGTAGCAACGGACGTGAGAGGTCGTGAGGAGACGAGTCTTACCTGAATTTGAAGCTATTTTAGGAGGACCTCCATAGCACTGAGCTTGACCTCGTGCAGGAAGTCCGCCGCGGCGAGCTTGGCATGGCTAAACGTGTCCATGTTGATGGTGCTGGACGTTGAGAAATGAGTGTCGTCGGCTAATATCTTAAAATAGACCGACCACTCCATACAAACACCAAGTGAAGCTGCAGAAATTTCTCTGAGACGTGGTTGCACCATAAACTCCAAGGCATTGGTCGTTGAACATGCGCCTAGTGTACAGAACATCGTGGTTCCCCACAAGAACAATCGATCCTTATACTAGTAGTATGAAGTGACGTCAATGCCAACACAACCCAATTTGAATGCGATAACGTTACTTGGTTTTATGAAGCATCTGTCATGTCTTCGTTCAGGTTGACACCCCAAGTACCCTTGCGGGATCACCCTCATCACGTTTTGGTTCGAGTGCCATTTTATCCGGAATTTCGGATATTATGGCGCTTGCCTTTCTGGATCGACAATCATGGGCCATTGTGTGGACCCTGTGGACCCACACTAACAACAGTGCCGAGACGTCTGTGGCACGTGGACTCCATACCGTACTGCATCCACGTGTGGGGGTATGTCCCCCAGCGGAAGCATAGTCTTTGACGACGGCTGGACGATGTTGTTCCTGTTCGATGTGGCACAGTTGCTCGGCACATTTCTGCACGCCATTTTGAAACTACTACCGCATCGTGCACGAAGTCTATGGAGCCTCGTTCTTCTCTTAGAATACTCTTGTATGATTGATATAATATGGATTGATTTTGATCATCCTCCCTCCATACATAACGATGGATGGGTTGTGTCCTGACAATCATGTCGTAGCATGTGTTTCACAGTGCTGCACCTGTCGCCGCTGTTGAATGCGATGGATTTCAGCCTACACCACAAGCCGGCAAGGTTTCGCTAAGGGCGACTGGTGGCATAAAGTACACTGTGCCCGACAGCACATGTCTGCCAGGCTGCCGTTGCAATGCCTTGTGGCTGCGTCGCTATACCCATGCGCTACATGCCGTTGTACTGCAGCAAGACTGCCGCTAGCTCTCAACTCCTGTTGCGGACGAAGTCATGCTTTAAAAGCACACACGAAACCTATTTGGGAGCAGAGTAGTATATGAAATCCGCCGTGGCGTTGCACATACTACCTAGTATATAGATCAGCCTCGTAAACGCAGTATTTGGGGCTCTCTTGGAAGGGTACCAATGTTTCTCGAAATGGCCTACCAGACATGCTATTCACATTTGTTGGGGTAATTATCGCTTGCTTCGGGGTTTCGGGGTTATACTTACAACGCTATACGATCAAGCCACCGCCGGTAGCCCAGCCTACGTAGCGGTCCCATCTTGCAGTCCAACATAACTAATTCAGCCACAGTCAGTTGGACTAGTTGCCCAATACAAAAGTGCGTACAGTGATGTCTCGTTCACTCTTCAAAAGTGTGTGCATTATATCTCAACTGAGTTTCCACATCGCAAACTCCCTCATAAACCCGTGGAAGCATCCGCTGCACGAGTAGTTGACTAGGAACATGTCGTTGTCCGCGTCAGGCGGGGCCGTGTACGTGAAGTCTTGAGGTAAATAGAGCTCGTCCATGCGATTCCCATCGATGAGCACCGTGACGCTGAGTCCGTCGACCACGACCACAACGTCGTGCCAGCGCTCTCGGGACAGTCGAACCATCTCCCTCTCTTGCCTCACGACGAGTCCCACTCGCTGGTTGTTGAACGTAACTTTGACCTCCATCGTGTTGGTCACCGTCAAGCCGAACCACCGATAGTACGACCCCATGCAAAACACACAGCACGCTGCTAACGGGGCCATCGTGATCGCCACAGCAAACTTGTTTCTGGAAAACGTAGCGCCTAACTTGCCCGCCACGACCAAGTTGCGATCCAACTCGGTGTCGTCGTAGTAATTCCCGTCAAAGTACGCTCCCAACGACGAGTGGATGAAGCTACCGCCAGGCAACGTCATGGCGCGGCCTGCAAGCAACAATGGAAGGAAGCCCAATATTGGAATATGGATCGTATGTAGTACCAGTGACGATGTCGACGGCATCTACGGCCATCTTGGGGTAATGGAAGGCGAGTGTTAACCCCTCCACCAACGCATCTCGGTGGGTGAGATGCAGACGGTGGCGATCTGGGTCGTCGGCGTCCGTAATGCGCGGCAACTTGCGCGACGCAGGAAGGGTCGAGTACATTTCAATGTCGCGCAAGTACCCATGAAACAGTCCTTGGTGTGTGTCTGGACGGAAGAGGTACAGCTGATTGTGCTCAGTGTCTCGAAGCGATTGGTTCACATCCGTTGGGATGTGCAATTCAAATCCCTTGTCCACGGTGATGGCGTCCATATACTTTGAGTCTAAAACAACCTACAATACAAAACAATTGATTCAGATACTCTTGTATCGTTGGTTCAAAATGGGTTGCGCACCTGAATGATCGACGCCGTCCGTATACTCACAAGTATCGCCACGTCCACCCATTCCGCCAGCGCCACCGTCACTGGGGCTCCTTGGGTGAGGTCGTCATCGAGACATCAACTTTGCATGCGTTGTCCTACCATCCATTTTCACAAAAAACACGTCCTTGCCTTGGTTGCACGACAGTGCTAAGCACAAGTCGGTCGTGACATCGATAGCAAACCAAGGAAAGCGGCCGGCTGCTAGCGGCGTCGCACCGCCAGCCATCGGTTTCATTCGAAAGCGCAGAAGAAATGCGTTCTTGTCCAGTCGACCACCCATCGCCTGCAGACGCATAGCGCGCGACGAAGCCGTTCCTTTTAACTCTGCGGCGTAATTCCCATCGGAGAAGAACCCGTTGGCTGCAGACACGGAGCAGCTGGAATCAAACCACGACAGGGTGTGCTTGGACAAAGTGTTCGCTCCATTCACTTCCAGCTTGTACTTCATCACAGCCACCCATTCAGACGGCAACAAGGCCATCGTGATGTCTTCAAAGGATTTGGCCGTGGATGCCACGTTGGAACCAGATAACTCAGTGGTTTTGACTTCTGCGATTGTGGATGGAGTAGATATGACGCCTGTGGATGGCCTGGTCTTGTCACGAAGGAGAGTGGGGGGGACACCCGAGGCTTTGAATTCGGCGATCTTGTCAAACAAAACGCGAGCCTTCGCAGCCAGAGGCATCCCGAGCTCCTTGATTTCTTCGACATTCGCCGCACCACACAGCACTTCCCCCGTCACTTCATTCTCTAGAAAGGCCGCGCTACATGCCTATCATAAGTAAAGAGTCTCATATTGTAACCAGTACCTAAACTTGGAGCATGCCAACGCATTCAGTAGCAACGCAACGTCCTCCTTGGTGAGCGATGCCAACGACACCGTGGGTGCACTGAACACTGGGGCTGCTTGAAGAGTGGCTACGACAGGGGGCGAAGGAACGTATTTTGCTTGCTCTTTCGCATCCGACGGCGACTCCGGTGGAAACCTCCGAGCCAGGGGAGTGCCGCCAATGCTGACAATCTTGGCGACCAGTTCGTCCACTTTGGAGGCTAAGAGGTGGTCGTCGTCGAACGTGCCGCTCAAGTCCAAGTACAAATGCCCCCCCAGCACAAACCCCACTTCTCCGTTCCACGACGCCGGATTCTTCAAGGCCGGGGTCGGATCTATGAGCACCGGGATCATCCTCGACGCGGTCTTGCGTCTGGCGGCGTAGTTAAATTCGAGCTGGCAGTTGTCTTCCGCATTGGGGCCGCCCACTTTGGCAATGTATCGCTGGGTCACAAACACTACAATTACGCGGGCGTTGTCGATGCCGTGGATCATTTGCTTCTTCACATTGCCCTTTGACAGTATGTCATACATAAACATCATCTTCAGATCATGATGCAAAGAAAGGTGTCGCTACCTCCATTTTCTCTTGGTCAAACCACGTCGTGATACCTCTGGCCTGGAGCAGGTGGTTCACCACACTCACCTTTGTGTGAGTGCCCCCGTCGGAGCCCCAGTCGTGCGTGAGGAACGCGTCCGTCAATGTCGACAGCACCGTCGTGAGTTTGTCCCGACTGACCACGCCGTCCACTGCCTGTTTGTCCCACTCGGACTCGTCAAACAGGTCTCCGCACAGCGCCTGACATTGCCCTTTCGTCACCACACTCGCAGCCGCACCCATGCTGTCAGCTTTCCAGTAGACCCAACGATGTGAAAACGTGTAACTGTTTGTGTAACAGGTATTAATGTGTGATTTAGACAATCCGACGCTTACGATGTACATACATGGTTGAAACCCCGAAACCCCGAAACGCGTTGCGATGTGTACTGTAGATGTTCACAAGCGCTAGTGTAATCATGGAAAGGCCTTCTAGAACGCATGTGTCTGCCTTCACCCTAGACCAAACTACGAAGTCTATCACGTGGTATACATTCCTACCAGGTCTGGCATTGACCGTTGGCGTTGACGGTCATAATGGTACCATCACATGTACTACTGGTAGTATAAGGGTTTGTTTATCCTAAGCAGTGTTGATTGTGCAAAAAACTGGATTGCTAGTAGCTACATTGAACGACACGACGGTTCTATTATAGCTCGTCTTTGGACGGTCGCCGTGCTCGCAAACGGTAATCGTTGCGAACGCACGTGAGGAACTTGTTGTAGCGGTACTCGTCGATTTCGCCATCTTCGAGCTACTCATCTCTAATATCACCACTTCTGCAGCCGAAGGATAAACCACTCACCGGTTCAGACGCATAAACTTCAGTGAAACACGTCGGGGAAATGCATTCGTGCACGCAATTCATGTTGGTCATCAGGTCCAAGTGGCGGCACTCGTTGGATTCGCATGATTTCTTCTGCACGCGCCACATGCGATCTACCTACGTAGCACCAGCATCATCAACGACACATTGCAAGAAGCATCGAGGGTAGCGGTGTACCCTGGAGTGCTGTTTAGACTTGGCTGAGACCATTGCCATCCAGAATGTCACCAGCCACAGTGTCGCTCGCATTATTTTGCAAACCTTGATTACCTTCCACACTATTTGATAAATATCTGAAATAGTGTATTGAACTCAAATAGTGTATCCTCAGCTGAAGGGGCACACAAAGTTTGAATTGTCGTAAAGTCCATCGTCATCATGCATCGCGGAGATCGATGTGCCGTGTGCAGTCGACAGACGCAAGTAAGCGGCCAGCCGCTCCTTCGATGCAGTCGCTGCCACATGATCCGGTACTGTGGTCGAGAGCATCAAATGCAGCACTTTACGACGCACAAGACGCGGTGCTGCGCCGTGAAAAAGGCAGTCGATGCCGCGGCTCATGCCAAGGAGGACCTCCTCGCAGTCCAAGGCCTCGACATCTTCCGCGTGGGTCAATTCTGGGGCATGTACGAGACGCGACCCTACATGCTTTCCCTTGCGTCCCAGATCGAAGCGTTGGAACACATGGGCACAGACTCGTCCCTTCGCGCAGCGATCGACGTGCTGTTTGAATGCCTTCGTCTCAACCGTAGCGACAATATGGGCCTCCGCGACGTCGCTCCAGGTATTCTCCTTCGTCTGGGCGAAGACCAGCATGCATACGACTTTGTCCGGTGGTGGGCCCAAGATCGACCAACCTTTGAGTGGGAGAACACGTCGCTGCCGTACCTCGACACCCGTGGTGCCGACGCCACCGAGTCCGTTGAACACGCCAACTTCCTCAGTCCTTTTGGCGGTCCGTCCCTGCAGCATTTGGTCGCACTTGTTCTCGTGAAGCTTCGAGTCCGAGACGACATCGAAGCGCGTGGTTGCTTCCGCCTTATGCTCGCCGGAACCTTACGGGGGAGTTCGCCTCTTCGTCAGCTGAGAGGGCATATTCCGGCTCTCCGAATGATCGAAGCGTTCACAGCCACCCGTTCGTCAGCCACCCCTGGTCCTGTCTTCGGACAGAATGAAGCCACCATTGCTACGATGGGTCAGTGCGCGACTCGTGTAGCCTGTCTAGACCACCAGATCTCGAGACTACTCCTGCATGCAGAGCGACGAAATCCACGCATATGGAAAGCTATGGTGAACCCCATCTCCATCCTTTCGGTTCCAGATCCGCGAGACTGCGCCGTCGGGGACGAGAACGATGCGAAGAAAGCTGTGGAGCGTCTGTTGCCAGCATACCGCGCAACTCCACGAGCTCTCGCCCGACTTGTCGCGCACGTGGGCAGCCCTTCATCGTCATTGTACGACCCTGTTCCCAAACCAAGCAAGTATCCGTCTTAAGCTTGTACTGTAGTATTAATGTCCAACGTAGTAATATCGTTACCAGTACTACCGTGTTGTAACCGAACCATCACTCTCGTCCAAATTTCATTGTTGGCAGTTTCCCTGTGTAACTGTCACCATACTCGCATGAACCGCGCACAGGTGCGTTGGCACCGCCTCAAGTGCCTCGTGCGCTGCATCGGTCAGTTTGCCTTGGCGGCGAACCAGCGCTCAGCAGGGGAAGTGACGTTGTTCGAGCCGCAATCGTGGCACCGCCACAAGCTCGAGCGGTTCCAACATGCGTACAACAAGGAGTATGTCGTAGGTCGACAATCTTCATTTTCCAATGCATGTCGTGTCTAGCCAAGAACATCGCTCGGACGTGGACCTGAAGCTGCTGGTACGTGGTGGTAACATGGTGCTGTGGACATTTAGATCTTGTGATATGGTATAGATGGAGGTTGTGCAAAGCATGCACGTGTTTGCCCATGCCTCGTACACCAGCAAGCTTTGTAAGGAGATCACGATACATACAGCCCAACATCAACAAGAGGGTTTATTCGTTGAGTTAGATTTCTGTCGACATATGCAGGTGGTGGTCCTGCACGACGGCCAAGTCGTATACCATCAAGGGGACCCCATCGATGGAGCGTCTGGCGTCTACGTCGTCCTCGAAGGGATCGTGAGCTCGTACAAGAATGCCGCGTACGACTACTCGGACAAAGCGTACCCAGCGTGGCATCAGGCCACGTACCCAAGTGAAGACGTCCAGTTTGGGACATGCGAAACCACTGCCACCACAGGCGACACCTTTGGCAACGTACGTCAGCCCTTGTTTTCACGGGGGCTCACGATTATTGTCTTGTTTCCAGACGGCGGTCAATGGATGCCTGTGCCGCGACACCACCATCCTCGCCCAGTCCAGCGCCAGTTCGTGGCTCCTTGTCTTTCATGGTTACCTGTCGTCTAATCATTTCTTGCGCTAGAGGTGGCCATGCTGAGCCAAAGCGACTACCGCCGCATCCTCGCCCACAACAACGACACGATGTGGACGCCGCGGCATTGTTTGTATGCGATTGAAACCGAGCCCCCCCACCGTACGCCACGTCAAGTGCGAGACTTGATTGAGTTCCTCCTGCACTTTCAATATTTTCGATCGCTGCCCCGAGACGCCGTGGAAGCTCTCTGTCATCGACTGGTATCTAAATATATATATCTTTATTACCAATCCCAGTTCATAATACGACGTCTATACTGTATAGCGGCACCGAACGTTCAAGGCACACGAAGTGCTGAGTCGCCAAGGAGACCCCGACGTCCCCCTTGTGATCTGTGTGGCTGGAAAGGTGCTCTTGTACGTGCAAGACTCTGTCGAGGAGTCACGATGCCGACTGCTTGGTCCCCAGAATGCATCTGCTCCCGCTTCGTCCGGAACAATCACAAAAAAGTTCGGAACCAACGCCGCATCTGCCTTGATCGACAAGCTCGAGTACGATCCAGGGCTCGGGTGGTGTGTGGGGGAGCTCGGGGACGGCGAGTCCTTTGGGGAGCAAGCGGTCGCCTCTGGTGGGGTTCAAAGCGCCACCCTCCGTGCTGCCTACACGGTACACCCATTCGATACAAAATATCATCGATTGTCAATCATGGTCGGCTGGGGTAGACGACGGCAATTGTGCTCAATATCGCAGACGTGGAACAGATTGTAGCCCAATATGATAGCGTGGACCTTCCAAAAAAGTCCGACGAGGTGGTGGCGCACCTGACGGCGCTCTTGGCGACAGCTCCCAGGGTCCGGACGGCAGGTAGAGCGAGTAAACCATTCCAATTTGAACATATGGGTTTACACCAGGAATGGTTCGCGACATTGCCAAAGCGTTATGGCGGTGCGATGCCGGCTTGTTTTTCCAACAACTCGGTCAGTACGCACTGGAAACCATGGCGCAAGAGGCCGCCGTTCGGGTGGTAGACGCGGGCACGATTGTACTCCAACAAGACCACACGTAACCCACTCCTCTAGCATTTCAACCACCCGTTACGATATTGTAGGTGCGAGTACATGTACATTGTCCTCAACGGGTCAATCAATATCCACCGCCTCACGGCACGGCGAAAGCAACGCCGCCGAAGCTCGATCATTCATATGGAACTGCACCAGCACAAGCTCCCGGACGACAGTCATCCGCCGACGCCCCATGGAACAACTCGCGACGGGGCCGACACGTCGGCGTCGTTGGGCACTGAAACCTTCGACAAGTGCGGCCAATTCCTAAGTTCGTTGGGCGTCGGGGGGGCCTTCGGACACGTTCCGATCCTGACCAACTCCCACAGCCAATCGTCGTACGTGGTGGCGCGCAACTTGGCCAAAGGTTCAACTTCCACAATAGCGTTTTTCCTACAAGTTTACGATGTGTTTGGCGCAGGCACGCTGACCGCGATGTTGCTGTGTGTGCCAGCACGCTTCGTGGCCGCCCTCCTCCAAAGATATGATGACTCGTTGCTGTACAACCCGCGCCAAGTGCTCGACCAAGCGACAAAACCCAAACACGACCGCCAGAACGCGCTCAAGTTTGCCAACTTCCTGTGCACCAAGACCGCGTTTGCCGCGATGCCCCAGCGCACTCTCCACCGCGTGTTGGAATCGATGCAAGTCGTGGACATTCCGTTCAACCACCTTTTGTGGGACCAAGGCGAACGGCTCGGCCACGGCGTCGTCGTCGTCTTGGCGGGGTCGATCCTCCTCGTTCGTTCTGGACGTACGTTTCAACCCAATCGATTGCAATTCACTCTACGTGTTCAATGTCGAATAGATCGCCCGACGTTGGTGGATCAGGTTCCAAAACCCGCCGACGCAGGTACCCACCCCCGCCTCGTACTTCATGTGGGCAGGACGGCCAACACGGTCACCCTCATGCACTCCCACGATCAAGTCCACTCGTGCGGCCCGGGGGACTGCATTGGAAGCATGCGAATTGACGATTCGGAGAACAACACAATCGTCACTACTGACACCGCCATGACGCTGACCGACTGCAAAGTCGCGATCATCCAATGGCCTCGCGTATACGTGGCAGAGCCGTACGTGGCCAAACTATGCAACGACCTTCTTGACCTGCATGCCACCCATTTGAAGCGGCAGCAGGAGCAGCCTCAACAAGTCCCGTACGCGCTGGCCACATCTCGAGGATAAGGTCAAATTGTCCTTCTACCTTTCTAGGTTGGAAGGCGAGTCTCCCCCTTTAGCAGCCCCAGCGACGTCAGACGATGTCCACGCTGCGATAGGAAACCTGCTATCGGCCATCGAGTGGAAGGACAAGTTCCCCGTGCGCGTGCAAGGCTGTATTGCCGAGCTGTTTACGTTCGCAGTGTATTCCTCAAACGATATCAGTACAAAATCGTGACCTATAACAGACTTGCTCTGAAGATTGATCTTTATCATGGTAACTAGTCTTCAACCAAGGCGACCAGACACAAGGTATAGATCGTTCTGTCCAAAACGAATCGCCTGTGACACTTCCCGATGTGATAGCGCTGTACATTATTCTAGCCGGACACGTCAACGTCTGGATTCATCGGCACCGGCGCCCTCAGAGGTGTGTCTTCTTCATTGAAACTCCGAACATTATTTCCTTCCAAGTGCCACAGAATGGTTTACTAAATATAAATAATCCCTATATATATATTCATTTGATCACGTTCAATAGCCAAGGTCATGTGTTTGCACGGAAGGATGCCATGAGTCGTCGAGGGGGGTGGCAAGACGGGAGGGTCAGTACGAGCAACGTGAAGAACGAGTTGGATCCCATGAAAGCCATCCAAGCCCTGAGCAAGCGGCCGCGAACGCCGTACGTCGTGGGACTCTGGCTTGAGCTAAACCACGCGTAGAACCAGCATCAAGCGGTCGCTGTCCACCCGGCGAGGCGCAGAGAGCGGGACGAGCGTCGCCATTAACCACCCCTTGGGCGACATCGAAGCGCGCCTCGGACCGGGCGACGTCTTGAGTGAACAGGCCTTGTTCCATCCTGGTATTCAGCATCGGGTTTCAGCGGTAACCTGACGGACAAACCGTCCAACGTGCTACAGTATGCTATAAAGCTCCATGGGGTTAGGTAGCTGCGACCGACGTGACGGTGCTGGTGCTGCCTCGATCCCAATACGACCATGTTCTCGCCCACGGGCGCACTGTTCCATCCTCGGCGACAATCGTCGTCGCGCGCAACTCGTCCGAGTGCGGCCCCGCCCCAACCTCGTCCACATTTTAGCGTTGTAATTGGTGCATTCGTGTAGGCGAGCGCGAGACCACTGGAAACTCGTCATCCATTACATCATCAAGAACCGGTCGCAACGGTCGCATTGGCCATGTGTGATCGAGTTTGCCCGGCAAAAGCGCATTCGACTGGTTATGGACATTATCAAGAACGTGCCCGTGTTCCAGGCCATGGACGTGGAGCTCCGCGTGCGCATCTGCGAACGAACGTTGTTTCAAACCCTTGCCCCGAATGTCGTCGGTTCGTACAGTAAAACCAACCTAACCCGGAGATGGCATCGTGACTTGTCGTCCAGTGTTTGATAAGGGCAAACCCGTCGAGCGCTTCTTTGTGGTCGTGCGTGGCACCGTGGACCTCGTGCACGTCACGTCCCCCACGACCACAGACGCCGCCACGTCATCGTCCGACGCCAGCGACTCGTGGCTCAAGATCCGCACCGTCCGGGCAAACGAGTGGTTCGGCGAGTACGAAATCCTCGCGCACGAACCCAACCGTCAGATTCTGGCCATGACGACGGCGGAAGGCGCGCACGTTGTAGCCGTGTACAAGGGCGAATTCATCGTGTCGTGGCCTACGCTGCAAAAGTGGACCGACCGCCTCGCGTTCCTTCGACAAGTACGTGCGTACCCTTGTGTTGATATAGCAAAAGAAGAAGTACTCTCACGAGTCCAACATTGAGATGATGCAAAACGGCGAAATGTGAGACCAATGAGCTGAGTGTAGAGCGATGCACTGGGGGCGCTGGAAGACGACCGATTTTGCTCAGTGTGGTATGGCCTTCGCAAACTCAGGTTCCGACGCAACGACGGTATGTACGAGGTATTGCATTTTGAGCATGTCCTTGCGATGATATGGGAGGAGTGGAAGCACCGCACATTCATCACTGGTTGAATGGTGGAGATTGACTTAGTGTGTGACTTTAAGTGGTGGTGCCGGAGCGGTCCAGTGCCAACAAATTGGCCGACGCCATCTACTGGATCGACGAAGGCGAGTGTGTGGTCCACCAGTCCACGACTTTGGTTCGAGCCATCAAAGAATCGAGGTAGGACCTTGTCACATATCCTCCTTCAGCCACCCCCCGCCGTCGTCACAGATATACATGTAGATCCCACGAGAAGGACGTCGAGTTGGACGTGCAAGTGGCGACGCTGACCCGGGGCAATGTTCTGTACTGCGACGACTCGACGTGGATGCCGCGGACATGTGTAATAGCGTCGTCGTACGTGATGCAAGCGTTCGTGTTGACGTACCCGTCGCACCCCACGACGGTACATATCGAGTGTTTCTTAGCCATTCATTTTGGACACGATCGGTTGGTTTAGCTGCATCGCGTCATGGGAAAGCGGGGAATTGCATCCTTGCGACGGATTATGCGCTTGGGAAACGACTTCCAACACACCCAGCGCGAGGTACGCAATGATGCCATTGGAGTTTTGTAGGAGAACAACGGTGTAGACTGCCACGCAGTTGGCCGTGGCGTCCGAGCCCAAACCCATCGACTCGCCCATGCTACCACTGCTCAAGTGTGTACCCATTGCGCGCATGCAGGGGAATCGCGTGAAACTGCCCAACTTTTTGCTCCAGCGGCATGTTCCCCCACCAACAACAACAGCCGACGCGTCCAATCAGCGCCCCGAACGAGATCCACGACGTGCTTCGCTCAGTCCAACCGCCCGTACTAGTGTCATAACCCCCACCGATGGATGGAATCCGCATCGCCCGCTGAGTGACGCCAAACCATCATACATGAACGGATCGTTTGCATTCAATCAACCGAGCCCCACCCAGCCGCGTTCGTCCCCCCTGGGCTTGCTGGAGACGGCACATGTACTTCGACCGCAAATCCGATTGGACGAGGCCGAGACGTCGTCCGTGCGGCTGCAAAAGGCGCTAGACCTGCAGATCCACCAAGATGTCAAGCTCCTTCACGAGCTAGGAAGCGCTACAAAAAGGAGTAAACTGTCGGAAGCGCGCCGCGAGCAGCAAGTCCGCATCAAGCACGGCCGGCCTACCCAATGTCCACGTACGAACAATTGATCGTGGATTGGATGCCCCATGTTGCTGTTGTAGTGGATCCGTTCAAACCCCCCGAGCCGAACCCGTGCCAGCCCCCCACCCTCCAAGCCCACACTGCCCCTCGACGCCTTCGCCAATCGTACCGAGGCCGCAGCACTCGTGGTGTCCACGCAAAGTCCTAGCAAATACTACTACTGTAGTACACTATAGCAACCAAACGACCGAGAAAGCAATGATGAAATGTCTGCGAGCAATATAAACCTTTTGCTTGACCTCTACGGTGGGTGTTTTCGATATGACACGAAGAATTATGTTTTACAATAGTTATACGTGTGGGCACACGATACATGATTGGTAGAAAACAATCACTCAGAAATTTTCAGCCAATCAGATGCAATTTTTGACACATAACTGGATAAAATCAAGTGGCTCGGAACTGTTTTCAGCCTATTGATATTTCCACTCTTTTAGTTCATTTTCCATCAGCACTTATACGAATTTCGACATGATTTTAAGTTTTACGAACTGCATTAATACTCCTCTTTAAGAAACACTATTATAATAGCAATTTGGAGTAAAGGAACCCCTCCATCGAAGGGTCCCAAAAAGTGTCACGGAACTGCGCCCATACGTACAATAAAGCATGGCCACCACAATAACTCGAATGAGAGGTTGTTCCCAGTATTGTGGATGATTCGGTACAGATTTCCAGACCCCGTCGAATCGAATCTTGTCGTTGAATAGAATCACGAATCGACGCTATTGGCTAATCCAATTTCGAGTGAATTTAATTGGCATTTACAGAAAGGACAAATGTATTCAACCAATCAGAACTCCACAGTGAGTCAAGATTGATTAGACAAAACGTGCGAATTTTGCAAGTTTATAGCGCATTCACAATATCCCGAAACCCCAACGACTTGTTTGTGTTGCTTCTTGATCCCGTTCAAAACAAGTCGACGCCTCTGTTCATTTGATTCATTTAGTCTTTTGTTTACGTCATATTGTACACCAGCACGCCACCGTCATCCCCTGCAGCCGCGAGCGCGTTGGCCGTGGTGCAGATGCCGCGCACGGCGGCCTGGTTGGCGCCCAGGCCATAGCGCAAGGCGTCGGTGCGGAGGTCATGGACTAGGAGCATGCCGCTTCCACTGCCGCTAAAGCACAGGTCGTGGTCCACATGCAACGAGTAGATGAACGTCGTGTGCTCGGTAAACGTGGCCCGGACGTTGGCGCTGCGGACGTCGACCACTTGCACTTTACCGTCGGCTCCACCCGTCGCGACCACGTGCTCCATGGTCGCTGTATCTTTGATAAAACTCACCTACAGCAAGATAATTATCCAAGATGTATTCTGTCAGCGGCGTACTGCGCCGGTGCCGCGTTGGCTGGCGTGGACTGACACGGTGACGGCGGCGTCCTTGGCTCGAGCATCCCACAGCCGCAACAGGCCGTCTTGGCCGCCACTAAAGGCAAGCTCGGGGCTGTGCTGGCTGCCCAACACGGCCGTACAATGCCCGGTGTGAACCCCCTTGGCCTTTCGCTCCGCCGCATCTACGCGAGCCACCATCTACTTTCAATCACCTCTACAAGCTGGTTGGTTACGTTGCGACAGGTCAAAGACCAGCACCGAGCCGTTGCGGTCTCCACCAATGAGGCGATTTCCCCAAATGGAAAAGTCCAAAATGGGCGCGTCGTGGCCCTTGAGGCAGTGGCGTTCGCGCCCGCTTGCCGCCCGCCGTCCCATCGCCCCGTCCCACAGCCGATACGTTTTGTCGTAGCTGGCGCTGACGATCCAATTCTCGGCAAACGTTCGGACGACGGAGATGGATCCCGAGTGTCCTGTCTAAGGACAACTTTGATGTCAAAAGTCTGGGAAGTACAGTACAATGGTTGCACCAGATCTTCGCAGCGATGGTTTCCCTCCCACAAACATAACTTGCTGTCCATGCCGCCCGACACCACTCGGCCATCTAGTGGAAACAAAGCCATGAGGCGTGCAATGCATATTCCATTGGACCTGGCAGATGCGCCACGGCTGTCACCCATTCGCCATGTCCACTGGTCTTGGAATACAGGGTTCGAACGCCACTACTGCCACCACCCCGGGCCTTGGACGGTTGGCGCTGTAGTGGAATGATGTACAAGGCATGGTCACAGCTGCCAACGACCACTTCCGAGCCGCCTGGCGCCAAACTCATGCATGTGAGCGGCTGACTCGACACCGAATCGACCCGGCCGGATGGATCACTTGGTCCGCGAAGCCATGGTGCTCGCGCAGATCCGTCGATAGCGGCGCTAGCCTTTGTGGAAGGTGCCAGTAATGCAGGGAGTGGCGGTGACACGGCCTTTGCCGTGCTGGGGTCGTCATTCTCGGCTTGGGCGTTTAGTCGAGGCAGTCGAGGGTCGCTGTCAAATGCAGCCAGGTACGCGTCATTGTCTTTGTGAGATGAAGACGCGGCGAATCGAGCAGGAGCCTTGGATGGCGCTACACGCTCAAGGGTACTAGCCACGACAACATTCGTCACGGCACCCGTCGACGCATACTCCTCGAAGCGGATGTTGCGGCGTCTAGTGCTCATGCGAGATCTACCCAAAAATCATCCAATCACAAAGCCCTTCGGAGTTTCGGGGTTTCGGGGTTCACAGGCAATTCGTGTACGTACTGCGTAGATTTCGCAAGTCATGTTTTTCGCGTTCCCATTCCCGTAACCTCTTAAATCTAAATCGTGAACGGCAAACCTCTCATTTTCTATATAATTCTTACTTGGACTCTCACGACGTAGCGTAACAAGATTCAACACGATGGGAACGCGACGTTCAATCGATCGCGCTATATGTTGGCCTCGTCCACTTTGCGAGTGAGATGGCCCAGTAAATAACGACCTGTCTTTATTTAGCTCATGTGCCAGACTCTCGATTTGTGTTGTTTAACGTGTGGTTTTAATTGTGTCATCCATTGATTAGTGCGATGAAGCAATGGGCAAATTGGGTGAAAAGCACAATACTACAGTAGTACGTAGTACAGTACTACAAATATTGACTGGTATTTTTTTAGACGTAGTACAGTACTAGTATTAATAATACCGGTAGTAAGTATTGTGCTTTTCACCCAATTTGCCCATTGTTTCATCGCACTAATCAATGGATGACACAATTAAAACCACACGTTAAACAACACAAATCGAGAGTCTGGCACATGAGCTAAATAAAGACTGGTCGTTATTTACTGGGCCATCTCACTCGCAAAGTGGACGAGGCCAACATATAGCGCGATCGATTGAACGTCGCGTTCCCATCGTGTTGAATCTTGTTACACTACTTCGTGAAAGTCCAAGTATGAGGCGAACGACGTACTTCAATGCCATAAACTTGGACAAGCACAACACACCTCCAACGCATGATGATGCTGATCATTGTAAAACAAGTTGAATGCTGATCATTGTAAAACAAGTTGAATAAGATAAAACCGTGCACATCCACAATTCTTAGCCAATCAAAGCATCACGGATAGTTATAATTCAACTCGAACCGTAAAAATACGTCATCATGCATCCGTAAAATCACGGCGAGTGCCGTAATTTTAGGATGAGTTTTTATTAAAAAGCATGGGTTTAGACCTGGATTAACTTAAAAAATCCCATTTAAGGTGCTTGATCCAATTTAAGGTGCACCCGATTTAGCCAATCAACTCCTACAAAGGAAGTTTTTAACCTAACCGCCCAAAAATATGCAAATGAATACTACGTAGTATACAAAGACTAAGCTCAAAATGGTGCACCTTAAATTGGACCGCTTGTTTTAAGCTGTTTGTGGACAAAGTGGAGTGAATGATAATGAATTCTAACAGGAATCAGGAATCATATCGCATTCATAACTCCCGAGTAGGCCTGGATTTTGGCTTCATGTTACATATTCTAGAATTTTAATCCGATGCCTACAAGTCGAGTTACATGCCTTCCACGGCAGCGTCTCGGAAAAAGTGTCTTAAATTGGACTTTTACGTTAGCCAAAAACGTTTCTTTATTCCCTAACGTTATACGTATGATTCGTGTCGACGCTGATTGGATATTATATATTTAGTGGAACCAAAATTGAAGACACTTTGTCACATCCATGTCGGCTGATCGTGAAAGCGCAATGTCTGAAAGGTATATATATATATATATATATATACCTGTATCGAATCCAGCACATTCTTTCTTTGTCCAAGCTCTCCTATTCATAGTAGTATAGCGAACGACGACAGAGCATCCCCCACAAATGGCGCAGCGTATGCCGGCATTTCTTTGCCAGGAGTGAGCCCCAATTGTGCACGTCACTGAATATCCCATCGATTCCTCTTGTCGGGAATAGCGGCAGGTACTACATAGTAGGCCGTAGGCCGTGCCGCGCTACCCGGATGAGACCTGTTTTACGACCAAATCGCCAATGAATGTGTTTGGGTGAAGCACGTATGTCTGGATAACTCCATATGATTTTCACGGTACCTCAAGTACAGACTGAGCTCCTGTTTCTTGCTTTCACGTAAGTTAGAGCCTGTCCACTTTCGTTTCGAATCCATAGAAGACATATATATGGAAATGGCAAAGACCAAGTCGTCTAACAACACAAACTCAAAAGTATGTGAATAAAATTGATTCCTAGTCAAAACTACAGCAGTTTGTTATACAGTACGAAAATACGAGCGTCGGCGGAGGCCCCCTCTATAGTTCATCCTTTTCGGTGGCTTCGCCGTCCTTGGCTTCTTCGTCAGCGTCTTCCTTGGCTTCTTCGTCAGCGTCTTCCTTGTCGCCTTCGGCGTCCTTCTTGGCCTTTTCTTCCTCCTCCTTCTTGGCCTTTTCTTCCTCCGCCTTCTTCTTGGCTTCTTCGTCCTTCTTCTTTTGCTCGTTCTCTTCCACTTCCTTGCGGTGCGCGTTCAACTTTTCAATCTTCGCCAGAACCTTCACCTCATGGGCGTCCGCCGTGGCCTTGTCGTCCGTGACCAAGATGTCGTCAAAGAACGTGCCTGACTTGACTTGCCACAGTTCAAAGCCGATGACGCCGCAGTCGTGGCATACGTTGTGCAAGCTGTCCGATTCGAACCAGTCTGGGTTGTCAATTTCAGGGTGCACCCATTCGCCCTTGTACTCCGGGTTGTCAATGTACTTGGCCTTCCATTCACCCTTGTACTCGGGGTTGTCAATGACAGCAGGCTCCCAGTCTCCATCGTCTTCGTCATCCCAGTCTTCGGGCTTCTTGGCTTCCGGGTCGGGGATCGTCTTGGGGATGTCGTCCCAGCCGGCGGGCTTCTTGTCGTTGGGGTCGACAATCTTAGCAGCGTCCACCCAGTCTTCGGGCTTGGATTGGCTAGGGTCCTTGATTTTCTTGGCGGGTTGGAACGCCCAGTTGTCCGCCAACGTACCAGTCATGGTGTCCTTGCCGTCGATCTTGACGTTGTACTTGTTGTCCTTGGTCAATTCCAAAGTGTACAAGTGGGCGTCCTTGTCCTTTTCGGCCTTGATGTCAGTCTTGTGGTCCAAGTTCTTGCTTTCCGACTCGTTCGGGCGCTTGTAGTTGAAGATCAAGTGCGTCTTGCGAGTGGTACCGCACACATCAGGGCCAAACATGATGCTGTAGGGAGTGTCACCGCTGAACGTTTCTTGGTCGGTGTTGGAAGGCGCCAACTTGATGTACGCGCCACCGCAGTCAATGTCTTGTTCAAACTTGACCAAGTACGACAAGTACAAGTCCTTGCCCTTGTTGTTGAACGGCTTGGCCAACTTGGCCGTGGCGGCGTAGAAACGGGCATCTTCCTTGGTTTGGAAGCCCTTGTCCGAGTCGTCATAGAACACGTCACCGGCGGTGTGCACGAAGGACGAACGTTCCGCGGCGGGCTTGAACGTGGATTGGACCCAGTTGTCCGAGGTCGTGAAGTCTTCGTTGAAGTAGATTTCACCAGTGACAGTGGTGGCGACGGCGACCAAGGCCAAAGCAGACAAAGATTTTACCATGTTGAAGATCTACATGATGAACAACGCGTGCATGAGTCATGGAAGTCCCCGAGCAAGGGAATGCAGCGAGCGACTTACTCTGGGCAAAGGATATTCAAATATGATCACAATGCAACTTGATGGGGGCTTTCGGGAATCTTCTCTATCCGGATAATCTTGCATTGGCCACGTGTTCACTGTTCATACTCAAACCAAGTCAAAAGCCACGCGTCACGATTTTAACGCGTGGGGAGTGCCCCATAGATGACCAGCTGGTTGGGTGCAATGACACATTTTATTTTATTACCTTTTATTTGTATGATATTGAAGTTCATATTATTCGAGGTAGGAATATAGATACATAGAGGTAAGTACCTCTAAGATTGAATCATACCCCGTCCGATGACGTGGCAGCATATTTGACCAGAATTGTCGACAGATTCGAATTCCGAGTTGGGCAAGCCAGTGATTGGTCGGTCTGTGGGTGGTGATGCCCTTGATGGAGTGAATACCAAGAGCGTCAGGATTTCTCGGGGGTAAAGGTGCATTATATGGCAATATGGTACATCCAGTCGATGGTGAGCGCGGCCACAGGGGAACATTTGTCATGACAGATGACAATCTTGGTCATTCCATCAAGTTCGTGAACAACGTACGGGTGAATTCGTTCGCGTTGTTCTTATGAGGAAGCAAGGTCTCGTTGACTGCCCAGTTGTGTTTCGACGTCCTCGCTTCATGTGCTCGTAGGTCCACAACAGCAGCGCCGTGATCAAATATTCTGTTCGATTGTGCATCTCAACGAGTAACGTTATCAATCATTCCATTAACCGCAGCTGAACCATCGACCGAATATGATTCCCCAATTGCGATTATTGCATTTGGCTATAACTTCATTCGATGCAGGCACCTTTTGTACCGTTCAAATTTGGTTTAGGACGATTGATGGGATTGCAGTGAAAGTTCGGACAGTTAGGACGATTGATGGGATTGCAGTGAAAGTTCCTATCGGGCATGAAGCCCATGGTGGAGCGAACGGACGCCCAACTACCAGTAGCAGACACTGCGTGGTGGCTGTGACGTGGAATCTACCAGTAGAAAGAAACACGTCCTCGCTGTCCGTCGTGTGAAATGCATGCTCAGCCTCTTGCTCGACGTGGACGAGGAACCGCGCCGAGAGGAGACCACATCGTAAACGTCGCCGGCAACCTTGCGTTTGCAGCAGTACGCTACCAAGGCCATTTCATCATGACCTACGTATGCCAAGCCGGGCAAAAAAGCTATATGCCTGGTCTGCCTAGTCCATGTCGGGGGAATGAACGATGCGTACGCACAAGTTGGTGAGGTCACATTTGCCTCGAAGCCACAGGGGGCGCCCTCACAAGGTTGAGCAAGGCCGACACCGTGCATTGTTGGGTCAGGGTGTGAGGGTTCGCTTCATTTCATCCAACAACACGTCATTTCCGCTGCTTCATACTGACCTTGGGCGCCAGTCACGAGGTTGCTCTCCGCAGTCATGGACCGCGGATTAACTGGTTCGTGTATGCGACACACCCCGGCGTACTTTTTCGTGAACAACGCGTCGTGACCGTGGACGTACAGCGCTTCACTGAGACTGCGGATGGCATCGACGACCCGTTCTTTGTTGGCATCGAGGGTCGTTAACGCAAGCCGTAGTGTTGCTGCAGAAGGCGTCGAGACCTTACGGCGCGACCACCAGGCCACGCTGTCGACAGGGTGGGAAGCCGCGGTAGAGCCAAATCCGGGAGCTCAAACGACTGGATCGGGAGTCGTGGGAGTCTTTGCTTGTCGGGGGCTTGCCCATGGTGCAGCCAGCAGCTCACCGCTAGCCACCCCACGACGATGGACGGGATGACGAACGTTGGCAGATGTCACATACCAGTATGTAAGTCCACCGCATGTCATTGTTGCGCGAGTGCTTGGCGATCGAACAGCGCGAGCGGTCAACGTGGTAGCCTTGGAACACAACTAGTGAAGCCGGTCGAGAGACACCATCGCCGTCTGCTGAGCGCGCGATACATCCACGTCTCCGTCGTGTCAAGCACCATGCGGTCCAGCTCGGCAAACCCAACTTGTTTCTCATGAGGTCGAGGTCGCCGCCGCTCGGCATGGTCGGGATCAAGTGTTGGCTTTGGGCCTTTTGGCGCGTTGATCATGGCGACTTCAAACCAAGCCGCTCTGCACAATCGAGAAGTACACTTTGTGCACATGGCCTGTGCGCTTGACGGCCACAGGGTCTTGCCACGGGACCAGCACCATCACCTGTTTCCCGTATGGATTAGCGCTGTGCGAAAGGCCGCTAGCCAGTGCTGCGCCATCTCGGACGATGTGGGCTGGCAGGGAGCCAACATGCAAAACCAAACGACATGTCCCTTATTTGTCACAAAAGTTGTCCAAACAGTACAGTAATCCACCAACGACAGGCAGCTTTGGAGTCGCATGTGTAGGGCACGACAAACCGAACACAGATATTGCATTGGCCAAGCCTTCAAACCCATGCCGGCCTCCATAGTATGGACGTCGATGAAGCGGCGAAAGTAGGCGCCAACGGCCCTCTCGTGGCCCACGGTACGTGATGCATTATGTCATGGTAGCAGTTATGTGACCACCGGTGTAAGCTTGAAGCCGAAATAATCGAATTGTGATGTCTCACGACATCCTGCAGGTATCGCAAACGTTCCGCGATCTTCTGTAAATTTGCCAGTATATATTTCCTGTGCGACTTGACGTCGTTTACGTATGGCCTGGATAATGAATACTAGTATTTGACCTGCTCTTTTGGCAGGTCTCAATGTGCATTAATGGAGTTAAAGGACGCATGCTAAATGGCAGGCAACGACGACAAGCGCTTGGGATATGAGCATGCGCAGGGCACATGCTCCCCAATGTCATGGGAAGTACTCTATATTTTCCGCAACGAACTGCATCGAACGTTGCGGAATGGCCACAGGACACGACATGCGTCGAGGAGGGACGGCCGACCGTTGGTGGTGGCGGCGCATGCCATACTGAACCTGGTTGATCATAACGTAATCGGCTCCTTCGTCATCATCGTCGTCGGAATCGTACGTAGGCGTGGATTCTTGGGAATTCTTCATGTATACGTCCATCGATCGACAGTCGCTGGAACAGAACGAAGAGCCTTTCATCGACCCGCTCAAGACCGTAAACCCGCTGGCACAATGGGAGCAGGTTTTGCGCATCAAAAGCATGGTCGGGCTGTTGAATCGAGCGTCGCTTCGATCCATGTCCGTGGTGGTTGGGGTCACTTGCGCCGTGATGATGGTAGTGGTCATGGCGGCGTTCAAGGTCGATAAACAAAGCGCGCGGTCGGAGGCAAGAAGCGACGGGTCCCTGACATAGGAAAAACGAAAATGGACCCTGATATGTTACTGTCTGTTGGATGGACGAGGAGATAATTCATTGTAAGAGGCTACTCTCCTCTTTTACCTCAAATTCTCTTTCATAGTACCGAAACGACTATAATGTCTCATGTCAACTGATTCCAATATATTGAAATAAGGCAATATATATTAGTTTAAGGGACTTCTCTGTCGAATAGCCGTCCAAAAGGCCAGTTAAGCGTTCCATATACTACAGTAGACGTTTTTTTTGCTCATAAGATGAATAAACGGAAGATATATACGTTTAAACGTGTTTTCTTGGTGGGCAATTCGATTTCTTCTAAAGAACGCAGGTGTTGGTTGGTGTATTTCCACATTGGAGTGATGGTACAGTACAGTCATGGACGAGATTGGATCGGTGAACCGGCGCGGCTCAGCCATGTGGCATCTCATGCAGCCGGGTCTGATTACTTCTCGCGGACTCACTCTGACGTTTGGTTGTAGAAACCCTTATGCCATGAGGAGCTGCCCTTGACGTCGATCCACGCTTGCATGAGGTGTGGACGCATAACTTAGTGTTTAACATTCAATCGAAACAACTGCAACTCTCGCGCGGTAGTTTGAAAGGAATCTGCATGGGACTAGATTTTCCATTGTCCGCATTTGGGCTTGCATGCCTCCACGTGTTGGACGCCCCATTGTTGGTTGTGTCGTCGCTCCTGTGGTTGCCATTGCATGCAGCTTTCGCTGCTGCGTCGTGGATGGCATGCATGTAGGCTGAAGTGGCACTGCAATCGCTTGTGCAGAATTCGTCTGTGGAGGTGGCAGGCGCAATGAAACCTCTAGCGCAATGCGCACAGGACTTCCGCACGACGGTCTTAAAGCACCTGCCACCACGGCGGTTGTTGTGTTGGGAGGCGGACGACGACGCTGGGGAGAGCAACGAATTATTCGCCATGGACGTTCGATATTCAAAAATGGCGTGAAAGATTGGAATTCTGAACAAGGTGAATACTATCGCTCCCACGAGAGAACGTTCGCGACAAGTCGATGTCGTCGAATGATGGTGCGACGTCACCCCCCCAATGACGTGGCAAACTCTTTTTACGAGTTTGACTTTCTCTTGCAACGTGAACTTGTTCTATAAATAGTCGACCCGCAATTCGTCGATAGATGCCGTCCGTGGCGCCCACAGGGGACCTCCTCTTTTGCTGCGGGACGTCGTCGTCGTTGGAGCCGAAACGAGGCCGATCTCTCCAGCACCCTGCCAAGAAGCTTGACAGAAAGCAACCCAAGGCCGTCCCGGCTTATTCGTTGTTTTCCCCGCGCACAGACGATGACATGGAGGTTTGTTTGTCAAAGTTCGTAGGTCAGTTTTGTTTGAAACCTCCTCATGTGGCAGTAGAAAATGGTGGACGTGCTGCGGAAGTCGCTGCACCTGACTAAGCCGAGCACCGCGCCAGCATCGTCGCTCCCGCACGGTGTCGTCAAGCGCCGCGTGTACCTGTCGCCTCGGGAACGGGTTCACAGCTCCGCGATTCGACACAACATGAGCGTCCTCGGCGCCCCTCCGGCGGCGTTGCGACAGACCAGCCCGGGTGTTGACAAACTCCCAACACTCGCCAAGCCAATCGAGTCCACGGCCAGAACCTCCACCCCTGGTAGTACAGGCCATTCACTGTCACAATGATGCTTGAACTAGGCTCTTGACAACTCGGTTCCTCTTAGACCCCGACGAACGGTCAGAAGGATCGCCGAATCAAGCAGCAGCAGTGTCCACCACCCCCAGGCTGTTTCAGTCCAAATCTGCCGACGATGTACCTTGTCTCGTCATGTGTTTGAGGCCTTATGTTGTGGGAGTAGATTCTATCCAACAACGCCACCAATGCTGCCACACTTATCGACCACTCAAAGTCCGAACATTCTCATATTTGTCATTGCCTTCTTACTTTAGTATTTATACATGGCAGGTCATGCTCGGATTTAGACACCATCCGCAGTCAGTTGGCATTTGGTGGATTCCACGTCGAATTTGAAGAGCCCGAGACCACCGAAGACAATGCTCCGACATCTCCCATAGGCCCGTGGATGAACCAGGGAGATGGAGTGCTCCGCCAAGTGGCAGCGACCGCCAGCTCCCCCCGCTCTCGACTGCTTTCGTTATCGGTCGACCCAGGTGGACCCAAGGACCCCCGGCGACCCAAGACGTCTGTAAAGGTCGTCCCTCCGCAACGAAAGAAGCCGACGCCGTCGAAAAAAAAACAACCGTCGCGTCCCACTTCGAGTGCGTCCTCCGTCGACCCCACGACACTTGACTTGTAATAACCACAAACGAAAATACAATTATATGATCCCCCATCCGTGGATGGTGAGTTACGTCTCGACTTCGGCCGGGTTGTTGGAATGCAAAATACCTTCGCTCGAGTCGACCAACTTGCCTACAGACATCGCCCCATGTTTACCTTTCAATTCCACAGTTTTGTCGTCTTCTTGGTTGGGACCTTCTTCGTCATCTTGGTCGTTGCCCCCCAGCTGACCAAACAGCTGCTCCATGAGCTCCAGGACCGTTTGGACGTCCGTGTCGTCGTCGCCGGCGGTTAAGTCCCCCACGGGTACGTCGCCGCGTAGGTAGCTCCACATCCACGGCCGTACCCACGGCACTTGGTCTTTGACGTCATTGAGGTACTCGACCACGGCGGGCACTTCACTCGTCAAGCAAAACTCGAGCACGTAGTACGTGTACTGGTGCAGTGTGCGGTGGAGTTTGAAAAACTCGGCGACTTCCAGCAGCCCCGACTCGGGCGACAGCAGCGCGGCCGCTCGCAGCGACGAGTGGGCATCCGCCACGCCAAGCAACGCATTGAAGACGTCAAACATGGCCTCCAAGTGCGTCGTCTTGACCTGATCCAGCACATCGAGCAGTGCTCGAATCACTGTCAGCGACACGTCGGCATCGTCCTCCACGACGTGGGCCACCACAGTTGCCATGAGCTTTTCAAACCCGCACGAGAGGATGCACGCAGTGCGAGCGACGAACGAGTCCACGTCCACTGATGGCACGCGGGGACCGGCCTCCACCAGCCGCGTGAGGAACCGCTGCTCGATGGGAAAGGTGGCCACTCGCGCCGTTGGTTGCATGTACCCTTCGGGGCAGTCGTCCACTGTAAACGACGCGCAAAAGTGATGCAAGACGTGGCAACGCTCTACCAACACGTGCGCGATGTCGACGGCTCTGTCCCCGTCGGTGGTGGCCTCCAAAAACGCCGCCACGGGTTGAAGCGCCGCGCCCAGGGCGGCGTTGGACACAACGGTCGACATGCACGACGCAGACACCTCGATCGAGTCGCGCTGGAAGAACAGTGTCACGATGTGATCCAAAAAGGTCGCGACCACGTCCGCGTCGGTGGCGATGACGTGGCGTACGCTGGCAAGGGCCAAGTCCCAGAACGCGTGGCGAACAGAGGGCTCGTGGCATAGAAACGTCATGTCAAACAACCACGTGCGGCGGTGGGCGTAGTCGCCGATGACCACGGGTGCGCTTTCGTGGGGCATGATGACTTCGGTGGCTTGGTGAAGGAACCACGACCCCATCGATGCCGCCGCGCTGTGGACATCCAGCGCAGGGACAACCGTGGACCCAGCGGGCAGTAGCGATGCCAGGTCCATGATGGCGCGCAGAAGGGGCGGCTGATGCTCGGCAGGCGCTTGTGGCCACAGGCTTAGCAAGAAACGAATGTGCGCGCCGTCCACGGCATGCAAGAGACGATCAAAGTGATCGTTTTCGACCTGCACACTGGCTTGGAGCGCCAACGCCGTGGAGGACACGGGAAGGGGGGGGCTTTCCACGGGAGTTTTGCTCACTCGATCGTACACCAGCATGTACGCGCTTCGCTTTTTGGGCTGCAACACCGACGCATACGCCCGAGTCGCGGGGTCCCACTTGTCGACGACCTCGTCGCCGCCAAAGCACTCGTCCGTCAAGTTATCCAGACTGAACGGCCGCACGATTTGGTCGTTGAACTCCCACCAGTCAGTCGACTCGGCTCGATCTTGGATGAACGAGTAGTAGTGGCCCATGTCGGCCGTGCCGCTGTGCACGACCACGCCCTTGAGGGCGTACCACGCTTCGTCGTGGCCGGGGCCGCGCTGTAGCCCCTCGGCCGTGAAGGGTGCCATGTTGAGCTGGGTCGGGAACTCGACGAAGTCGTTCAGCTTGACTTTTTCCATCGTGTCGTAGTCAAACTCGAACCGCTTGAGGTGCACCACGAGGGTTTCCGGCAGCGTTTTGATGCACACACGCTTGGTCGCTCGGACTTTTTCCTTGACGACCTCGCAGAAGTACGCGTTATCCCCTTCCAGCGTCTCCCCTTGGACGTAGCTCCCCAACGATGCTTCGATGCTGGGCTTGTGCTGCACGTCCAGACTGAGCACCACAAACGGCTCCTCTCTCTCGCTCACGTGGCCGTGCTCGGTGATGATCTGGTTGACGAGCTGCCCGCCAAACCCCAGCGTTCCGATGGTCATTTTCGACGCTGGCTTTGTTAGCAGCACCGACTCGACGCGGTCCAAGAGCATGCCGAGAAACTCGTCGGCGTCCATTTGCACGCGGAGGTCCGTGGGCTGTCCGTCCACGTCGCGATGAGACACGCCGAACGCGCTCGGGTCGTGCCACTTGCGGGTCGTGTGGATTAACGACACAAACACCGCTTGCAGCTCGGCCACTTCCTCGGCCGCCGACGACTCGGTCGGGTCGACCGCCGTGGCCAAAATGCATTCGCGAAACGATGGCACGTGGAACAGTTGCTGCAGCAGTGCGTTCATGTAGCAAATGCACCCTGGGTTGTACAGCCCCGCAGCGGTGACCCCGTCGCGCGCTTCGTCGCGGGGTGTCAAGTTCCACGGCCGCCCGAGGGTATCCAGCACGTCTCGAACTTGATCATGGAATCGACTTACCCGAGGCGCGAGGCTACTCGCCCACACCGACGCGGTCGCTGCCAATTCCACCACCAAGTCGGAGGCCACTGCTCTTGTAGCGGACGATTTGCACAGCACAGAGTTCGACGATGTGTTTGTCCCGAACAAACACGTGTCCAGTAGCAACTCGACAGCGTCTGCCACTGGACACACTTTCGCATGAACCAATAGTTTTAACACGCCAAGGTACGCCGCTAACGTGTGGTCGGTCGCGCTCCACGTGTCGGTGCTACGATGCGACGTGACATGACTTAGGAAGCGTTGGCCAAATCGACTGTCGTGCATCCACGATTTCAACGTCGGTGCTATGCCGTGGCTAAGCAATGCCACGAGCAACTCGGGCAATTCATTGGTGGCGTTGGCCACTGTACCGCAGACAACCAAGTCACATGTGACTCGCGAGATGTTGGTGAGCACGTCGGCGTGCGACACGACAAACGACACCAATTGTGCACACAAGTCGGCTCGAATTGACGGGTGCCGCACGCTCAGGTCCAGAACCAACTCTTTCAAGTCGGCATCTGTCCATTGGACCACGTCCTCCGCACTCACGGTGGCAAACAGCAGCCGTGTCGCAGCCACCACCACTACCGCGTTCGCTTCGGGGGACGTTCGAACCATCGTCACAGCTTGAGCCGCAATTTTGTGCAGGGAAAGCTGGGCGATGAACGCTGGCAACGTGGACTCTCCCAATGCCACGTCATAAGGTGACGAAGCCAACTGGGTCGAGTCCAGCGTGATGAAGTACTGCAACGTGGTGGCCAGCAGCGCCAAGCACGTCGAGTGCAAGTCTTGGGCAAAGCCAGTCTCGGGGCTAGTTGAAGGGGTATGACTCCAGTGTAGCAACGCCGTGTACAAGTGCAGTCCGCCCCCCAACCGGATAAACCGCTCGCGCCATTGGCGACGTGGCGTGTGCTTGTGACTTTCACATTCGGCGGTCAATGGCTTGAGGAGAGCCTCGACAAGGCGCAGGCCGTAGAGCAGCCGGGGAATGTTGGACGTGTCCAACAGCGACTGCCACGGAACCTTGGATGTGCGCGAGTCCCGCAGCACCACCATGTGCTGCAGCAGCGCTCGATTCGACGGCAACCGGCAAAGCAGCTCCCACGCCCGCTCGGACGTGTCGCCTGGCCAATCCAAGATGGAAAACAACGCGTCAAAGAAATGGGGATGGTTCACCACCGTCGCTTGCATCGTACCATATGCCTACCATAGACCAACCAAAGTCATCAACATTCAAGAGATTGCCATATCCTATTTTTCCCTTACCTCAGAAGGGGGTGGGCCACCAATACAGCGGTCTCCACTAGCTTGGATTGCAAGGGCCATTTGCTCCGAACTGAGGGGGTGCACGCGGGCCGGCCGCTGGGTGTCGATGCGCTGAAGCGACGACGTGCGGTCGTTCTGGACTTGTTCGGGAGTGGGCTGGAACTCCATCAAGATGGCGGCCACGTCCGTGTCGCGTTGATCGGGTCCTTGGGTCGTCGTCGGGGACAGCGGGGGCGGCCATTGCAAGTTGGCGCGTTTGACTTTGGACGGCGACAGCGGCGGTGGTACACTGCCGCCGGCGTATTTCATCGGGGACGGCAGCACCGTCAGCTCGTCTTCGTCGGTGCCGGCCTTGTCCCCACATGCCTCCAAGAAAAACCGCAGCAGGTCGATGCATCGGTTCGCGCGAAGTACATGATTTCCCACGCCTTGGGCCGATTTGGCGGCGAGAAAGAAGTCGATGGCCGTGTCCACAAACACTTGCTTCGACGCGTCCAACAAGGACGGCACGACGTCTAAATGATACCCCACCAACGTCGAGATGGTGTCTTCGGCAACTGTCACGTCGGACGCGTGGATGGCCAGGTGCCACAGCTGCGACAGCCCTTCCAGCGACTGCAATGGCGCACACACAACATGCGAGTCGTCCAGGAAGTTCTGGGCCGCATTGACTTTGCCAAATAGCAGTTGGAAGCACTCGAGTGCGTCCTGGGTGACGAATGTTCCGTCGAGCGACTGAAACTTGGTCAAGAGGTGGCGCTGGAGGGGCAGCGACAGCAACACCACTTGCCCGTGGCTTTGGGGTACCAATGTTTCGCATAGTCGAATCCATTGAAAGAACAGCGACGATTCATCGGGGGAAGTTGCATGTGTCACACAATGGCCCCACAACAAGTCTAAATGGTTGGTTGTCAGTGTGTACGCGCCGCTCGAGGAGGCCAAGATCCAGCTGCCGTGCAACGCCAGTAATCGTCGCTTGATTTGATCGGCGTGGTTCCCTTTTGGCGATTGCTGTTTGTATGCGGTCAAATCATCTAGCAACGTGCACAGAAACGAAACGTTCACGTGATGTCTATGTTCGGCGAGCAGCTCAATCTTGTGGCCTTCGGACATCAACCGACTCAGTTGCGACAAAAACCAGAGCGCCGCGTCATGCCCTTGGCCCCGTCCTTCCACGGTTTGAACACAATCGACAAGCAACTGGCTAAGCAACGTCCCATCTTGCACGATCAATTCATCCAGAAGTGCCAACGCAGCCTCGACATCGTGGTCGCCTGAGCATTTGTTGGCCTTCATGGCCGACCACAGCCACGACACAACACGTGCCAACTGTCCAGAGGTCGCTAACACTCGGAGCGTTGCTAAGGCATGGGCCTCCAGCTGAGAAACTTCGTCTAGAAGCCCAAACACGTGGTCAGTCATGGGGGGTTGGTGAGCAACGTGGGTCACAACGTCCAAATAGAGCTCGTGGACAGCGGCCAACGTGGTGGCGTGGCGACGGGTGTCGATGCAAACGGCCCACAGGCGGGTCACGTGCGACGGCAGGAGCAGTGCTTGATGAATGTAAAACTCAAACACAGTCCCCCCTCGCTTCACGAGTTCGGGGTGCATGGCTTCGCCCAAAAGATCGTCCAACACCTAACCTCATCAACTATTTGTCAACCTGACCTGTCGCAACCTTATCGCATGCGTACCATGTTAGTGTCGAGCCAAGCCACGACATGCCGGCAAGTCCATGTGGGTGTCCCCGCCACCGCCGACAAATTCTTCAACGCGTCGTTCAAGTCGGTCAGGCCGTTGATACGGCGTTCCAGGGTCCGGCCGCGGAACCCTTGCAACGCCATCTACATCGCTCTCATGCATCTTGTACACGAATGAGGGATGTACTACTACTACCTCAAGGCGAAATTCATTGACAAGGACGACACTCGACCGCCGCGGGGCCTCGGTTGACTTGTCGACCCGCACCGCCAAGAGCGTCACCAATTCGTCCAGTTCGCGGACCGATTCCCGCGGCACTGGCGTGCGTCGGACGTAGTGGCACAACGCGGTGGTCAAGTCGTCCAGAAAGCGAACGGCAAATGCGTCGGTGAACAAGTCCACGGCCACGGCCACTGCATTCAGCGCACACACGAGGGCGTCGAGAGAAAACGAGTCGAACACGCGATTGTTGTCGTCATGCTCGTTGTGGTTGTTGTCTGCGGACGTTGGAGAGGACTCATCCAACGCCATATGGACGTCGATGTTGCACAAGAGGACGTGGAATCCGCCTTGATCCCCAAAGAAATTGATGTTCCGGAGGACGTCAGCATGGACTAGCGCCGACGCGGACGCGGCATAATCGTAGGTTTCATTTGTCGATGATGATTTCGCCGTGAGGCGGCTAGTGTAGAATTGACGGCGGTGGTCGAAGATGCGATGCATAGTCGGGATCATGGACGGGTCGCCTTCACGAAGGCGTTGGATGACACATTCCAAAGTAACCTACATCATATATATCCAAATGAGCGATACATGGACAACCAAGAAATGGATACTTGGAGGAATTCATTCACGTGGGGCGCGCAGTCGTCGCCGAACGACCGAGCAAGAACGACGCGGACAAAATGCGGCATGTAATCGGCGATGAGGCGATCTAATGCGTCACCTACACCATGGATATATGTCATCTGCATAAGGATGTCGGAGGTACCTTCGACAGTCGATGACGAGACGACTTCGAGGATGGCGGCGAGGTAGTCGGAAGGATCTACCATCGACGACAGTTCCTCGGCGATCATAGTGCATGTCGTGTCCATGTCAACGATAACTTCTTGGCAAAGCGCTGCGAAGTCATCGGCGTTCATCACCAAGGGCGGGCAACTCCGGCAGTGTCAGACGCGACTCGTGGCCAAAGGCGGTTTCAACTACGACTGTTATCCGGATATGTCGCAACCTCCTTACAAATACCAAGTTCCAGTAACGGCCAGGAATCCGGATGACATGAAACTGTCCGACGGTTTTGCCGACCAATCGACAGGGCGCGTCTACCAGAAAAATCAAATGGATCCAAGCTTCTTCCGCGAGTTGCAGCAAAAGTATGCCAAGGAGAACGTCGAGAGTCTCGATATGCCGGAGTCGACTGCTTCCATGTTTCATGACACCGTGTGTCTTTCGTCGACGGCGGCGGCGATTGACATATGCATGCAATGCCAAGGCCAACGCATTGAAAAAGTTCCGTACAACTTTATGGTGTTGGAGCGAACATGCACAGGTACTGATGGCATTGACGGTCGTATTGTTACATTGCGAGTAGGGTGCGATGGCGAAGGCGTGATCGAGCGCAAACCACAACCGCTAGCAAACAGCCATCACAAGCAGTTATAAACACTCATCAACACGGAATTGTGTGTTCTTTTGCTGGCCTGTCCATATAGACCGCACATGTGTACCTCGTCTTCGCCACTTCACTGTCGACAACATTAAGCTTGTGTCATTTCCTTACTCACCTCTTCTCTGGTGCTTCCTCCTTCCGTCAGCTAAGCTCCCATGTCCATGCCATTCTTTGAGAATATCGACGACACGTCCTCGTTGTATCAGTCCAAATCACCCTCCAACGAGTTCACGGGCGAAGAGCTCTCGCTCCTCTGCGACATGCTCGTTCCACTCACATCCGGACTGCCCGCACTAAGCCTGCCGCCGACATCTCCAGTCTCGTCCACCACCTGCGACGATCTTTTGTTCTTGGACCAGCTAGAACCTCCACCCTCGTTCCTTTTCACCGCCGCCGCTAGTTCCGATGCGAGCGACGACACGAAAAAGTCCCTGCTGCATTGCTCAATTGCTGGTTCGTCACGCTTTTCACTATAGAATCAACTTATATGGTCATGTAGGGTGCCCGAAACGTGTCCGCTCTCGAGGTTTGTGCAAATCCCATGGCGGAGGCCGTCGCTGTTCTGTGTCAGGTTGGTTGCAGGTCTAACGTTTCAATTATGATGACCTAACATGGGCGCGTCCATGGAACTACATTAGGATGCATCAAGAGCAGCCAAGGCCAAGGCCTATGCATCCGTCATGGCGGCGGACGGCGTTGCGGCGTCGACGGCTGCTCCCGCGGAGCGCAGTCGAATGGCAAGTGTAAGAACCACGGCGGAGGGATCCGGTGCCGCGAATCAGGATGTTCCAAGTCGAGCCAAGGCGCGGGGTAGGTTTGCATTTTCATGGAAGGTGGGAATGCTCATGATGGTTGTGTAGCTATTGCCGCACCCACGGAGGCGGAAAGCTGTGCAAGTACCCTGGATGCAAGAAGGGCAGCCAACGCAAGGGCTACTGCGCCACCCATGGGCACGCTATCCCTGTTGCAGTGGACGTTCCGTACGAAACCTATGTGATTTGACCTATCGGTAGCATACTATTGAGTAGTGAAGAGATCTAAAGCCCAACATGGCAAATAGAAAACACGACTTTTGGGTGGTTTTTACGGTTAGCTCGAGGCAAGTTAGACGCGGCTGCCGTAGCTGGAGCTGCTGTTGTTGGCGGCCGCGCTGGATGCCTGTGCAAATGCGTAATTCGTGGCTTGCATGGCGATGTCCGGGTTGTTCTTGAGGAACTTGGTTGCTTCTTGGCTGGCCGGCGCGTAGCCCGCCGTGGGGTCGGACGACGACGAGAGGTTGCCCGACGCGAATTCAGGGTGCTTATACATGATGTAGAAGTTCAAAAACGCATTGGCGCACATGATCATGCCAGCCAGGTACCCCAATCCGCCGCCAGTGCCAAAGTCCATGAACCCAATGAAGAAGATGAACCGAGCGCGGCCATGGTACGAGTACAGAAACCCAAAGTTTGCACGGATCTTGGGCTCCAAGCTCGACAAGCGGCACTCAAACAGGAGAAAGAGAACACCGAACATGATCACGTACAGGGACACAAACACCGCCGTGATGTTGAGCGTAACGATGGACGCCAAGCCTGAGATCCCTGCAAACACCTGCAGGATGCAGCACAACATGTTTCCCACGCGCATGTAGCGCAGCAACTTGGGCGTCTCCAACTTGTCGACATTGCGGATGCGATCGATGACGGTCTTCTTGTCGCCGTTCTTTGGTTTGTTGAGCGAGTCGCTCGAGATGCTCCCCATCGGCTTCGACATGGTTGCAGGATATAACGACGTAGACAACTTCATTCGCCCGAACTGGCTTCGGTTTTATTTTATTTTCATCACCTTCTCTCAAATTTCAAGTCATTTTATAACTCGATGCATCAAGAAAATCGTGGAATTATTGTTGTTATGCGGAATTCCGGATAATGCGTTCAAACGGTGATATGACGGCAAATCGCTTGTCACGTGTGGATGGTGTGTTGTACAGAGGAACTACGACGGCTGGTTCTGTATGAGCAGACGCAGGATGAACGAGATGCCGTCGAGTCGCTCCTTCAGGGCGGGCAGAATGTTCGCGACTTCGTCTTGGAACTTGTTGTCGGCTCCAAGGTGGCCTTGCAATGCTACATCGAGCTGCTGGATAAGGTACAAGTGTCTCGTGTGGATGTCAATGCGGTGTTGGACGAACGCTAGCGGGAGCTCGACTCCTGATTCCATCGACAGATAAGCTTCTTCGATGAGGTCTGCTACTTCCGTGTTGAATATGTTGAGCGCCTTTAAGTGCGACAGAAGCAGTTGCCTCGCGGTAACTACAATCGCCGCTACCACACTGCCGCTAGCGTCGACGGATGCGTCGGTGGCACTACTCTCCATGATGGCTTGTGGTGGAGACTACCAAGTGACCAAACCATTGTCCACGTATACATAGACATCGTCCACTTTCACAGTCGCCTTCTACATGGCGGGAAAAAGAACAACGCCTACCGGGAATTGAACCCGGGGCATGCACGTAGTACTAACGTTAGTATCCTTTGGCCAACGAGAAAACTGTCAGTGGGTCATCATGGCGTTAGGAAGGTTCTCGTACGTCACGCTGGATGCGACAGGCACGTTGCTACGCCCCAAGCACAGTGTGGCCGCGGTGTACGTCGACTTCTTCATGTCCATCATGCCGCCACTGGTCATCCCGATTCCAAGAGATGTTGTCTCGGTCAAGGACTTTGGTCGCTCGTTCAAGTCCGAAATGACCAGGGCCCCAAACTTTGGCTTAGACGCCCACTCGGCAAAGCCATGGTGGGGTCGAGTCATCGTCGATGCATTTCCTTCCAACATGCAAGCGCACATGCAAGCACATCCGAAGCACGCCACACAGTTGATTGATGCGCTCTATGAGCATTATGGTCAAGGCGCAGCGTGGGAGGTACAGAAGTGACAAGTTCACGCGTGGACTTCAGATGGCATCGCACGTTTGTAGGTGTTTGCTGACGTTAGGCCGACGCTGAATGCATTGAAAGAGGCAAATGTATCGGTCGGCATCGTGTCCAACTTCGACGACAGACTGCACGGTATTGTGCGTGACCTCGAGCTCGCCTCAGCAGTTGACTTTGTGCTCACGTCGTGGGAGCACCAGTCCATGAAGCCGCACCCGTCCATCTTTCACGAGGCTGCAAGACGATTGCACTGCCGGCCACACGAGTTGCTGCATGTTGGCGACGACCCGACCAACGACTACTGCGGGTCTGTGGCTGCCGGCTGCTCTGCTCGCCTCTTGTGTCGAAACAACAACGGGACAGTAGATCCTTCTGTTCCCATCGAGCACGTCGTGACATCGCTGCTGGATATTGTACCTTCAAAGGAACGAGGTCGTCAGACGATTGCTTTCCACACAATACTGTCACAACATGCAAGTCGAAAGAGGCGAGTGTGAAGGCGATTCGTGCCTTTCTTTCACCATTGCGCGTCACACAAGTCTTGTCGTAGTCCAAGCGAGTTTGAACACTAATGAACTGGCACTTCAAAGCATCACCTATTTGATTCAGTTTTCTGACTTCTCCACTGACGTCCATGTGTGTTTGGTACGCGTCAGACAGCGGACGCAATGCTCTTGGCCTCACAAGTCTAACCTGAAGGATCATGCTACATAAAATCCTTCTGGTTAAGCGCGTGTTGTTAAACGTTTTCGATCCACGACTGTTCGTCCACTGGAACAGTATGAAACTGCCGCAATATCCTCTATGCTTTAATACTATATATCGAATCACGGAGGAATCCTAGTGTAACCGTTACTTTGAAGCACCAGTCGGCTCACCAAACCGTGAGGGAGGAATGGACGCGCTAACCATTCGACGGGCGCAGGCTAGCGATGCTGCCGACGTTGGAGAATTGGACGCTCCGGAGAAGACGACACAGAGGATCATGTATGGACGCAGCCACGCCAACATGCTCATTGAAGCGTCGTACTTGGCGCTAACGGCAGAAACATCAACCGGCGAAATCGTCGGCTTCATGAGCGTGAACGATCAACCTCCGGGCGACTTGTGCGAAGAGGTGGCCTATCTCGAGTATCTCTGCGACAGCTTTGCCTTGGAAAACCACCCCACCAACAACGCCCTGTGTCGACTAAAGGTATGTGTTCCGTTATCGACAAATACGACTCCAACGTGATGGTGTTCCAGGTGCACACGACCCTGTTCTTAACGTACTTCGTCTATAAGTCCACCGCGAGCGCCTCCGAGATCCTTCCCGAAATGCTCTCGACGATCTTCCACCTGTTGACGTCGATGGAACTGGTGGTGTTTCCCGCCCACAACTCACTCGGCCAGGCAGAGTTGGCGCCTTTGTTACCGCACTTTCATCTTGCTACAAAAGTGAACCCCAACACCAAGGGCTACGATGAAGAACTGTTTGCCGAGTTCGACGTCCTTGTGTGTCCAGGGGACGCGTTCCTGCCGTCGCTGGTCATTCGCAAAGCCAACATCGAAGACCACGACGACTTGGAACCGATCTTGAAAGCTCAAAACCAAGTACAACCAAAGGATTGCGCAATATGTCAGATTCTTACTTTTTGGACCAACACATCACAACGTCCAATGTCGTTTCGTTTTGCACCTTCACGTTTAATCAAGCAACTCAACGTGCATGTTAATCTCAACGTGTGTGTCGTTGGTAGGCGCTGGTGGACACTTTCGGCGATTACTTCTTGGCCGAGTTGATTGGGTCGCAAACTGCGCACAACATGTGCTTGGTGGCGCAGCCCCCCACTGTTCCGTCTCGCGCGGTGGGCATCATGGCCATCTCGGACGAAGTGGACTTGGGAATATTACGGGACTGCTTTGACTTGTCCATGTACAACAACCTGGTCAAGCCGCCGTCGTCAGCGGTGGCTGGGGGCCCTGGCGGGTCACGCCTGGAAAAGATCCTCAAACGGCGCAAAAGCCCCAAGATGATCATGTTTGGGCCCCCTGCCAGCGGAAAAACCACCCAAGTCGACAAGCTGCTGGCCCAATACGGGCTGGTGCATCTCACGATCAACGTGTTGTTGCGCGTGGCCAGTCGCATGAGCCACCCGACGGGGAAAAAGGTCAAGCGGCACCTCGACAAGCACGAAGAAGTGCCGGACGAGATTGTGCTAACGCTCTTGGCGGATCGAATTCACGAAAGCGACTGCATCACGCAGGGCTGGGTCCTCGATGGGTACCCCACGACCGAAGCCCAAGCGCAGGGCATGCTCCAGCGAGGTATCAAGCCGGATGTAGTCGTGTTGCTCGAAGTGTCAGACGAGGAAGTAGCCCAGCGCCTGGTCAAAGTAAGTGCGGGCATGGAAACCAAGCCCCGGCTGAAGAAGTACCACGACCACGCCCCCGGCATTCTCAAGTGTTTGTCGAGGGATCAAGCCTTGATTACGATCGACGGCACAAAAGACAAGGAGGTGGTCACGTACTCGTTGATCCAAGCCTTGTCGGCGTCCGACAAGACCAAGTTGACGCGCCAACACAAAGGTAGCAGCATCACCGACGGAGCAATTGCCCCGCCGACGATTGTCATATGTGGCCCCCCCGCCGGCGGCAAAGGCACGCAGTGCGAACTGCTTGTGAAACAGTACGGCGTCGTACACTTGTCGACGGGGGACATCCTCCGCGCAGCCATCAAGACCGGGTCCGACTTGGGCATCAAAGCCCAGACGTACATGAACGCCGGGGAGCTCGTGCCGGACGAAGTGATCATCCGGGTGGTGCTGGAACGAATAAACGAGCCCGACTGCCAACGCCAAGGCTGGCTCTTGGACGGGTTCCCCCGGACAGAAGTCCAAGCCCAGACGATGGTTGTCCAGGGCATCGTGCCGCAACTGGTGATCGTGCTGGACGTCCCCGACGGGGAAGTGATCAAGCGCATCTCCGGCCGCCGTGTGGACGTGGACACGGGCAAAACGTACCATTTGATCTACAACCCACCGCCCCCCGAGCTCAAAGACAAAGTGACCCAGCGAGCCGACGACACTGAAGAAACGATCAAAGTGAGGCTGGGTCACTACCACACCAACTGCGGCGCCATCGTCAAGACATTTACGCCGACGTCCATCGTGTTGGCGATCGACGGCATGCAAGCCAAAGACAAGATCACGCAAGAAATAGCCAAGGCATTGGCTAAGCCCGTGGCCTCAGATCAAACAGCAGCAACAGCATCATCTGCAGGCGGAAAACCATCTGGAACTGCACCCAACGCTGCTCGAAACGGACCCCCCAAGTTGATCATATGTGGCCCTCCAGCCGGGGGAAAGGGGACCCAGTGTGAACTCCTCGTTCAACAGTATGGCGTCGTGCATTTGTCCACAGGTGACATCCTTCGCGCTGCAATCCAAGCCGGCTCCGAGATCGGTCTCAAAGCCAAGAGTTTCATGGACGCCGGCGAACTCGTGCCTGACGACCTCATCATTCGCGTGATTGTGGACCGACTGGATCAATCCGATTGCCAAGAGCAAGGCTGGCTCCTCGACGGGTTTCCCCGGACCGAAGTCCAAGCCCACGCCATGATTGGGCTTGGCATCGTGCCGGATCTCGTGATTGTGTTGGAAGTGCCCGCGACCGAAGTCATCAAGCGCATCTCTGGGCGTCGCGTGGATGTGGCTACTGGCAAGACGTACCACTTGGTGTTCAATCCACCGCCTCCAAACGTCAACGCCGTGCAGCGCTCGGACGACACGGAAGAAACGATCAAAGTCCGATTGTCAAAGTACAACGAGAACTGCGGCGCGGTTGTGAGGAGCTTTTCGAAAACGTCGCGCGTCTTACGCGTGGATGGCATGCAAGGCAAGGACAAGATCGCCGCAGAAATCCACAGGGCCATGGAAGGTGGCGGGGCGTCCGTCAAGCACGAAGTAATGCCCCCCAAGCTGATCATCTGTGGCCCCCCCGCTGGGGGCAAAGGCACCCAATGCGAGCAACTCGTGAAAAAGTACGGCGTCGTACACTTGTCCACGGGCGACATCCTCCGCGATGCCGTCAAGGCAGGCACGGACACGGGAGTGAAAGCCAAAAAGTACATGGATATGGGCGAGCTAGTGCCGGACGAACTGATCATGGACACGATCTTGGACCGGTTGGGCCATGTTGACTGTGTCCAGCGCGGGTGGCTACTCGACGGGTTCCCCCGCAACGAATCACAGGCCCGGTCGATGGTGTCGTTCGGCATCCTCCCCGACATGGTACTCGTCCTGGACGTGCCGGATGAAGACGTGATCGCTCGAATTTCAGGTGTGTCTTCGTATTGATTCTCGCCAATGTTGTTGGGTTGCTAGTGTGGGAATTATATTAACAATCCATGCGACGTGGTTTTGATTAGGCCGGCGAGTTGACCCCGTGACGGGTAAGACGTACCATGTCACATTCAACCCGCCACCGCCCGATCTGAAAGTCGTCCAGCGATCCGACGACACGGAAGCCACGGTGCGCATTCGCCTGAAATCGTACCACTTGAACGTGAACGCGGTGCTCAAAGTGTTTACGCCGCTGGCCAACGTCGTCCAGTTCGACGGTCGAGCCAAGACCAGCGCCGACATGACGACCGCCATCTTGTCGTCTGTGGACGATGCCCGCGCCTTAGTCGACGTCGAAGGCAACGCGTTCCTCATGACGCTGTTCTGCATCGACGACGCGTACTTGGTCCGGTCGACCGAGTTTTTGCGGTTTGCGTTTTCGCTGTTTCCGCACAAAGAGTACTGCGTTGTGACCGTGGCGCCGCTGTCGACCCCGCCCCTCGTCCTCGCCAGCTTCACCCTCGTGCCCCCGAAACCGTCGAGCACGTACTCGCACTGCCTGTACCTGCTGCACCGCGACGCGCTGTCGTTTCTAACCCCTGCCCCGCCAAACTTTTCCCTCGACATTTCCCGCTTCAAATTGTCCGAGTCGTTCGACCAGCTCGCCCCCCTCGTGGAGACTCTGCCAGCTGCGTCGATTGCCACACTCGAAGACGAGATGGCGCTGGCTGCCGAAGAGGACGAGATCGGTCTCGAAGACAACCCCAAGCACGTGTTGTTTGTTGCTCGCGTTCATGGTATAGTTGCTGCTCGTGTATTGCTTAGAAACGTATGAATGTTTGATATATATTGGCGTCGAGGGTAGGCGTTGTGGTTGCGTTGGCGTCGCTGGCCCGGGACCACGAAGTCACGAATTCGCTCAAACATTACTTTGACATGGAGCAACTGGTCGTGTTGGCACACCACCGAGTCAAAGACCAGGCGATTTTGACCCACTGGGTGCTCAACCCCATTTACGCGTGTGCCGGGCGTGTGATTCTCAAGGAAGTGATGCGCCACTTCAAGAAGACGTGCCTCTTTGCGTGCATCCCTCCGCAAGCACATGTGAGTCCGCTGATCGTGGACGACTTTGTACTGGCGCTGCCGCGGCGGCAAATTGCGTTGCCGGCTACGTCCAACCAAGAGCCAGACGACCCGAAGAAGGCGTTGTTTGCCACGTGCGCACTCTACTTCTTCACCAAGCGGCTGTTTTCCGAGCCAAAGCTGGTCGTGAACACCCGCCTTGTGGTCGTGGGGGCCTCCGACACGGGGCTCACGCTGCTCAAGCGGCTGTTGCATGTCCCGTACGCCCGCTTCACCCACGTGACACTCGTGTCGCCGCACGGCTTGAACGTATTTCCATCATCCTCCGCAGACCTGCATCCGTTTCTCCGGCCGAGCCTGCTCACCCCCACCGAAGTGGACCAGTACGGACTCCCCTCCCACGTCCGCGTCGTCGTGAGTCGCGTCGTGCAAATCGACCGCGTCGCCAAAGCCGTCGTGCTCGTCGACAACTCGTGCCTCCCGTACGACTACCTCGTGCTCGCGACTGGGCTCACGGACGGCACCCCCACCAAGCTGCACCTGACGTCGCAGTACGACGGCGACACGTATGTCCCAGCCAGCGTGCCCACGGGTGTGCACACGTTACACGACGCCGCATCTGCCAGGGCCGTGGTCGACACCCTCAAACTCGCAGGAGGAGCCGCCCACAAACCACCGCCGCCTCGGGTGGTGGTCAGTGGCTCGTCCGCGTTCGCGTTGAGTGTACTGCAAGGCGTGGTGGCATTGAATGTGACCAACGTGACGTGGCTCAAGCAGGGAACGGCGGCGATTGCCACGGACATGCGTGTGCTCGAGGTGGTAGGCGCGTTGATGCAGCGTCACAAAATCACGGTACTGGACCACCACGAACTGTCGTCGCTGGTGGTGAATCCCCGCACGAATGCGCTGGAGGGGCTCAATGTGGTTTCGACGGCGCCGGTCGAGTCCCCGTCCCCCGGGGGTGCGACAGTGTCGTCATCTCCTCGAGGGGGACTTCCCCAGAACACGCTCGTGCCGTGCGAAGTGCTGCTCTGCTGCAGCTACGATGACGCCGACTATGACGCGTTCCGGGCGATCAACGAGTGTGGACTGGTGTACGACGGCCGCCTGGTGGTCAACTCGCGGTTTCAAACCACCGATCCGTGCATCTACGCCGGGGGAAGTTTGTGCCGGTTTTCTCGGCGGTTCCCCCAAGCGCTGTACCAGCAGCACTACAGCGCCCGCGAGTGCGGGGAGCTTCTGGCGGCGTCGCTGTTGCACGCCATCGATCCTCTGCTCGGCCACGCGCCAACTGCCGCGGAAATGGACGTGGCCAAGAAGACTCCGCCACCCAAGTTTACCATGCCCAAAGTGTTTTCGAGTGTGTGGATGGAGGGGATGCAGTACGTGCACATCAACCTCCCCGACGTGTCCGCGTCCCTGAAAAGCCTCACCACGGAACACGCAGACGGGTCCAACTATTGGTACAAAATGACGTTGATACGTTTGTGTGGAGTTGTGAATATAGGGGGGGGGTGGCTGACTCTGTGGTTGATTGTAGCTGCTTGCAATTTGACGAGTTTGGCGTGCTCGCGACTCTGACGTACCTTGGGACGGGGGCCGTGGAAGTGTCCAATCTGCAGTGCGTCGTGGGTCTGCATGAGGCGTACTTGAACTGCGCCATTTCGTCGTTCCAACAGAATTTGGTCTCTGACTGGATCAGCTTTTTCCGCGAGGCATGGGCCTCTGCCATCTACCACGATCGGTAGGATAATCGAGAGAGATATCGTCGATATATCACGACATTCGCAGGTTTCAAGAGTTTTGCGTGCGACTCAACACAGCTCTCAAGTATGATGAGGGCATTCGCATTGTGGTGGAAGCGGTGAAACGACATGTGGCCGAGACGGGTGACCTCAAGGAGGCCATGGAGCTGGCCCAAGCTCAAGCTGGCCGCGGCGGCAAGGCACTTATGCCCACCACGAAGAAAATGATCGAGCTGAATCTGCTCGACTACCTCTCTGCCAATCGGGAAGTGCTCAACATGTACTTCCTGCCGCGTGCCGGCGGCGGCGGTGGCAATGGGGGCAATACGTGAACAGTCCTTGTCGCGTAAATTCAATACTAATTGTAACAAAATATCTCTTTCATACTATTAATAATAACGTAGACCATTAATGTTGCGAACGGTTGTCATTATATCCAATCCAATGGCTTCATTCTGTAATGAGGACTTTTCATTGGATATAATTATATTGAGCCAAAGGAACAGATCTTAACGTGGTGAAGAAATTCTACGTCTCAGATTTAATTTTGGTGAAGAATTGGTCCAGAAATAGATATTTACACCAAGCGGTATTTTGAATGGGTGAATTGACTGTGAATTTGGCCACAGGGATGGCCACTAAGATATACTACAATGTGGTACTTCGGAAGTACTAGTACTGTACTAGTATGTTGATCTTTGTACTATGACAAGTATCAGTACACCATATCGGGCTCTAAAGTGATAAAAAGCTTGAAAATTGGGATTTACAGCTGTTACATAACTATTACGAAGTAATTTTCTTTTTTGGGTTTAACTACGTTAAATATACGTTAAATAATATAACCTTCAGTCTTGGATTTGGCCGATGAATATAAATATCAGAAGTCGTAGTACTCCGTAGTAATACTAGTAGTAGTTTCCATCAATCGAAAACGTTTTCGAAGTACACGACATTTTTGAGATTTGGCATGATGATGGCGTCGTCCCAGGAGACTTGGCGCGATGGTACGTCACCACCAATTCCAGCAAGACCAGAATCGTACATGCCGCATGCCCTCCATCTCGGCCTCGTGTCGAAGGATCCGTCTGATGTGCTCACCGCCGACTCATTCAAGACTGTGCGAACAAAGGCGCGCCACCTTGCAATTCTGTGCGGGTTCCAAGTTCGAATGGCCAAGGGCGGCAGCAACAAACGACGTGTGTGGGTATGTGCCAGTGCTGCCGAGTGTCCCTTCGCCATCGTCGCCCAGAACAACAAGCATGGCATCGAGATCAGAGCCAAGCTCGAGCACAACCACGCTTTCCATGTCATGCCGGAGCAAGGCAAGCGGTACACCACCGCCACGACCGAAGAAGTACGACATTCCCAATACATTGATGTTTTCTAACGACATGATGGTAGCTCGCATGCTACGTGCGGCAGTCGGACGTGTACCAGCACGCGACGGACATCAATAAACTCACTGGAAAGCAGATCTCGGACGTTGTCTTTACCTACACAGGACGGCACGTCAAGGCGAACCGCGCCAGTGTCATCAAGAAGCTGCTCGTTCATTTCCCCGAGCGAGTGGTGCCTTGTGCGTCTCTCTTCCGCGGCCACCACTCTGAGCCTCCGCAACCTCTGTCGTCCACCCCCCTCCTCTCTGTACCGTCCTCGTCGCGTCCGCCGCCTTCCTCACATCACCCCACTCTCGCCATGCTCCCTGTCGATGCGTCTCCCGTTAAGACCATGGCCGAAGCCGTGTGGGACTGCTTTGTGTGCATCGTCAACGCCCCGTGGACCGTCGAGCGCCTCGGCGTCGCGCGCGTCCGCCACATGGTCGCCGTCTTCAAGCACGACCGCGACACGCTGCGGGCCACGCTGCTCATGACGTGTCCGCGGTACCACGCGCTGCCGTGCATGGCGACCAACCCCCCAGACGTCGAGCAGTTTGTCGAGCAGTACCTTCGGCAAACCGACCTCGGGTTCTATTGACAAGTCCCGTGTATCAATATATTTGGAGTGATGTTGTATGCCTTCATTATTATTATGTGCAGACGGGGGTGCTAACTGGGTCGACAAATCAATTGGCCGACAATCGATCGACCAATCAAAACCCAGAACATTAAACGAGTAGCCAATCGAACTCACTCATCTACAATACATATTGTGTGTGAAAATGAAATTAGTGTGTGAAGGGCGACACTCGTCACATACAAAAGTCAGGACAAACATCGATCGATATCATGTATCCAGTGTGTAAATGGCATGGGCTACAGTATATAGCCCATGGTGCCGTCATTCAGAATACTTGACCTCTCCATGATAGAGTCATTATATATTCAATGTGGAATAGGAGGGGGACCTTGAGGGGGGCACAATGGTCCAGTTGTTGCGGTGGATGATATGTTCGACGTGGGGGGTACTACTAGTTGGCTACTGCTGTCCACGACGATGTCGTCAAAGAACCCGAGCGCGACTTGGCGCTGGTAGGCGTCGACAAACTTGGCCGGCACCGGTCGGTTCCCGGATGGACTGGTGGGGTCGTCGTGGACGCTCATGCGCAGAATCGCTCGCAGCGTCGGCTTGTGCACGTCGCGCCTGAACGTTGCGACCATCTTCTTGACGTTGGCCATGCCGAGTGTGGAGAACACGAGCGGGTCGTTGGCGAGCACGACAAAGCACTCCCACGCCACGCTATCCGGTGTGATCTGGCTGTTGTTTCCGACGAGATTGGAAGCAGGTGGAATCACGGGCAAGAACGACGAGGACGACGACGCCAGGCGGGAGTCGGGGGTGGCGCCGCCAGGGGACGCGTACCCGTCTGGGTCCTCCAGCAGCATGCGCTTGATGCGGCTCGCACGCATTTGGTTGATGTGGAACCCCGTGACGTCGAAGATGCAGTTGGCGATCTGTATCCCAGAAATGTGAAACAGGTCGTGGTTGGCAAATAGCGCCGATCGCCGCACTATGCACGCGAGCTACGTACGACGACGCATGAGGGTCATTGAGGATGAGGATCGTTACTTCGTGTGTGGTGCCCGTGGTGAAGCGCTTGTTCATGGCTTCGTGGACGTGGAATGCATGGTTGTGCGGGAGGTGAGGTTTGACAAAGATGCCGTACCGGTTGCGGTTGCCAACGATCGAAAACGGGCAACTGCGATGGCTTGTACACTTCCACTGTCGCCGTTTGTCGCTACGCCCGTCCAGCTTGACTTGGAAGCCCGAGTGTAGGGCGAGTTGCCGTACCTTGGCTTTCAGCACGTCAAAGCTCTCAATTTGAAGAAGACTTGAAGTCGTAGCGTCTGGCAGGGCAAGGCCCAACCGCGTCGCAAGGGGAAGGTATCCCTCTGGAAGAACCTGCACCGCCGCAACCGCCTTTGGCCCTCGCAAAGCATCATTGCCACTGTCTTCTAATGCCTTGTCCAGAGACCCCATTCTATCCACAGGTGCCGCCGCTACATCCTCCGCTGTACTGCGTGAGTCGGTTAGGTTGTCCATGTTGATTCCACAACTCTGTTGCTTGGAATTCAAGCGTACCTCCGATTGGGTAAAATTATATGTCCCTTCCATTGGGCATAAATATACACGCGCTCATCATTTCAACCAATTATAATTCACTATTCACTCGAAAAACCCAAACTGTTCGTGCCTGTGGAACGCGTCCAAGAACTTGATGGGGCTTGGGCGGTTGGTGGTCGTCGACGGCGGCGCCTCTGGGTTCGGGCAGGACATGAGCACGATGCTGCGAAGGGTTTCTTTGTGGAAGGGTTTCTTAAAGGTCGAGACCATCTTCTTCACGGCCACGATTCCCACGGACTGCACAGTCACGGGGTCGTTCACAACAAGCATGAACCCGTCCCACACTGCTTCGGCCAGTGACTTCCATCCAGTTATTCCCGTCGTCGTTGAAGCGGCAGTGGCCTTGGGGCACTGCACCGACATCCCTGGCGCAGTGTACTGCTCTGGGTCGGCCAATAGCAAGTGCTTGATCCGACTAGCCCTCATCGCATTGATGTGGTAACCTGTTTTGGCATGGACAACGTCCGAGATCTGTTGGGCCGTGATCTTCGCAACCGCGGGTGAGGTCGCATATAGGTCCGAGTTGCGCACAAACGTTGCCATCTACAGGACCTGTCTCAGTCGTCCGTTGAGGTGCAACATGGAAGCAACGGATACCTCTTGTGTGGTCGCTTCGCAGAGGCTTAGCGCCGGGACGCCGTCCGCGGTGGAGTGCAACGTGTGGTTGTGCGCGAGTTTGGTGACGAGACTCACTCCCCGTCGGTTCTTGTTCCCAATGATCGCAAACGGACACTGCGGCTTGCTCTTGCAGATCCACACGCGGCGATGGCCTGACGACGGCCGCTGTACCCGCACGCGAAAACCCGACCGGAGCGCCAGTTGACGCACCTTGTCCTTGAGCAGGTCAAAGCTGTCCAGGTCGTTAAACTTGACACGGGAGAGGATACCGAGGGCATAGCACTGCGCGAGATAGGCCTCGGATGGCGGAATTACTTCGATGTCCTCGTTGAGGTCGTCGTCATTGACAGCGTCGTGCATGATGCCACCGTCGGCCTCCACGCCAGCAGCATGAAGATTCAAAGAATCCTCGAATGGAGTAGTACCATCGCCTGACACAGGCAGTGGGGCGATAGAGGCCGGCAGCGACGGGGGCAGCGCCGCCTCGCTCGGTACACCAGCAATAACCGGGTCCACATGCGCATGTACGGCTGGACCGTCACTGACAACGATGTCCACTGGGAATTGATGATGTCCATACGGTTTTTGTTTAAAGACATCCTTCGCCAACTCTGCTTCTATCGCGCCTTGGACCATCGCCGACGCCGCAGCCGCCGCGGTCGGTGAAGGCATGGCAAGCAACAATAATACAGTACACAACGAATACTTCGATCGAAGTACATATACAGTAGAAACCTTTTAAAATCCATTCTACCAAACTATCATTTATTGGAGGATTCCTTTCGTAACAAAACCACGACAACCTTTCCCATGATATCCTACAACATTCTGTCGTCGTCGCGAGTATTTATTTTTCAATAGTTGGCGAAATGACCTCCACCCCATTTGCGTCCTCGACCGTACCCATGACGGACGGTGGCGCGACGCTGTCCATCCAGTTGCCGCTTCCAGACAACGTGGTCGTCCACGCCACACAACTTGATACTTCGACACCGTTAGAGATCCAAGCGGACACAACGACGCTCCTGACGCGAGTGCAGCGATATGCCGACACGGGCAAAGTCGACGTGGAAGGGTTGTGTGCTACGGACGCCGCCGCACTGGTCCACATCCTGCGTCGACTACACGCGACGTTTGTGAAACAGATCGATTGCGACGAAATCCTATGCGACGCATCGCGGAAATGCCCCAAATGCGGTGCCTCCCGCGTCCCGTCCTCGCCCGAGAAAACACCAGGACGAGCAAGCAATGGGCAGTCGTCGTCTCCCATGTCGCCCACCGCCGCCAGCTTCCGACTTAACAGCAGCAGTCCACCTCCCGATGTCGACATGACTTAATCCATTCCTCCTCCTCCCATCTCGACAAAGTTAGCTTTATCCTAATAGTACTGTACAAACAAATCCGTCCACTCTTGAGTTTCTTCCCATGTCCTTCCACTGTTCCCATCACACCTACAGTACATTGTACCCTCGCCATCTCCAACAGTTGTGGACAAAACATCATGTTGATCGACCTATCCTCGTCATCCCGTCCATCTCCTAATACACACGGGCGACAGGGGCCACGGTCTTGCACTCGTCTTCGTCCAGCGTGTGGTAGTGCACAGGTCGGTATGCGATGTGCGTCTTGGTGGTTTCGTCGTCGTGGTACGCCAGCGTGTGCTTCATCCAGTTGACGTCATCGCGCGCGCTGAAGTCTTCGCGGGCGTGGGCGCCGCGCGACTCTTTGCGCGCTTCGGCGCCGTGCATCGTGGCCGACGCGCACGCCAGCAAGTTCTTGAGCTCGATCGTTTCAATCAGGTCCGTGTTCCAGATCAGCGACCGGTCCGTCACTTGAATGTCCTTGAACTTGGGCGTAATCGCATCAATCTTGACCACGCCTTCGGCCAGCGTCTCCTGCGTGCGGTACACGGCGGCGTCGCTCTGCATAGTCTTTTGCATCTCCAAGCGCAGCTCGGCGGTCGGGATGGCGCCATTCGCGTACCGGATCGTGTCGACCATGTGCAGCGACTGGTCGCCGGCGTTGCGGGGAAGCGGGCGCTTGGCCTCGCCCGGCTTGGAAATGTCGGCGATGCGAAGCGCGGCGGCGCGCCCAAACACGACAATGTCCAGCAACGAGTTGGCGCCGAGGCGGTTGGCGCCGTGGACGGACGCGGACGCGGCTTCCCCCGCGGCGAACAGCCCCTTGACCACCTTGTCCGGGTACGTCTTGTTCACGTCCGGCAACCCCGTCGTGTCGGGAACCACCACCTCGCCAAAGTAGTTGGTCGGGATACCCCCCATGTTGTAATGCACGGTGGGCAGCACAGGGATCGGCTCCTTGGTCACGTCCACGCCGGCAAAGATGGCGGCCGTCTCCGAGATACCCGGGAGGCGTTCGGCCAACAACTCGGGCGGCAAGTGGTCCAAATGCAGGTAAATGTGATCCTTCTCCTTGCCCACGCCGCGACCTTCGCGGATTTCCATCGTCATCGCGCGCGACACAACGTCGCGGGACGCCAAGTCCTTGGCCGACGGCGCGTAACGCTCCATGAAGCGCTCGCCTTCCGAGTTACGCAGGATGCCGCCTTCGCCGCGACTGCCTTCCGTGATCAAGCAACCCGCGCCGTAGATACCAGTGGGGTGGAACTGGACGAATTCCGGGTCTTGCAATGGAATGCCAGCGCGAAGCGCCATGCCAGTTCCGTCGCCCGTGCACGTGTGCGCCGACGTGCAGCTAAAGTACGCGCGGCCGTACCCGCCGGTCGCCAACACCTAACGGACACATGAACTCGTGAGCATAACACGGAAGGTGGAAATGGACAAACCGTATTGTTCGTGTGGAAACGATGGATGGTGCCGTCTTCCATGTTGAGCGCAATCACACCGCAGCATTCGCCTTCGTCGTTCATGATCAAGTCCAAAGCAAAGTACTCGATGAAGTACTCCGTGTCGAACGCCAACGAACGGCCGTACAACGTGTGCAACATGGCGTGTCCAGTACGATCGGCGGCGCAGGCGCAACGGTACGCTTGTCCGCCCTTGCCGTAGTCCAACGATTGACCGCCGAACGCCCGCTGGTAGATCTTGCCTTCGTCCGTGCGGGAGAAAGGCAAGCCGTACGCTTCGAGTTCCAACACGGCGCGAGGGGCTTCCTTGCACATGTAATGGATGGCATCTTGGTCGCCCAACCAATCCGACCCCTTGACGGTGTCGTACATGTGCCATCTCCAGTCGTCTTCGGTCATGTTGGCCAAAGCGGCGTTGATGCCACCTTGGGCCGCAACAGTGTGGCTGCGCGTGGGGAACAACTTGGTGATGCACGCGGTCTTGAAACCGGCTTCGGCGCAACCCATGGCGGCGCGGAGACCGGCACCACCGGCACCGACGACAACGGCATCGAACTCATGGTCCACAATGGTGTAAGCACCCTTTCCAGAGAAGGCACGGGCGCCAGTGCTGCTGACAGCACGGGACACTCGTGAAGCTGCTTGCAACATCCTCGCTCACCACACAAAAGCGTAAACTGACTTCGCGCTGGTTCACTGGTGGCGATAATCCGGATAGCTCCGGATAATATTTAAAGAATACACTGGCTGTTTGTATGGGACGTGAATTATATTCGAAATCACTGGCTAGCCAATCACGTCGTTGGCGGTTCAGCAGCTCATGCAACGGAAACTCACCGAAGATCCCGAACGAAGCGGATGTGGCATGGCATGATGGGGATGCAATATGTTCCATTACGTGCATTGGACTTCGGCAGCCCGCTGTAACTGGCAGAGAAGGAACGAGACAGACAAGGGCACTCCTGCGCGTCTGATGCATGACGATGTCCCAAGTGACGTAGAAGGTCGAAATTGAAATTCGGCGACAACAGGAGCTGCAAAGAAAGCACTCCGCATGAATGTGCCGTCCTCTGCACAACCTGAGAGCGAACAATGACGACACATTGTTAACTATGTATGTAGCATGCGTGCATTACTTGTGTGAAGTACTGGTACATAGTAGTATGTAGTAGTCAGCTGGAAGCGAGTTCGCTGCGTTGGACTTGCTATCGGCTTGCACCAAGAATACAAATCAATACCGCAGCAACGCGACCGTAACGGTTTCATCTAAATTTAGCAGTACCTCGTCCAGGGTGGTCATGGAGAGTGGTGTCGACGCGGCGTCGCCTGTGTCGGTAACCGATGCAGTTCAACTGGACGTAGGTCCTCAGCCCGAGTTGCCAGTTGCGTACGTCGAACAGTTCCTTGCGGACGACGCGTGCGCGTCAATCGTAGACGACTTGTGCAATGGCATCGCGCTGCAGTCCGAGGCCAAGCATATGGCCGTCCGAATGGTACCCCACTCCGTTGGTTTCTCTCTTACAATCACCGCCTTTGTAGCTGTCGTATACTAGCGCGGACGTCGTCGCCCAGCTATACGCCGCCGTGACGATGGTTCTCATCCCTCGAACTGATTCGTTTGACAGAATGGCACCGCCTGCGTCGTCGTCCGAGCCTCCGCCTGCATCAAATAACGACAGCACAAGTGGCTTTTTACGGGCGTTGGGTCGCGTGCAGACGTTCGTGACGCGGCGGCGTCACTCTGCCCAAGCGTACATGGCCGGTACCAGCATCGACGGGTCCGTGCACCTTCGCCAAGACGAACTGGTGCCATTCCTCCACTCACTTCCGCTGTTCTTGACCAAGCGCGAGGTGCGTGTCAATCTCTTTCGTCTTTAATATGCCTTGTCAATCGGTCAGTTGTGAAACATATGGGTAGGTGGCTTTCATTTCAAACCAAAGCACGAAAACCAGCAACACCGAGCTAGATGTCCGGTTGGACGTCCACGACATCACCAAACTCGTGGCCACGGCCATCAAAATCGCCAAAAAGAAGGCCGGGGCGTCCCCGTTTCGGCCGCCCGTCGTCTTCCCCTCGCCGGAGGAACCCACCGCGACCCCCCATGACGTCCACGCCCCCAAGGAGCTCAAAGCCCGTCCCCCGGGGGACTCACCCGACAAGGACTCGACAACCCATCTCACCACACAATCGTCCACGTTTCGATTTACGCACCACACTAGTACTACTAGCGTCCCAGGTGACAAACGAGGTAGTGCATCGTCCTATCGAGTACTTGTGGTTGGAGGAGTAGTAGTATGTGGACGAAGAGGAGGGGTAGTAGTAGTAGTACGAGTACTAGTCTAGCTGAAATCTATCGTGGTGGTTGGCTACGGTAGGCACCAAGTACTCGATGGCCGCGACGATTCAAACGACCAAACTGTCGATGGACGACGTGGACCTCCATGTTATGCTGGACACGTCGTCGCCAGACAAAGTGGACCAGGCGTCCATGTCCAACATCTTTTCGTTGGGCACGCCGCGCCAACTGAGTCCGCGGGAGCTCGCGCGAAGGCGGGACATCTTGTCGTATTTGGACTCGATCCACGCGGCCGCCATGCACGAAGACATGCTGGCGAAGAAGAAGCAGGCGCTGCTGGAGCGGCCGGTGAACGTGGTCGAAGGCGACGTGCTGGAAAGCCCTAGCAGCCAGCATTGCTTACCCTCGAATCACGACTCGTTCTTGACGATTGCGACCGCCTTTGACATCCGAGACCCGCCCCATCCTCACGGTAGTGCATTCAGGCACGTTGATGGAACGGCTTTCAACGACGGTGTGTGTGTGTGCTGCAGGACAACCCAAAGCACACAAATCCAAGCCGGTTGGTCGAAAACAGACCCAGGAAAACCTCGTGGATCTCCCAAAAGTAATATGTTACGCAAATGTGCATTTGACAATGGCTCACGGTTGGCAGATGGCAGAGGACGAAGCCAGTCCGCAGCCGATCCCAGACTTTCACTTGCCTCAAATCGACACCAACCGCCTCGAAGTCGGCGTCAAAGTCGTGTACCCCGGCAAAGAAAAGATTGGCGGCAAGCGCAACCCAAGTCGAAACGCACGGCTCAAACTGCACAATTACAACGTACGCCGCCACCATTCAGGTTACACGTGAACCCGCCATGTCGTCCTACTAGGTCAAGACCCCTCCCCACTTGCCGCCTGGGGACTTCAATCCCCCACTCCCAGCCAAGTACAAAACCAAATCGACTGCTCTTCTCTTTCACACTAATTCGAGTCTCTCAGACCTACCGACGGCGGGGGCGTCATATTGCCCAAGCTCCCCGTGTCCCCCATCAAAGCCAGCCAAACCCAACCCGTACTCCGCATCTCCATTTTCATCCGCTTTTAATTTATCGTACGTTATAGGCAAAACCCACAGTCCCCGCGGCGCCCCTGCTGATGCTGCCGAAATCCATCGCCAGCCCCATCAAGCCCCCCCCCTACGTACTGTGTCTCTTATACACCTTGATTTTTCCTCAATGTATGATTCTAGCACGACGGGGAAATTTCCCAGTACGCAGCGGGGACATCGCCCCAGCGCGTGGCGATATCCCATGCGCGAATGCGGGGCAAGCCGCCTGTTCGAAGTCGGTTCAAGTTTTCAGACTCGCTGTTTCGACCGTCGCAGGTAGCAAGTGCCCATTCTCTCTTGTATAACCAACCCCCTCTCATGTAATAGTACGTATGATGTAGAATTAATCACGTTAATCACCCCCCCGATTGTCATCACGGGGGGTTTGTGAGTTATCCGGATGTGACTGGTTGGACATGGTCAAGTGCTTTTTCACGCCGATGCTGGCTTGGTACCCCGTGTACATGACAAATCCGTACGGATTGACCGAGCCGCCCGACACGAGGCTGCCGTCGCCTACAAACACGTTGGACGTCCCGCGCACCACCAGACTCGTGTCCGCGCACGACGATGACGACGACGGATGTGCGGAGCATGTGCCGCCGAAGTGGTCTGTCACCAATGTATGCTGACGGACCCACTCGTGTGGGGATTCTTCCCACGATGACGAAGCGATCGTAGCCTAAAACGTGGAGGGAGAGACTGTGAACACGACCATGGGGGACGCAATGGATGAATATAGAGAAGGATGGACATGTACTTACTTGGTCGGGGGGTGAAAACACGGGCATGGTGTCGACATCTGAGAGGCGTGAGATTGTTTGGTTGATGTACGTGACCATCATGTCCAGGTCGTCGTCGTTGTCCCAATACAGCGTGGTATTGGGCAGCATCCCATACAGAGGACGACCACGACGATTGGTATTGGGGGAAAATCCCAACGCTGCGCGGGACATGGGGTTGTTGAGGTTGAAACACAAGGTGAACTCCATGGCATTGTCCCCGTAGGGGGGCACGGCGTGGGGAAACACGGTGATTTGGAAATGGAACTCGCGCGAGGTTGTAGGATGAACCACCGACTCGTACGAGATGAAGACGGGGTTGGAGCTGGTGAGGGGGCCTGCGCGGCGGTCCAGAAACTGGCGGACAGCCTCTGGTGGGGGATGGAGGTAGTCGAATCCAAAGCGGCGACGGCCTTGCAGGACAGAGGTGGGGGCGCGGAACGTCACGGCGACCTGGTGGGTGTCAAAGAGTTGCGCGCCCACGGCTTCGTTTTGAATCCAAGGCCCCAGCGGCAACGGCAGCCCCAGAGCGTGGACCTATCACTCACATAAGTCCATATCCGTTACAAGAAAAGACTCGCGGGGGAGTGGGATCGTACCAGCGGAAGTTGCTGTGTGGGGCCAATGCCCGACTGGAGCAACAGCTTTGGAGTGTTCAACGTGCCAGCTGCCAACAAGACGGCGCCATGGGGCGACCGCAACTGGGCCGTCCAGAGCTAAAACCAACACACACCGCCTTAAATATATCGAAATGGACACCGCCGTGCCTACCGCATTGCCTTTGTTGTACACGACACCGGACGCCCGCCCATGTTTGTGCTGCACTTGCACTGCCGTCGCCCACATTTCCAACACGACGTTCGATCGAGTTGCCATGGCGCCGAGAAAGGTCTTGGCCGGCGAGTCCCGCAACCTGCCCCATAGTTACACCACCAACGAATGGAGAAGACGGTCGTACCCGTGCTTGATGGTGAACGGGGGATGGCCATACACGAGGTGCTTGAGGTCGGGAGTTTGGTTGATGCTGCGCTCAGTAAAGTTGGCGGAGTGCTTGAGCGCCGACGCCATGTGAGCGTACACGTCTTGGGCGTACCAGAGTCCGTCGGTGGAAGGCACGTCGGTCCAGCCAAACCCTTTTTCGATCTCGGCAAAGCTAAATATGTCATATACGTATGACATCTCCAATAATAGTCGAGCGTGTGAGATTGTGGGTACCCTGCCGCGACATCGGCCGCTCCATATGGCCACTGAATCTCATCCACATAAGATGCAGGCGGACGAAAGTAGAGCGCCGCGTTGATCGAGGAAGACCCGCCAACGAGCTTGGCCAGGTGATTCTTGGGAGTGTCCAACCACTCCATGTGCCACGAGCTCGAGACGTTGCTGGGCAACATGAACGCCACATTTGCATATTCGCCTACGTACGTCGTCGGGAGTTAGTGTGTTTGATTGAAAAGAGGAGGGAGACTACATCACCTGGAATGTCAAAGTACGTCAAGCCCGTGCCGTTGGCATACGGAGGAACCAACGTGCCTCCAGTGCACTGCACAAACTCGTGAGATCAGGGACATGGGCGAGGCGGAGAGCATCACACCTGGAGACTCGGACCGCCAGCTTCAAGGATCAACACGTTCACGTCGGGGTCACGGGACAGCAGTTCTGCCGCGACAAGCCCTGCGGGGCCACTCCCGACGACGATCACATCGAATGTTCGCTCGGTGGATGATTGCGTTGCACTTGCTGGGTCATGCGGAGTCAGGTCAACGGGGTAGAGAATGTCCGAAGCAAAGATAAGCATCGACACCACGAGGGCGACGAAGAAGCCTTTCCATCCAAGGGCGTGCCGCTCTGGCGCCGCCGCCGCATCTGAAGTGCTGCCGTATCGTATCTCCATGGCGATCTTCAATGTCTGGGACATCACATATTCTGCTGATTGGTGGAATCCTTGGACGTAGCCAATCAAATTGCGTCAGAAAGTTGGCATATCTTCAAGGTCATCCTCGCATGTTATCATCCATACTGTACAAAAGCAAAAATAGAAGGTGAAAGGGTGAAATACAGCGAAAGGTCCCCAGTTCGATTCTACAAAAGTGCAAGAAGTCACATGCAGTAACGTTATACAGTATCGCATATCTCCCAAGATGCAACGCATTCCCTGGAGTGTGAACAACGCTGCGACGAGCATCGTTTGTCCACCTCCATCACTAAACCACACAAAGCAGTGTTCACACTATGTACTCGTGCATCTGGTCGAAATCAGCTAATGCTTTGAGAAATCCTTGCGTTTGGAACGACTTCTTTCCAACAACTTTGACAAACTGACGTTTGCCTTTACCACCCCGACTTTGCTCATGTAACGTTACTACGTTCTCCATTCATTAACGTTACAGTGTAGTATATCACTTGAATTCCGAGGGCGTGGTGGGGCGCCCCCTCCAGCACTTTTGTGCGCGACCACGCTGCAGAAAAGTCCAGCATTACTGCTTCGATGTAGCTTTGCAGGCAATGAAAGATTCATCAGAACGCCCTCGAATGTTTGGTGGTTTTCGTGGGAAATTGACCGACTTCTAACTGTATTTCGACCTCCAGTATCCTTTCCGATACCATGTGCTATTGCCGTCTGCGGTGGTGTCGACCACGGGCAACCAGTCCGAGGGGTTGCCACTCCCCAACTCCTCCATCGCCCGGACGAGTTGCTGCTTCTCGTCGAGCAACTGCTGGGCATTGTGGGACGAGTACGGGGCTGCTGCCTTGGCCTCTGGTTGATCCTCTCGTTCATATGGACGCCGCGATTGTCTTGGTGGAACTGCAGCTGCCGTTGTGTGGTCAAACAGCTGCTGAAATTGGGCGTGCAAAATGCCAAGTTGGTTTTGAAGGTGCTGCGACCCCACGACTTCGGGATTCGCAGACGGCGGCACGTGGCTATACATGGCGCCTGCCGAATGCACGGGTCGCTGCGTCAAATACACGCGAATCGTGTGCAGTTGCTCCTACAAAAGATCGTCAAGGCCAGTCAATCTTATCACTCGTCCGACCATCAAATGTTTGTTGTTGTCTTCAAGTCGAGAGATCTCCTTGTTGAGAAAGTCCTTCTCGGACGAGTTGGTCTTGATCTGTCGCTCCAGTTCGCGCTTGTCGTCGTACCACGCAGCTTCCCGTTGGCCAGACTTTTGCTTTTCCAGCACCCATGCGTCTTCGTACTCGGTTTTGAGTTTGCCCACCATATCGTCGCATCGTCGTTTCCATTCGTCACTAGCCCTACGTCAACAATATACCCCCACATTAAAGAGTTTACTTGACACTGAGGATTGATACCGTTGCGTGGCAGCGGCGGCAAGTTGTGGGATCTGCCCGGCCAGTTGCGCCTTAACTTGCTCCATTTCCATGGTCCAGTGCTTCTCCAACTGTCTTTTGGCCGTCTCTTCGTCGTGCAACTGAAGCTTGAGCTCCTTAACTTGGGATTCCAGCACTTTGGACGTGGTGCGGAGTTCGTTGATAATGTGGTGATTCTCGCCGTCGATGTTTCTCGCCTTGAGTCGCCCCACCTCTTCCTTTCTACACGACATCATATTGCATGTATATGTACATCCCACTTCAGTTTGCACTTTTCGTACAAGTCGAGAATATCTGCGTCCCGCTGTTCCACGCGCCCCATCTCCTTAAGCCGCCACTTTTCAGCCGTGACAAACTTCTCTTCGGCGCGAGACATGTCGTATTCATAGCTACAACAACAAGGTCGAAAGTTCTACGCATGGGCACCGTAGGCACTTGGAATAGTCGGACGTACCGGGCATTCAAACTCTCGAGTTCCCGCATTCGATACAAGTACTTGTCCGTCTCGGTTCGATGCTACCAACACACAATTAGACAACGACACCACTAAAAGAAGACGCACGGCTACAGTGAATATCTGTACAATAAATAGCCAACTAACCTCGGAGCGCATCGTTTGCAGCTGGGCTTCCAACGCCATCACTTTCTTTTCCACGGCACCTTTTTCGTTGCTCAGGAGGTCAAACCGTTGCTTTTCCATAAAGTCCTTTCGTACGAATTCCTCGAGTTGAGCTACATGAAACGTTGACCACGTCATACATCATTGAGCTGCGAGGGTATAACAAAGGTACGTACGTACCTTTGCATTGCATCAACTGCGACGACTCGAGCGACATGGCTTGCTTGAGGTTGCGCATGTCAAAGTCCACCGTCGCCTTGACATCTCGCAATCGAGCTATGTCGATGTTTAAGCTCTCGATCTCCTTTTTAAGCGCCTGCACTTCGATCGTTTGGACGCTGCCTCGCTCCTTGTCCCGTCGTAACTACACTTGAACATGAATGCGCAGTCGAATCATACCAAGAATCAAAATGAAAGAACACCTCTTCCATGTCAAGTTGCATCTTGGATTGGGCGTGGACATGTTGTTCCTGTTGACGCTTGACCATATTTTGTGCATCGTCGAGGTCCTGAAGGGCACTTTGCAGGCTGTCTTGACTAATCATGTCGATGTGACAAGGTCAACATATCATTTTGTCGTACGTCGACTTCAATTCCCGCTCCGCCAATCGTTTTTCCTCGGCGGCTTTGCGCTCACTGTCTTCCATGGCCTTAGCCCGGGTCCCCTACACGTGCCACATAAACTTCAGTGTCTAGACCAAACGACGGTGTCGACTGCACCGCATCATCTAGAAGGCCCTTTGTCCGCTGCAGTTCGTCCCCCACTCGCTGCAATCTCAATTCGAGATCGTGGTTTTCTCGCGTGAGATGCAAGGTCGTTCTTTCGTTTTCGTCGTGTCGTCGTTCGAGATCGCTCACTTGGTCGCGCGCGAGTCGCAAGTCTGCGTCAAGGGCAATTCGTTTCTTCACTTCCGAGTCCATTTGCATCGTCATGACCTTGTCTTTGGCCTCCAATGACGCTCTCTAGCATAGACAAGAACAACCATAATGACGTTTCAGACCAATGGAATGCCATACCAAATCTGCAATTGTCGCGGTTTGGGCCTGCAGATTTGCGTGCACCACGCGCATCTCCTCTTCTTGATCGGTACATTTCTTCTTGAGCCGATCTAACTCGCCTGTTGAGTGCTGTAGCGTGATGTTCGTGGCTTGGCGCATCAGTAGTTGCTCTTTCAGATCTTCCACCTGCAAAACCAAAAAAAATCAACTCATCTCTGTAGTATTTCAATTGAACGAACCTCGATGGAGTGTTCCTTGACTTTCAAGGCCCACTCGTGATCCTTCTTGGCCATAACTCGCTCGTGGTCGGCTTGCAAGTGACCAAGTTTTGCCTGGAGTTGGGTCATTTCGTGCTCTTTTGCGGCTAATTCCTTGCACGTGGCGTCGAATTCAATGCACTTCACTCCCAATTCTTGCGTCTTGGCAGTCAATTCAGCCGTCACCGCCGACGACGCAGCTTTCGTCGGTTCTCCATCACCATGTTTGCTCTTAGCTTCCAACGCGGCCACTTTGGCTTTTAATTCAATCACTTTCATGCGTAAATAGTTGGACTCCTTCGCTTCCACCTCGGCCTGTTCCTTGCCTCGCTGCAACGTGTCAATTTCCTTGTTTAAGGCCGCTTTCGCCACTCGCTCGGCCTTCTCCGCGGCTTCGCGCTCCTTTTTCAGCTGGAGCACTTCACCAGTCAACGCATCGACTTGTTTTTCTAATTTTTCGATCTTGTCCCCTTGCCCAGAATTCTGAGAGGTGGCCGACGTCGAAGACGACGATCCTGCGGTCGTGACAGAGAGCGATGGGCGTGGTTGAAACGGGGGGGTAGCGGGGACCGGGGTGATGGTCGACGTTGGTGAGGGCTTGGACACCATCACCACCGACGCACCTGCCTTGGTAGCGTCACATGTCTTCTTGATCGAATTTACCACGCTGGGTTTGGGTAGAACGGTCGTCGCCTTGGACAGGCTTGGCTACATCACGATGGACCCCCCGTCAGAACATTTTAAGAAAGGCTATACCTAGTGTTGTACCACATCCAAGTCGTCGTCGTCGTCGTCGAGAAGCCACGACTGTGAATCTTTTCCAAACCCCACTGGTTTCGTGACAGTTGTGGTAGAAGCCTTGATTGACGCCTTGAACGGTTTTGGCTCGTCGAGGTCCTCCATGTCGAACTCCTCAACGACGGCAGACTTGACAGGTGTGCTCTTGGGGGCGCTGTTGAATGTCGCAGCTGTGGAATTTTTCGACGCAGCGGCGGCTTTGTCCTCAGCACGCTTGGTGTTGATCATGGCGCTGTAGTGTTTGTCCATCGGATGCTCCCACACACTTTCTTCGGTGTTGACGTTGAAGTAGTAGATCGTGCCATCGTCCGACTCGCCTAGCCACCGAATAACCAATCCATCTCGATGTAATGGTATCCTGACGCACCTTGTTCCCAGTCTTCTGGCACTGGCGCCGTCAACGCTTCCTCAACTATCCACAGGTACTGCGGCTCCTTGTCTGGGTCGAGCCCCAGCGTTCGAGCATACTCGCGAACAGCGTCCTTGTACTCTGGACTCCCTTTGTCCATGCCACCGCCACTTCGAAGTACGACGACACGACCACTGACAGTTTCAACACATTCTTATTTGCTATTTAAAACATGGTCCTCCCCAAGGTCGATGAGTGTCGAGGGGGCGCGGCTGTGGTCAAGCGAGGACGGACGTTGAGTAAACTTCTGGATGCTGCCGGTGTTATCGACGCCAACGTGGCTGCATTGCGCGGCCTCGAGCTATCCAAACTGCCCTTCATGGAAGAAATGGTGCCATATCGAGCTCGCCGCCATCCCGAAACATTGAGCACTCTCGCGAGGTGCACTGCCTACACCATACGTAAGAAGGCCCTCGAGCTGCAAGCCCAGGCCCCCCTCGCACACGACCACACGTTTTTCAGCAACGAATCTCAAAGTAACTCGCTACAACATGTTCCACGACGGCGACCGACGCCACTGCGCTCCATCGTCCGCCCAACCCCCCCTCCATCTATAATTCTCCCCGAATATGCGTCATCGCATTCGTCAGCAGTAACGTCGCCGAAGACAAAAAGCCTGCGAATCACATATCGAGCAACCCCACATCCATCGACGAGTCCACCCAAACTAGTACGTAGTACGAATATATCACATTCAGCTACTCACTGCATAACCCTCTCAGGCGCTCAAATTCAAGCGAAAACGGCCCAGCGTTGGAGGAGGTGGCCCCACTGGTCATTCGGCCAGTCGGACAAAAGTTCCCGAAGTGACCCAGGTTGCGTGCTGTCACCCCACTCACATCGTGACACAGTACCACGGCCACCTGAGCGACTACAACATTGAAGGGCTTATGGCAGACACGGGATTTTCCCGCGCAGAATTGTACACAATGTGGAGTCGCTTCAAAGCGCTGTGTTCGCTCTCCTATACCCCAAAGGGGGTCGGTAAGTGGGTGTGTGCTTCCTCGACGCTGGTCCATCACAACGACTGTCGTTCGTAGACCAAGACACGTTTCGACGGGGGGTGCCCCTGTTGTCGATTGAGGATTCACTTTTTGTGGATCGGGTGTTTTCGATTCTGGACGAAGACAAGTCGGGGATCATCGAGTGGCCAGAATTCATCCGAGCCATGTCGGCGCTCGAAAAGGGCGACTTGCGGGACCGCATTCGGTTCCTCTTTCAGGTCCGTACGCATTTGACAGAACCGAATAGCCAGTGCCACTTCAAACATTGTGTGCTTCACGATGACAGGTATATGACTTGAACTGCGATGGCACGATCGGGCGCGACGAATTGGCGACGTTTTTCATCGCAAGTCTGATGGTGAACACGCCAAACGATGACCTACAAGAAGTCACACGGCAATTTGTGGACGAGATTTTGTTCAAGTTGCACCCCACGGGAGGCGGCGTCGTGACCAGCCAAGACGTGATCAACTACATCGACCAAGCCCCCCAAGACGATATTTTCACGCTCTTTGGGCGCACGATGCTCACGGAGACCGATCGTCGGCGAGCGCAGGAAGAGCACATGACTGGTGCGACATTGGACATGGACAACAACGAAGACGACGACCCAGCATAAAGTAGTTCAAGTCTGCAAATAAGTTATGTAATCAATGAAGGTAGTTGACGAGGACAGAGTCCAGTGGGGCATGACATACATGAATGTACGCTGGTGCCACATACCTTCGACACGCAAGGCCGACGGTTCATCATTGCTTGACTACAGTACAATACGGTGAAACTCATTTGCATGCAATTATTATTGTACTTGGAATCCTTTCTGCAAGGATTCCTACAACCCTCCGTCGTCAACATCATGCTATCGTCACTGTAGATAAAAAAAGTGCTCGTCGCAGCGTTATTCACTCTCGAGGGAATGATTGCATCTTGGGAAAGATGCGTTACGCTGCAAGTGACTTCATTGCACTTTGATGGGATCGAACTCGGGACCTTTCGGACTAAGTGTTCAACCACTGAGCTATTTCAGCTTTATAGCGAATTGTAATCTTTAAATGCACCGATAACATTAATGTAATATATCACGCGTCCTTTGGATGGACCAATCAAATTGCCGTACTTCCTTGGTACGGTAGTTTGAACTGCGAGGCAATGGCCGACGATGCTGCATTGATCGATAACACTCCGCAGGCGAAACCAGCGTGCAAGAAACTCCACCTTCCCGACGGGTTCATGACCTTTGTGCGTGAGCATGGCATCGATCCCAAGGTCTACGACGTCGATCCAAGCGCGATGCCGCGGTATTTTCGGTACACCCACCGTTGAAGTACCAAGTCAAACCACGGCGCAATAGGACCAAAGACGACGCGAGCGTCACAGAAGAGGAACTGCGTCGCCACTTCCCCGCATTAGAAGTCGTGCCTTGGCTTCCAAACTTCTACGCCATCCCATCCTCTGTGGCATTGGCCACCAGCGATTTGTACACACGCGGCAAAATCTACGGCATGGAGGCGAGCTCTGGGTATGCTGTCAGTGTCTTGGACGTGCAGCCGGGTACCCAATATTCTTTGTCCCAGCACACCTTGGTACTCATGATTAACTCCAGGAGACCACGTGTTGGACTTGTGCTGTGCCCCCGGTGCAAAGCTCACGATGTTGGCCGATGTATTGCAGAAGCGCGGCAGTGTCACAGGGGTGCGGTAGCATGACACATCTCACTCTATCCGTCCTGTTGATCGCGGCTACTGAAGTGCGTGCTAACATGCACCTAGGTCGACTTCTCCAAGAGTCGCATTTCTGCGTGCAAGACACTGGTACACAAGTACGACCTCATTCACGCACACCCACCCACCGCAACGACGTCGCAGACTGTCGGAGCATGGAGATGCCGCCTCTTCCACGCCGACGGTCGGTCGTTTCATGTGCTTCCGCTGTCGAACGACACGTCCAGCGCGTTGGAGACCGTCTTGGACACGGCAGAAATCTCGGCTCGATCTACCAAGACCGTAGCTCGCAAACGCGTCAATAAGAGGTGTGTCGGCCAGTAGTACATACATTTGCACGCCTCTTGTATAACATTTGCATGTGGCATGGCAGCGCTCGGGCTCGATTGGCCAAACAAGCCAAAGCAGCCGTCCCTCAAGTCCCCACCTCCACTAACGAGGAGGACGACGAGGCTCATAGTTCGTCGTCTACATCCACGTATTACGACAAGGTGCTGGTGGATGCCGAGTGCACCCATGACGGATCGCTGCGTCATTTGGTCAAGATGACATCGGACGCCGACTGGAACGAATACCTGGGCAAATACTTGAGTCCGACGCACGTGCAGGGCGTCTTGGACCTCCAGCACGACCTCATTCGAAACGGGTTTCGCTTGCTCAAGGAGGGGGGGCGCATGGTGTACAGCACGTGCAGCTTGTCCCGCAAACAGAACGAAGACATGGTCGACCAATTTCTCCAAGATGAACCCACCGCCCGCCTCGAAACGTTTGACACCACCAACGTTCCCCACCAGGTCAGTTTTGTGTCTGATACGAGATTGATGTATCGTGACATGGTGGTTTAGCCGGGACACATTGACCACACGATTCGATTCACGCCACTTGAAAACACGGGCGGGTTGTTTGTGTCGCTGTTTTCGAAAACCAAACCCACCAAACGCCAAAAATTAGATTGAGATGTGGTGATTCGTACAATAAACCAGTGCTTTACATAGTTCGACTGCGGTTCTACTTGTTCTTATAACGGAGGGGGCTCCACCCACGCGAATTCGTCTTCGAGTTGGGCCCACATGAGCGCCATCCGCTCGTTTCCGAGGACTTTGGCTAGCTGCAGCTTGTCCATGTTGTGCTTGGCAACCTCCGAAAGATGGGATGATGTTTGTTTCTTGGGTTTTCGCTTCTTCTTTGCTGAGTGGGACGGAGGCTGGTGGTGCAATGTTGTGACGTGGGTGGTGTTGTTTGTGTCTGCCAACGCTACCACTTGGTTGTGGTGTCGAACGACGTGGTACGACACTTGTTGCACCATGACAATATCCGACTGGGCCGGGGTGGTGGCGGCAGGTAGAAACGTATGGTTGTGACGAGGGACGGACCTCTTTTGGAGACGGGACCACGGAAGGGTTAGCTGTGATGACGGGTGCTGCTGCTTTCGCCGTCGAAACGATGGAGGAGCCGTCGCTGGTGGTTTCACGGATGGAGGGACTGCAGTAGTTGCAGTTGTCGAGCTTTGAAATTCTGTTGGAGAGTCTGCCGTTTTCGTGTCCAGAGGTGTATCGTCGTCGGCCTGCACCTCCTCTGCAGTAGTGGTCGTGTCAGTGGTTGGCAAAAGGGGTTGAGAAGGCAGCATGGGTGCGGCAGTGCTCGGACGATGCGCTCGAGGTGTGTCATTAGTTGATTTCGTGTCGACATGACTGCTCGGTCGCCTTGTCAGGATGTTGGTGAGGATGGAGATGTCCGCTGCGGGTTTCGGAAGCACATGCGAACTCCTCGACTTAGGTACTGTTGAGCACGTTGGCAGACACTCGTCTTCCTTGGGACACTTGCCCGGCTTGGTAACGTGGGCTTTCGGTGGACTCGATGGCCTCTTGTGTTTCTTGGGGCTGGTGGGCACAAGGGGGTCGGGCACAGTGGGGTCCGTCGGTGGAAGTTGCCACATGGGTTGCCAGGGTAGTGTGGCAGCAACGTACGTCTTGGGGAGAATCACAGGCACCGTCGATGCCTCTCGCTTCCCTGGTCGCCGACACTCGGTAAGACCCCCCCCTTCCACCAGAATCTCTCGCAGTTGAAGCATGTCCTCTACTCAACACCCGCATTCTCCCATTGTATCTCAAATCGTCTAATCGTACGAGTTACCACAAGACATGGGTTTGCCTTCGGCAAGGGCCAAGTACAAGTTTTGTTCAATGGCGGCAGACATCGTTTCTTGCGTGGTTGTATTGTCTTGTTGGAGTTGCTGGCGTCGCAACTCGTCGCCCAGTTTCTATACATCCGCAGCCCCACCACCAATTCAAGTTAAGAACTCGTCACGAGTGCATATATCATCGTCATCCCACCTCGAGGTACGTGGCAGCATGCGAATACTCTTCCGAGGCAAACACGCTGTCCTGAGGCGGTCGATCGTCGTCGACCCCAAACTTGGCCGACTTGGCCTTGGCGCTGGTTTTCTTGAGCTCCGAGTCGTCGTGGTAGACCGAGTTGAAGTCGTCCGATAGCTGGTCTGCTTGGTTGTATCGATTCGCGTACGCAGCGTCCAGCTTCTTGAGCTCGTCAAACGTTGGCTGCGTTTTGGCCATGTGCTCAAAGTACTCGTGGATCAACTCTACTTCGCGATTCAACGACGCCCCGCCGCCGTCCCTTGCCGCTTTTTTCAGCTTGTCTATGTTTGGCGAATGGTTGCTCATGTGTGTTTTAGTAGACTTCTGGGGTACCTTGGGCGACCTTGTCCACGTGGTCCAACGCCGCCGCCGCCTCGCGCTGCTGGCGACGATGCTTGTGCCGGTCGTCGATTTCCTTGCGCTGCCCTGCCGTCTTGATGCGGAATTCCTCGTCGAGCAACTGCATTTGACTCATGCGAGTCTGTAGCCGTTGGGAATAGATCTAATTGTCGACATCTAATGTACGAGTCATCGACGGATGTGATATTTTCTACCTTGGCACGCAACGACGCCTTGCTATGTGGGGTTTGAACTACTAGCTTTTCACCTGGAAAGTAACATGGCATGCTATTGTGCGGATGGTTGGGCACAGACTCCAATGGAAACGAATTCGCAACAACTCCTAAAGGCAACGGGGTCGCTTCTGGCAGTGTCGTGTGGTTGTACTCCAACACAAACTACAACCCATCGTGTTTGCTCTTTGACATTGCCAGATTTATACACGTATATGGCTGGGGTATACCTGCATTTCACGAATGCAAAACACGATCGCGTAGTAGTACCCTGGGGACGGTGCCTCGCAAATGATTTGCGCTTTCGTTTCGGAGTTGTAATCGTAGAGGACCTTGTGCTGCTGGAATTTGTACGACGCGAGACCAGACTGTTGCACGAGGTAGATGCACCCGATGACCGCACGACGACCGTCGCCGTCTCTCCCGGCGGTCAGGACCTGTTTGGTCGGTTCTGTCGTGACGGTCAGAATCAGCGGAACCGCCGACGGATGCTGGAGGCCGAACACGCGAACGCGCTTAGCAGCCACCGACCCGTAAAACGTGCCTTCAAACTCGACCGCGGTGGTATCTTGGAGTACGCACGTCATCTAGACTCAAGCAACCCGATCGTAATGAGTCAGCATATTTAATCGAATGGGAAGTGCTAGCGGGTACTTGGTAGGACGATTGGTCGAGGGTTGGCTTGGGTGTGTCGGCAGTGGAGGGTGCAGCCTTCCCAGATGTCGTGGGCAAGACAAAGTACTCCAGGGTTTCGTATTGAATGGACGTGATGTCGATCTCGGTCGTCTTGTACACGAGCGCGCCGGCGCACATGTTGCGGAGTATCCACGTAGGGGTCGGATCCGTGGGCGATTTGCTCGAGTCGATGGCTTTGACGTGCATGTCCATGAATCTGAAAGTGAGAGATTGGAAGGAAGAAGATGTCATCAACTAGTGTTGCGTACGCATGGTCCAACGAAACGAAGAGCGCGACCAGCGGTAACCTTGTGGGGAACAGCTACGTAGGTTAGGTCGTGGCTGTGATGACGATGCAATCGTTGAGGGTAATATGGGGTGTGAACGACGTACCCCCACTTGATACAACGTGGCGGTCTGCACAGTGTTGTTGGTGGGTGTTATGTCTTCCGTGTACATTTTCCCATACTCGACCAAGACCGTGATCCGATTTGAGCCCGAGGCGTCTGTGATGTCGGACGCGTACTTTGGTTTTGGAATTTCGTCAAATTCTCGCACACACTTGATTCTACGACGATACCGGGGTGGTGGATTTCCAAGGTCGACGCTGGGAATGACATCATGGAAATGTCGTACTTGATGCGCAAAGATTGCAGGAACAGGTACAGGGCATCCATGCCCCCCGCCTAACTCACGATGGTTGGAACGGGTTACAGGTACAACGAGTCGTACAGTGCACGATGTTGCCAGGTCCAGCACGGACATGCTGAACAAGTGAAAGTCCATCGTGCGGTCGACAGAGATAACCGACGACGATGCTGTCGTCGGGGTGACATCAGGATTCGCGTCGTCAGAGTCGTTGCTTTCGACTGGGTCGGGGTCGCTACATGCATCGATGAGGGTTGGCTCTAGGCAGTTCTGTCGTCATGCAGTTTCGTACTTGACAGAAGCCACAAACGTGTCATCGCGCCAGTCTTTCTACACAACAGATGATCACTCACACAAGTGAAATAACGTAACGTGACTCAAACCTCGATACGACGGAGGGCTTCGCCATACGTGATGTCAGGGAGCAGCGACCGATACACTTTGCAGTTGAAGCGCACGTAATCGTCCTTTGTAATGTCGAGCTGTGGGAAAGCAGTTAGATCTGTCGAATTGATAGTTCAAAGATGATGGCGTGGATGCATACGTCTTTGTCCTTCTTGAACGTGATGGGATTGAAATGGGCGAGTGGCCACCACGTTGATCGAATGTACGATTGAATGTTCGGGTCCAGGTACCCTGCCACGTTCGACGCGATGGCATTGGAGCCCAAGTTGGCCGGTTTGGTCTAGAAACAAAGTCGTTGGTACATACCACCACAGTCGTCATAACATGTACCACTAAATGTAGCGGTAACGGCTCCTTCTTTGCAAACTTTGTGGCCAAGAGGAAGTACCCACGTGGATTCCGAATGCTCTTCACCCCGCGCTTGGATCGCCGTCGAATCAAGTCCTGATGGATTCGTTTCAACGACGAGTAGTCATACCCCGTGAACTCGTCCGCGCCGCTCATGCATATGACGCGGCAGTTACAACGCCAGAAAAATGCACAGCCGAAAGTTGTAACTGGCGACGCTTAATGGGCCAATCATGTCAAAGCAATGACACTGGCGTGTCACAATAAGCATACAAACTGTCAATGAAACCGAACGACCGATTGGTTTGGCGAGGGCATAGGACACTTTGTAGAGGCAGACCAGCACAATGGATTAACGTTACTTCAACTTTGACATTCTTACAGTAATTGTTGCGATGCTGAAGCCGTGGCCACGGCCTCCTTCCTTTGCTGCCACTACAGGTATGTTAGGCCACGTGAAAGCCAGCATTTGTCGTACAGTGGACTGACTCATCGCTCTCGCTATCCAGGAAGGGTACTGCTTCTTGTGACCATCATCCAAGGATATGTTAGCGGCCAACCATCATCCAAACTCTTGTGTTCGTCCGTCAAAGCATGCATTTCCGTCGATGGCACGAACTGCACCACGCAATGTCCACCATGCATCACTCTCGCACCCAGTGGAATCTTTGCGTGCGTGTCGAGAGTCGGTCTTGCTTGTCCGGTCACATCGACCTTGTCCTGTGGTAAATATCTCATGAATTTCAATCGACAGGGCATGGCTCATACTATACTCTTGTTACGGTAGATGGCGTTGGAATTTTTGCGTCCAATTACTCGACCACCGTGCCCACAACCCAACGTGTACCTACCAACTCGCCGTCGACAAGACCCCCCCAGAGCAACAATGTGTCGCCCACGTCGACCCCCTCGTCGTCGGATTCTGTATCTTCGTCCCCTTCCATCACGATCTACTTGGCAATTGCCGCCGCCGTGGCTGTGCTGGCGCTGTGCGTCGTGCTGTACTGTCAGCACAAGTCTGCGCGGCAGTCCGTCTCAAGTCCACTCGATCATCCGAATCCGCAGGATAGATTCAAACCGCCGGGGGTGTCGTCGGCGGTCACAATTTCAACAGTCGCGTCACACGGTGGCGGCGTCAGCGGTCCGAGCAACGCCTTCTTTAGGGTCAACAACCCTCCGACGGTGGGCAACAACGATGCATTGGAGTCATCGCCGTTGTCGGTCACGTCGTTCCCGACGGCGTCCTCTACTGGGTTCTCCCACAGCCTCGTTCAGCAGCACCCCAAGCACTTCGATAACCCCTCGTCGTCGTCTCTGTCGAGCGTTTTCAGCATCTTCCACATGGCACTCTCTCCTGCCGCCAACCACCAGGCCAAGCGTGTCACGTCTACCGTGGTCGAACTTGCCGAGACGATGGAATACGATCCATGGGATGACAACGAGGATTCAAGGCAGTTGCAACAGCAGCGACTGCGGGATAGCTCGGTGGTGATGATGGTCGAAGGCGACGACGAAGAGGACTTGTTCGACAAGGACGTGGATACCATGCGCGCCTCGATCATCACTGACGATGGCGGGCGGTTTTCCGACTGCTCGTCAACGATGTCGGATATATCTGACTGGAACGATTTCAAAATATAAACTCCATCACGTAAACCTATCGTTTCGCTTATCTAGGATGTTCATCTACAACTCGGTTGGGGGGAGATTATGGCGCCGCAACAACAATCGCATGGGTTCAATCAACTTGACTTGACTGGCGTTGGCGTGCCGTGCAAGAGCCTCGACGATCCCTTCTAATGTTGCTGCATCTCGGACGAGTCCCGCCGTCGAGTTGCCGTTCGTGTCCTAGTCACAATGAATGGTAGTACGAAGAATCTAAGGGCAGGACTGTCGTACGTACCCATTGAATCAGAGCCGCCATAGCTATCCACTTCACATCTTCCAGAACGTTTTCGTGTTGTAATACTTGGGCCAGTGTTCGTGGAAGGTTCGTGTGGTCCACTGGCGGCATCGCCTGGCCAAAATGAGCGACGAGGCCGGTGCATTTCACGGCTTCGGCCAAGAACATGGTGGCTAAAGTAGTGTCTTTCTCGGACGAGTTGGGATCAAGGAAAGCGAGCGTCCTCGTCAGCACATGGTCGAGGGTGCCGACAATCACGTCCACATTCGCCTCGATGCGACGCTGTCGATCCGCTTCTGGCACGTCAAACGGCGGCAAGATCGCGCACACAAACAAGTCCAACGCGGACAGCCGCGTGCGAGGCGCGAGGTTCGCGTCGGAGTCTACGACATGTCGAAGGACGGACGATGCCAGGTGGATGCCGCGGTGGTTGGCGGTGAAGTCGTCGCAGGCGGCCGGAAGTGACAGAAATGGGGTCAACAGCGGCACAAGGCGGTCGAGGATGTCCATGGCTTCAGAGGTCATGAGGCGAACACGCCAGTCGTAGATGAACGTCCAGATAAACCACATGATCCATGCCGTGAGAACGTCCATGATGGTGGTGTTGGGGAGCGGTGGCAGCTGGCAGTGCTTGTCGATGGTGGTGCAGATGGTCGCAACTACGTTGGCCACCACGAATTGGGGTTTGCATTCTGGATACGCATGTACGAGTGCTCCGGTGAGCGCGAGGAGGTTCAGGTACAAGTGGTGGCCCACTGGCACCCCCTTTGTAGCTGACCGGTTGAGGCGGTAGATCGTGTCCACCCGACCCACGAGTCCCGTCAGCAGCGCCCCAACGTCGTCCTCGTCGGGGGTTTGAAACGTGGCGAGCTGGGACAATGCATCGGGGTGGTGCTCCAGCAGCTGCAGGAGTATAGCAGTGGACTGGACACACGCGACGAGCTCGACGTCGTCTTCGAGGGGACTGGCCTGGTGTAGCACTCTCAAGAGCGCCGAGATCGCATCCAAATCGTTGACGAGATGCCTCGTCAATGCGATCGGATCATGAAACGATGCGATTAAAGACCCCACAGCAACCACCGCAGACGCCTACGCAGGTTGATTTCACTTTAGAAGCAGTGGGAACGACGTCAATTAAACCTGAATGCGAAAATCCAGCGCGTTGGCGGCGAGGGACACCAAGGTGGCGACGCCTCCCATAAGCACCACATCCTCGGCGATATCAGCGGAAGATTCGACGAACCGAGTTATAAGCAGGAGGCTCTGACACGTGGATTCCAAGTCGACTGACTCGAGGTGCTGCAGAAACATGGACACGCCATTCAAGCCGCGGAATACGGTGGCCGCGGTGCTGTCGGAGGCCATCCACGCCTGAATTGTAGAAAACGCACGGTACGACTCATCAGTATTCGACGACCGGGTGGCTGTGAGCATGGGACTCCAGAGGGCGGCCACGGACGGCTCGACTGATATGGCACGGCACTGCGCCTTGTGCTTGAGCCAGCCAGTCTTTTGGCACGCGGTGCTGCAGAAGAACGCGCGCTTGCACTGGCTGCAACGCTGGGCCGACACCACGCCTTGGTTACATCCCGCGCACCACTTTGTGCGCCGAACGGCGTCTCCAGGGCTTATAGACTTGTCGTCGGAGGTTGGATTGGCATCCTTGAGTTCTTGTTTGATCTTCTCGGCCGCCGCATGCTCCCATGCAGTTGGTGCTGCGTTGTTCAGGGATCTTTCACGGGATCTTTGAGCGGCTGACAGCGACGATGTTGTTGAAGGTTGGGGTGCTCCGTGGTTGTGGATAACTCGGGCGTTTGGACACGCAGCAATGTCGGCGGCGAACATGGTCCATGCCCGCTTCGTAGAGCATGCATTGCACACAGGACGAGGGTTTTCCCTTTGGCTTTCCCGAAACTCGTCTTTCTTGCTTTGGAAGACATGGCACTCCTCGCACTCCAGCAGCTCCTCCATTTTGAAACTTGCTGGAAAATCAATTTCACAGTTTGGGTTTGTAGTATTTTCATTTATATTCAATTTTACTGAATTGTTTATGTAAAGGCGTCTCTGAATATAAAGCTGAAATAGCTCAGTGGTTGAACACTTAGTCCGAAAGGTCCCGAGTTCGATCCCAACAAAGTGCAATGAAGTCACTTGCAGTGTAACGCATCTTTCCCAAGATGCAATCATTCCCTCGAGAGTGAATAACGCTGCGACGAGCACTTTTTTATCTATAGTGACGATAGCATGATGTTGACGACGGAGGGGCTCACGTTATAGGAACGGTGTCTCATCGGCCTTGCTTGTCGAACGTATGTGGCGCCATCATACAACCGGTAGTAGTCATGATGTTCTGTTGTGTCATACATACCCCATGCATAGCATATTCACTCTGCCCTCATCAACTAACTTCATTGATTTCAAAACTGATTAGCAATCTTGCATATTTTAGGCTGGGCCGTCGTCTCTGTTGTTGTCCATGTTCAATGATCTCTGTTGTTGTCGATGTTCAATGACACACCAGTCATGTGCTCCTCCTGCGCTCGCCTACGATCGGATTCGGTGAGCATCAGTCGCCCACGGAGCGTGAATATGTCATCTTGGGGGGCCAGGTCGATGTAGTTAATCACGTCTTGGCTGGTCACGACGCCGCCCCCCGTGGGGTGCAACTTGAACAAGATCATAGCCGGTCTAGCATGAGCATTGTCAACATGCCTTAAGTCATTCCAACTTTGTCACCCTTCATTAAGGTCATACATGCCCTTGTCGTTGAAATGCAAAAGCAGTCTTCGTGCGCAACAAGAGGTGAGAGCTACTGCAAAAGGGCATCCCCAATGGTGCTACGTATGTTTGTGCCGCATTGCAAACTTGTGCTACGCATGATGACACCTCATAACATTCGCATACTACAGTACGAATTGTCTGCAGCAGAAACAGAAGCAGCTACAGATACCGCACTATCAGACATTGTACAGATATCCCGTGGCGCCGCATATCCTTGCCAGGAACGAACGATACTCGTCGACTGGACGTTTTTACTGGAATTTCATGTTGCTGTAGTGGCAACGGTACCACAACAAGTTGCATTATGCGCATGGCCCGGGCCTGTAGTGGTTCGAAGACGCGCCGTTGTTCCCCGTCCTGTGGAGGCGCGCAGTACCTTGCTGCAGAGGACTAACCACACGAGTCGATTTGACATTTGTACTGGCGTCCCAAGCTGCCGTGTGTTCCGACGGCACCACGTTGAGGCGTGCCAGTTGCAGGTCCCAGGCTTGACGTTCGAGCACGAGCTGTTGTTTCTGTTGCACTTGGGGCATCGCAGGGTTCTCTCGCCGATAGGAGCGCACGTTGGTACTGTGGTTCCAGGAAACGTTCTCACCGGCCTGGACTCGACGAGGGGGTAGGACCAAGAGATGCGTCGCCTCGTCCGCTTCTTGGTGCGGGGACGACACGCCGCGAGCGTTCGTCGGGACTGAGTTGCGGCTGCAAGCGCTTGGAGCACAAGTTGCTGCTATTTCTGCAGCGGCGCTCACGAAGGAAGGTATCGAAGGCGTTGGTAGGCATTGGCATGGATGTTCGATCGAATGCAAATTGAATTGACTTGGGTTCAACTAACTGTAAAGCCAAAATTCTGTCGGACGATGAATTTCGGTTTTGGCTTGCGGTGATGTTTTGAATGCATTCTTGTTGAATCGATTCTACACACCGTCGCAGGCCAACAGCATGCCAAGAAATACAAGTTCCGACGGCCTTTGTAAGCGCATGCGTTGAACTACTTCACGTGTCGTCTTCCCTCGCTACAATAGTTGAGGACTACTGCTGTGTAGCGTACGCTGTGCGTCATTGCGAAATTGCGGTAGGCGTGATTCATACTTCCGACTTGTCTGCAGCAGCAACTACAGTCACCCTTCATATGCCATGTCGTTGAGTTGCAAATAATACATTAATGCAAGTTCACTGCTCATGCGTATATATATACATGAAACTATACGTTGCGATGTTGTGCAGCGTCTCCCCGCGATAGCAAACATATATCATCAGGACGAACGGATGACGAGCTCATGTTTTGGACTTGCGTTCTACATGAACGAACGGACGACGAGTTCAAGTTTCAACACGTCGTTCCTTCGTACCTGTAACGTTAACGTACCGAGTTTCCTGAACAGCCACACCAGGGTCCCGCCCATGTAACGAGAGAATGGTTGTTCCACCTGTGTCGTGCCTTTAGAATTGATGGTTCCAGGAATCCATGAGAACTATAGTTTTTTGTGCAAGTACTATTGGAATCCACGACCTTTCCAGTTCGTTCAGAGATTTCATGGAGTTCCTAGTATCAAATATATATATGTAGCGAAAGCAACGCGATGACTGCCGTGCCCTACCTTTGTTTGCAGGGTGCTTATATATACCGATCGGACAGCGCTCGGCAAGCTTCATGCTGATTTTGAAGAGAAACACATCATGCAACAATATATTAATACCGCAATGATCTACTTTTTGGACTTCTGTTTGAGCTTCATTTGATGGATGGCCTTCTCCATGTCCTTCGTCGCGCGCACCGAAAGCAACGCTTTGGGCGTGGGTCTCACCGCCTGCTGCACCTGTTCAACAGTCTCCTTGTCCGTGTCAATCTTGCGCCCTTCAGCGGTCGCCGTCCCGATCGAGTTGATGTTCGATGCATCGATCGTCGCCTGGCGAACGTTGCCCGTTCGCGGGGGCGAGGCATTGGCCATCGTCTTTTTCGTGTTGAGAAGGATGTACGCGCCCGAGGGTTTCGCATCTTCGGTCTCATCCGAGTCAGCACGCAGCTTGGACGTCAATTTCTCCACCTACGTACGACTCATGGTTGTTTTACTCAATTCATCACCCATTTCACTTGTATCTACCTTGTTCATCAACTGCTTGGAGATGGTCGTGCGTTTATCTTTGAGATCCCGCAGCATGTTTTGCTTTTTGATTTGCGTTTTCCCTTGCAACGACGACGACACGACGATCTCGTCCGTAGTGACTTGGGCCACTTGCTGGTCTTGATGGTAGCCCCGAATACACGACATGGCGTACATAAAGTAGTCTTGGTCGATCAGGTCCACGAATCCCCTGTCCAGTGCCTCCAGGTACTGCTTGACTACCGCCGTGGGCACCTTCACCCCCAGCGCATACACTGCATGCGATACCACCTACGGCCACCCCCTCAGGTTCATTCCATGATCCTAAACATGAAACATGAAAAACACCCACCTTGTACGATACCAGGCCTGTCTTGGCGTGGTCGGCGTCCCGAAATAGCACCGCGAACGCGTTCATTTCTTCACGGGTGAACCCGGCGATGGCAGCTTTGACCTGTCGGGCGCGGGACTCGACCGCCACGCGGTGCGCGTTCTCCCTCGCGACGCGCAAAATAACCAAGTACCGTAGCCGCGCGAGTTTGGCCAGCCACCGCCTTTGAATCACCAGCGCCGAGCTATGGCGGATGCGGAGGAACGGATCCATGATCACCGTGGCGTCGTCGGGCGTGGCGGCGTCGTCCAGGTGGAGAATGGCCTTGCCCATGCCGATCAAGGCTGCCATCCACGTCTGCTTCCACCACGCCGACAGCGTCTTGGACATGACAAGGCCAAAGACGTAGGCTGGCTCAACCACCGCGCCGTGCAAGACTGCGCTCCACACAAACACGCCCAGCCACGGCAGAGCCGCATAGTCACTCAAGTCCCACGCAATGAAAATGGCGCCGCCACCAAACCCCGCACACCACACCCCGCAAACCACATACACAACTTTAACGATCCAGGACGGGTACCGGATGTTGAGCTTGCGCTGGAGCTTGTCGTGGGACATGGGCACGAGCCGGGTGTGGGGGGACAGCGGGGTCTGCGCCAACGCAGTCGCCACGGCCTCGCTGACGTTGTCGATGCTCGTTTGCACCAACGACGACGTGAGGCAACCCCGTTGCGGCGGCGCAATGGTCGCCGGTGACATATCGAACAACTCGTCGGCGGGAGGAACCGCGTTTGTCTTCTTGACGGACGCGTGACGAAGTTTGGCATCCCATGAAATGAGAATGTCCCGCGCGAGGAAGGTCGTGCACGCAGCCACCAAGAGTTCCATGACCCTAGTTTACACCATATTTTCGTAATCGAGTGGTTATAAGACATACAGCCAGCTACGTTATGTATGTTACGTACCCCATGACAATCAATACAGCGAGGACGATCTGGGCCACCGACTGAACCTGCGCGAGCATCTTGTCTTGACACCCACCCAGGTCGGCAACCACCGTGATGCGCTTAACGATGATCGTGCCATCGACTTTAGTCGCCGTGACGTTTTGTTGCGTCGATGGACCTGGCGGACACGGCCGGGCGGGAAATTCTGGGAACCCACAACACCCCAGTTGGGACTGCCACTGCAGGCGGAGGACGCCGGATGTATCGCCCAACCAAATGGCGCGCAACGCATCCACAACGCTAAACCCCTACGAAGCGCCACGATGATTGTAAGAGGAGGCGCCAATTTCTTACGGTATTTCGAATAGTCCAGTTGCGGGGCGTCGTGGGCTCCTCCATGGACTGCAAGATGAGAAACACCACCAACGCCAGCACGACCACCAGCACGAGGCTGACACCTGTCGCCGCGCGAAGCCCCAAGTGGGTGAATCGGGAGTGCAGTGTCCGGCGCTTGAGGCTCGTGCAGACGAGGACCCCCCCAGCGGACAACATCATGAGACCCGGCACGACAACAAAGTCGATCGACGAAGGCACTTCCAGTCCAAACATGTAAAACCCGAGACCCACTTTGCCCAGAATCATATACACCACTACAAACAATGCATGAGTTTAACGATGAACAACTTCTGGACGAACCGATGGCCACTGCGAGAAACACACGCAGCCAGCACAACACAAACGCGAGCCAGTCCACTTGGTGTACAAACCAGCTACAATGTATAGGGTCAGTATTCGTCCAAGGATTTGCATAATCCAAGAATATAGCACGCACGTGTAAAACCGCTCCTCCGATGTCACCATGGTCAAGTGCCCGAACTTGGCCATCAGCGTATGTAAACTCTGCATCATCACGTCCCGGAAGTACACTTTTTCCTTGCGCCGACGTTCGGCAACTTTAGCCGCGTCGTCGTCGTCGTAGCGATGCCGAATGTGCGAAAACAATCCGACAAACGCGATTTGCACCACGAGGCTCACCAAGCTGTACACCAATCCCAACGACAGCTACGTCACATACGCAACCATGAATACCCAACCAACATAATCGACGATATAGATTCAAACCAGGGCCGCGGGGGACAGAGGTTGGCACTCGACGCTTGACGTCCGCGTACATCCGTGGTTGGTCTGCACGACAGCATTCACAAAGGCCAGCGTGGCCACCGCACACAATATACACGTGAGGCGCTGCGGCCGAGAGAATTTTGCGTCGTAGTTCTTCCACAACGAACGCGTCATGTGGTGGCGGTCAATGTCGTCGCGGTACTTGGCGCCCCACCATCGCATCTTCTTGACAATGCCGACCCATACATCTCGGTGCAACAGAATTAGCCCTCGCAATAGCAACATCGACGTGACCAACGCTATCGATTCCAGCGTTGAGAAGGCCACGAGGAGCTCAAACAGCTGGCCGAGGAGGGCGGCGGCGTCCTGCAATAGTACGCTGCGACACCCCGTGCGAAGGCCAGTGGGGCACGCCAAGGACTTGCCGTCGGACGAGGTAGCTCGATCAAACTGGTACAAACTTCCAACCAACACGGGATCGTTGTAGCCGCAGCATAGCCGGCTCTCGGCGACAAACATACGCGAATCAAACGACAGCCCCGTCCAAATGCTATCGAGGGTCGTGTCCAGCAGTGGCTGCCACGACAACGTCGATGTCGTCATGGAGCTCACGACGCCCACGGAACTCCATCCCAGCACCACCAGACCAAGCGTGAGCCCCATGTAGATGAGCACCACATGCAGAATCTTTTGAATCGATCCGTACAATCCGTACGACGTCACGGCACTAGCGTACGTGACAAAGACGACGACGAGCGCACCAATGGAATGACCAAACAAAGTCTGGATCACACTCGACGTAAACACTGTCGTGCCGGCCGCCACGTCCACCCCAACGAGCCCCAGCCCTAGGAGCGTCACGACCACGCAGGTCACGACCAAGATCATGACCACTTGCGTCATCCAGACTTGCCATGTAGCTGGCTTCTTCTTCCCTTGGCGGTAGTACAGCACCCCCGTCGCAACCAACACCGCCACCAGCAGCGCACATACCGCGGCCGACGATTTGGTGGCCACCGCCGCCGCGCGAGCCAGCGTCTCCATCATGTACACGCTGCACCCATCCGTGGCGTCGGGTGGGCAGTGCGGGGTGTACTCGACATTGGTGACATTATTGGCATCGTTCCACGTGGGCTCGAGGTATGGCAGCGTAAAGTTGACGTCGCCCGTTGTCGTGGAGACCTTAGCAAACCCACAGCACAAGTACGCTTCCTGCACGAAATGCCGCGTCGATGGCGCAAAGTTGGTCCATGCCGACAGCAACGACGCATTCGTTGCAGACGAACTTTGGGGGTTCTGGATGCGGTAGGCCGCAGCAAACAACGCCAGAAGCGACAACGTGACACCCACCAGCACGACGGCCGTCGCCCACAGCCACTTCTTTCGACGCGTGAGGCCCGCGTAGACCCCAAGACCGCCTACCGCCAACACCGCGAGGCCGAGCAGTAAGATGTACGTGCCAGCGTGGTAGCTAAAGGCCACCAACACCGCCGACACGGTGACCAAATTGGTCGCAAACAGCAAGTCACACGCGACACCCACGAGAATAGAACCACAAAAGACCACAGCGACGCTGGCAAACACGAGGATTTGAGTGCAAACGCGAGTGACTATGACACTCGTGGGATCTGAGAACTCGTCGGCGGTGTCCAATACTAGGGCGGACGACGTCGCATGGGAATTTTGATATGCGAGGAAGAGGGCGGTGCAGAGCAGCAAAGCCCCCTGGGATGCGAGAAACACGAGCAGGCGATTCAGGGTGGTTAGACAGAAGTGCTGGACCGCACTCATGATGGAGGGCGCGCAGAGCGGGAGGATGGTGCTTGACGTGCACGTGCCTTGGGCCTGCAAACTGAAGCCACAACACGCAAACGCCGTTTCTAGATCCAATTTGTTGTGTGTCGAGAGTGCCACGTATCGAGCCTCCAACATGGCCTGAAGAGTCGCGTACGACCCGAGGTTGGACGCGACTGTGTAAAGGGCGATGGATAAGCAGACCCCGGCGACCAATAACACCACTTGTCCGACGGCAAACCATTTCATTTGCCTTGCATGGACCCCTGCTAGCGCCCAAGCACCCATCGTATGCAGCACTATGAAAACAAATCTATTATAAACCAAGCTTGAGATCATTACTTGATTGCAACGTACCCAAGTAGAGGCCACTGACGATCACAAGGGGCAGGCCCACTTCGAGCTTCAAGAACACGGACGCCGACGCCAAGGCAAACACATTCCACTGAAGAATTGCATCCAATCCAGCTAGAATCCCAAACACCGCTGCTGAGGCGCTCAGGTGACAGCAGACGGGAAGGGTGCACCGCAAGACAATCACAAATAGCTTCGAGTCCCCTTTCAACCCTACAGCAATCCCACAACAAGAGTGTCAGGATGGATTTGAGAAGATTAGGGCTAGGGACTACCATGAGACAGATTGTCGATTCGGATTCTTTCCCAGCGCACGAGAACGTTGGCAAGCGCCAAAGCAACGATCTGACTCACAACGACCCCACTCAGCGACGTAAACACGTTCTCAAACAACGTGGACGCGGCTTTTGTCAGCTCGCGAAAGCACGTGCGACGGTCGACACTGTCTGGGACGGACTCTTCCGGACACGGCAACACGGGGGCGTCGGACGTGGAGACGAACCCACAGCACCCCATTTGAGTCTGAATGTCCCCTCGAATCGTGTCGGAGAAGCCCCCCCACAGGGTCTGGAGGTACACCTTGGTCGCCTCTGGAAACGCTTCGACGTCGACCAAGTGCTTGTACGCACTCGCGAGCAGTACACACTCCCCCACCACGAGCACAAACATAAGGAAAATATACAGGCCTCGGAGCCGACTCGACGTGTTTCGGTACGCCACGAGCACCCCAAGCAACGCCACCCCGGCGAGTGACAAGCCAAAGCCCAAAAAGACTGTTCCCACTGTGGGACCGTAGAGCACAAGTACGACACTATGTGTTGTGTTGCCGAGAAAGTGGATGAAGTCCACGCCCACAGCTATAAACACAACCGACACGACGATTAGGAAGCCGTTGACGACTTGCAAACTCTGACGAAGAAGAACATGTTGCGATTGCAACCGCAATGTTCCGAACAGCGCTCCTAGGTTCATGTATTTACACAGTTAGATATCATCGTGAGTATGTATATAAACAATAAGGTTGGACAATTCGCCAACCTTCGTGGAGCGCCATATCGGCAAGAACGTCAAGCGCGGTGGACTCTGCAGCGATGGCCGACAAGGCCTCGCTGTCGTTGGCTGGCTTGGGGTCGTGGCTGTTTGGGGTGCGAAACGTCGTCATAAACGCATTGGCGGTGCTCTTCTTGTACATTTCCAGCTGCGGCCCCTGGACGTTGCGCATGGTGGCGGTGGATTTGGTGGACTCGTGCAGCAGCAGCTCCTTCCACGTCTCCTTGCTCAGCATCCCTAGACCCACATGTCAACTGCTCTGCTCAAGCAGTACACCACACAATATCAAGTACCGAGTCGTTTCAAGCGCACTGCCTCCTTGTCAGCTTTGTCTTGCCGCTTGCCCCACACCATCCCCCCGACATACGCCAACAAGAGCACACTCAACGTGGCGACGGGCACCACGGACGGCCTTTCGTTGCGGTACATCGTCGGGTGTTGGGGGACAAACGTTAGGACCTCTTCTGACACGATGACCACTTCCAACGAGCCCAGCGTGTCGCACACACACGTCGTGGACGTGGCCGAGCTTGTCACCATATCTTTTGAACAAATCGAACTCGAATCCCAACCATTAACCGCACCATTCCATACCCGACAGGCGGTTGCATACCGCGGCCCTTTGGTGAGTGCTGGGTGGGCTACCGTCACGGTCGCCAGGGGAAGAGAGGCGTCCATGTTGCCTGCCTTGAGCTTTTGCTCGCGCATGCATGGATCGTTGGGGGCAACGGTTGACATGGCCAACAACAGACCTAATATTGCCGCCTCAACAACATGCGATGGTTGTGTATTAAGGATTGTACCTTGGTATCGCGCCTGGAGCACACTGGTCGCCGTGTGAATGGCGACTGTGACGGACGGAGCGAGCGCCGGCGTGTCTTGTGACAAGGCGCGCGAGTGACTCGGAGTCGTCCACACCACTGCATCAATGAAAAACAAGTCCCCCAGACACGCGACGGCCGCTGGGGTCAATTGGACCGTGGAAACTGTCGGCGTGATGGCGGCCTCGTCCAAAGTGTACGACAGCGTGTTCCCGAGGACGGAAAACGTCGCCACGCCGTTGGACCGGATGTCCACAGGGGGTTCCCCTGCCAAGAGATTCAGGCTGCTCATGGCCGCCATGTAAAGCATGGATTGCATCAACCACGAGCTTACATCATCTAGGCCACCATCAGCACACGTTCTCCATTGAACACTCTAAACCACAATTGATCCAGAACCTACCCATGGTCGATACGGCATCCTCGGCGAGCCGGCGGCCGGCAGAAGCCGGCACGAGGTCCTTTTTCGTCGTCTGAAGTAACGAGCTGGCGGCAGTCAGTACCGTCGCGCCGACCGACGCGACCATGCTGGACGGATCATCCTGTTTCATCATGTGGGAGGTCGCATCTTTGAGCATGTTGGCTGCCACGACGACGTTCGCCACTTCCATGGTCGCCACGTCGTTGATGGCGACAATGTTACTTAAAGTGAGCACGCTCTGGGTGAGCGACGCCGGCGTCGGGTCCATCACGGTGGTGACGGATGCAAGGGACGTGAGCATCTCGGCCGTCATCGAGGTCACGACCGCGGTCGAGATGGAGCACGCCGTCCCCGTATAGCCGGACACGCAGTCGCAGACCACCGTGACGTTGTTGCAGCGACCGTGGGCCCCGCAGGACGTGGCGTTGCACGTGCCCTTGGCGTTGACGAGGGCCGTCGTGGACATGAGCACCGTCATGGCGTCGTTCAAGTTACCAGCGTTCAGCGTTGTGGCGAACGTTCCGTTGTTCGTTTGGGTCCAGAACGCGGCGACGTCGACAATAACGGGCTGCACGACAATGGCCGACGCCATGACGGAAGTGGACGCGCCCAAGGCGTCCGTGATCACGGCGAGCACTTGGACGGTGCCATTGGTCTCGGACGTGTTGGTAAGGAAGAGGCGAGTCTGGGTGCTCGGGAGGGTCTGTGGAGGGGCCAGCGGAATCCACCCGCCAGTCACTGAATCGAGTTTAAAAAATGAATATTGCACGGGCTGGTCTTCGTCGCTCCAGTTTTCACACCGCAGCGTGAATTGGTCCTGGATCGCCATGCTAATGAAATGTGATTCATAGACTCAAAACAACAAATAGTCGTACCCCAGGGGCGGCGACACGGTGAGGGAGCCGGGGCTCGGGGGACTGTTGACGGTGATGGACACAGTGCCGAACCCCTGCGCGCCGTTCGAGTCTGTGGCAGTCAGTCGGAAGATGTACGTTTTGCCTGGGGTTAGCACATTCGGAGCCAACGCATTTTGCATCGCGGTGACGGGAAACACAAACGCCGACACGTTGGTCGAAGTCAGGTTTAAGTCCCCTTGATCTTGACTCCATGTGGTCGTGTACGGATACAAAGATTCTACCGACGACAACAGCATCACCTATGTCGACTGTCAGACGCCCCCCAAACAATTCTAGCAAGTACCTTGGCAGACGGATTCACTCGCGCCACAATCGACTGGCATCGCACAACGGGAATGCGGCCGTTCACAGTTGTGATGAGCACACTCGCAGTCCCCACGCGAGTGGTTGCGCATGGTGTCACTGCACCCTACTCATGTCGTTCAGTCCATTTTTCTCAAAACCAAGTACAATTCTCTACCGTGCAATTCTGTATGACGCGCACAGTCATATTCAGCACTTTGGCTGGGGGGTACGTCAATGCGGGCAACGTCAAGACCGACAAGTTCGCCGATGAGAATTCTATGGCGGTGCCCGTTTGGGGGTTGAGGCAAGGCACTTCCCCCGCCGTGGATTTGGTTTGATTGGTGGAGGGGGTGACATCTTGGCAGGACCATACATACGTCATTGGGACAGCGACTTGATCGGGATCGTACGACAAGGACGCGTTCACAACCAGCGGATCCGCCGACCCGATGACGTGATCGCCGTCCACTAGTTTCACCACGAGATCGCTTGGAACCACCGTGACATTGGCCCAGTCGGACGACATGAGCGTCGGCTGACCCGGGTAGAACGCGTCCACTCGAAAGCGGTACGTGATGCCAGCTCGCAGGGCGTTGGGAGCCAATGAATAAGTCCGAGGGTCCACCGCCATGTTGACCAGCGTTAATCTCGTGGCGACTGGAGACTCGACGGTCCATTGAAACTGCACTTTGGTGTTGGTTTGGGCGGTCGAACAGTTGGACGAGACGGCTGCGACGGTCGCGGAGAGCTGCAGCGCACGCGGCCGGCGCATGGAGAAGGTCGTGTCGCCTGCGATGGCCACCACCGGAACCGGATCGCTTCGCGTTTGAACGGTGTACATGGCCGTGGACTTTTGGTTGAAGTAGTTGGTCAATTCGACGCCAAACACATACGTGGACGTTGACACTAACGTCGCACGATTCACTGTCCAAGTCAGTGACGTGGCAGTGGCAGCGAGCGACGCGAGGGCGCATATCGAGTTGAACTCGTCTTCGCTCGACAACGGGCTTGTCATCTATGCCATTTGCACACATGTTGGTGGTCATTTGGCAGTTATAACTCTACCGAATCAAAGGGGGACGTGCAAAGAGGAGTGATCGTCGAGTACAAGGACGACGCGGCAGCCAACACGGCGGTGGCGTTGGTAGGCAACACGTCAGACGGAATCGCCGTCGTTAACATGGCGAACCACTTGAGCCGAAACGGACGGTTCGCGTTGCCCGTGGAAGCCGTAGCGTCCAGCGTCAAGTCGCCGCATGGCCCGATGAACTTCGCCCCCACCAACACAATATTGGGTTTGACCTACATCCCACAAAGCAACATCACCATCGCAACTAGCATTGTTCTATGCACGTAACGACACTTACCACAACCAAGCCCACGGTGACCGCAATGGAGGCGGTTGTGTACAGCACGTTGAAATCGCGAGCTTTCACAACGTAGGGCGACGTGCAGAGGCCGTCGACGACATATGAAGGCGCGCAGGTTTGCAGCGTGAGGATATGAGACGGTAGGAGGGTCGCTTGGTTGCCCAATGTCATTTGCAGCGTTTGAAGGTCCAACCACAGGCATCGTGCGCCGTCCCCGAGATAGTATCCCATATTAGTAGTGTTCCAGACAAGCCCGCAGTCGAATGGGGCACTGGGAAGCACGTATCTCGCGGCAATTTGAGTAATCGATTTGGACTTGTCCACGCTCATGGTGGCAGCATGGAACACTGGCGAGTCGAATGAGACCACGACCACCACCCCCGTGCCGTCGAACGCCGCGCGGATGGGAATGGGAGGCGGAAAGTCCTCACGCCCGAGAACCGTCGCCATCAAGATGGACGGGGCCGACGCGTTGTACTTGGCGTCCTTGGACAAGGGGCGATGGCCGATCGATGTTTGCATTGTCAACGGCTTGGGGGACCCCGTCGTGATGGCCGCGAGAACCACGGCGCGGCTGTCGTTCCAGTTCAACGGGGTAAACACGATGGATTGGACCCCTTGCGACGTGTTTAAGCTATCGGTCAAGTACACCAATGGTTCTTGCACCAAGCTGGTGGAATCAAAGGTTCCCCGCGGAAGGAATGACTCGAACGGCACCGACAGTAGCACCGTCACGTCGTCGTAGGGCTCCGAAGACAAGGCGATGCTGTACGACGCATTGAAACTGCCCTGCGCAACAGTCAATTTGGACGGCGACGCGCGCACGACAACGCCGGACGTGTCCACGTCGGTGATGTAGACGGTCATGGAGGGAGCAGCGACCGCCGCGCCATACTACACAAACCCCCGGTGATATGAAAACTGCAATGTCGACAGATCAATAGAAAAGTAGGTAATTACCCCAGCGTCAAGGGAGGATAGGGTATGAGCGATCAAGGCGGAGTGCACCGCGGCTTCATCCAAGTTGTCGAGCGTAATGGACACGGTCACAAACTGCCACGTGTTCCACGTCAATTCGGTAAACTGCACCGTTTGGGTGGCCATGGTCACATTGCACTTTCGGGAGTACTTGGTTTGGTAGCACCCTTGCGACGCATTGAACGATAGGGTGACTGGAAACCACGGCTTGGAACTTAACCGAAGGGCATACGACACGACATCGCCTTCCGTGCCGTTCACAGATATCTGCGACAGCGTCACCCCCGCCACGTCCGTGTCGACAGTGAACACGGTGACGTTCGCAACGGCTTGTTTGGCATAGATCAAATCGTTGGTTGAGACGACGTGGGATAGCAACGTCGAGTGGGGGGCTGGGTCCACAGTCCAGTCGTGAAACGCTTGAACCTTGTGTCAGCATAACGTTTTTAGCAACGCCTTTCAAAATGTACATACCGTCAACGTCTGGGGGACGTTCCAATTCCGCCACGTAAACACCACCGGAGGCGGCAACAGAAGGACATTGCCCAACGCGGGGGTGCCGTCGGACATAGGCGAAATCGTGACTTTTGCGAATGGTTCCGATGTCAGCACGATCGTGAACTGATCATTCCGACCCAGTTCGGCCACCACGAGTGTGGTTTTGGATACGACCATGGCCGACACGTCGTCGTCGTAGATGGCCACGTCGATGGTCGGGACTGCCAGTCGGTGGTACTTTAGGTCGGCGCTAAATACGGAGTGCGAAATGCCGCTGTAGTGGACGTCCGCTTCGTCCAGGGCGTCGTTGGTGGCGCGCAGGAGCACAGACTGCGGGAGGTACCAGTTTTGAGGGGTAAACGTCACCTACTATCACGTTAGTAGCTCGAACTAGTTAAAACCATGTCGTACGTTGTTCGTGTCGAGGGTGACATTGCACAGCTCAAAGCGGTAGCAACTCGTGTTTGTCGAGTCCAGCCACGGGTACACGACGACGACGACATTGGCGCGGGGTTCTGTCATCAGGGTCAACGTGTACATGTCGGTGAGTGTGCCATTCTCACTCACAGTCAACAAGGTTCTGGACACGACGACTTGCGCCCGGTCGACGTCTTGGACCTCCACCGTGATGTTGGGCACCGCCAGACTGGCGTAAATCATGTCCAGAGTATAGGGGAAGTGCATGAGCGTGGACTGCGTCGTGTTGGAAGACGGAGTTGTCTCGTCCAAGTAGTCGTGCACTGGGACGACGTGAATGGTCTGCGGAATGAACCAGTTGGATGCGTCGAACTTGGGTCTTGGCGTGACCACCGTGGCGTTGCAGAGGTAGCGCTCGGGGCTCAACGTCACCACGAGCGGATATACGCACGACCCCCGCAACCCATAACTAGGACATTCAACATCGATTTTTCAGATCGTGCGTGAAAACGAAGGTAAGATTTATGTTTGTATAGCATTCGTAAGTACATGTCAGTGGGGTCGGATGCAAAGGTGGTCAACGGGTACTGGGCACATCGAGCCCCCATAGGTCCAAATTGAGTGGCGACCATCGGCGGCACCTACTCAACCGAACGTGATGTGCATGGTGACAGATAATACCATCACCCTATTCGTACCACTTCTTGGCCGACAGACGTCGTGTCCACCGAGATGCGTACGTCAGTGAACCGAAGCCAGTCATTGAGCGACCAATCCATGTGCCACATGTACCCACCATCTAACTCTGGGCCTTGCCGAGTAACCCGGACGCCCTTGGTGGCCGTGGGGGTCGCGAACGGATGGTCCGGATCGAACGCGCTGTCCCCCTGACGATACGACGTCACAAACGGCAACGCCTCCAGCGCCTCCTTGACGCCGTCCGACGTGACGTTCACAGGCAGGGGCCACGTGGTGCCGCTGTACACCACGCCTGATTCGTTGAGCGTCAGCGACACTCGGAACGAACCGGTCAAGTACGTGCCATTGGCCACCGTGGCCACCGTCAGTGCTGCGCCAGGACCTCGGAGCTGGCTCGTGCCGACGAGCGACGGAACGTCACCCGGTGTCTTGGTGAACGAGATGGCCCACGTGTACTCGCGACAGTTTCCGAACCCGTCGCAGCGACCATCCGATCGGGTGACGTCTACCCCCGTCAAGGGAATGCCCAGGGGAAGAGCGAGAAGGGCGGCCTGGACTGCGGACGCGTTAGCATTAAACGGTAGGGTGGGGGTCGTTTGCGGGGGCACCACCTTGTCGTACACTTCGGTACTGGGATACGTGAATTTGAATCGACCACCAAGGGCGACTTGGAACGTGCCGGACAGCGCCGCACCCTGCTGAATGAACACACTCACAACCGTTGAGCCCGCCCCCGTGAGGTTGAGCGATACGGCGGTGAGGTTCCCCACCGGCCCCACGTTTCCCGTGAACTCGATCGTCCATTCGAATGTGAGTTCTGGTGCCAACGCCCGTCGCCGGACTTGCACAGGACCGACCGTGGGAATCGTCGCTATCGCTTGGACGACCTCTGCCTCGGTCGCGTTGTACAGCAACGGCGCCGACAACGCTACGAACGTGGAATTGACCGGATACGACAGTTGGAACCATCCGTTGACCGTGTTGGCTTGCTGCAGGCACGTCCACGTCATGTCGATGGCGGCAGCGGCGCCAGGGGCCGCGACAACTCTCGACGCGTCCACAAACAGTTGCGGAAAGTAATTCGGGACAGATGTCAACGTGATCGTCCACGTCACGCTGGGGCCGCGGGCGGCGGATTGCACCACGGCGACGTCTTTGACAGTTCCTTGGGCTTTGAGGGTCGCGGCTACTTGGTCAGCGGTGGCATTCCAAGGCACGCTAAGCAACGATCTCTGGCGGCCGTATCCAAGCACCCACGATCCAGACGGTGATTGCAACGGCGTTGTGCGATTCAAGAGGGCGATGGCGGGAAAGGGCGCAATGGCGACACTGAGTTCGGGGACCCCCACACTAGAGAGGTACGTGATGCGCCACGTCATGACCAACTGGGAGGACGTCGAATCCACCGTCGTCGCCACATCGTACAACGCACTGCCAAGCGCAGCATTCAGCGCCGTCTGCAGCTGGGACGCGCTCGCAAACGCATCCAGCGCAGCCACCGTATTGGCATCGAGTCGAAGCGTGAAGGTCGTTCCAAAGGCCGCCGTGTTGGAGTACTGCACCGTAGTCGGAAACAGAATCTGGAGCGTCCACACTTCCAACACGTACCCGCCAGTCATGGTCACTTGAAAGATCGGGTTGACATGCGTTGTGGACGTCATCACTTTTTGGATCCCGTTTGTCGTGGTCATGGACGCAGTGACCGTTTGAACTTCCTTGGAAGATGACGTGCCGAGCGCAATGGAATTAGCCGCCAACGCTCGAGGCAACCCACATGTCCCCCTACAAATTGAAGCACCCGATTCGTCACGCCAAACAAGTTTGCTTTTCGTACTTGTCCAAAGGATAACCGCAGAGTCGGTAGCATTCGCTTGCGGCTTCGTTGCTCACGGAAATGTTCACTTCGGACCACGGCTCCGTCGTCAACACAAGGGTGTAATTGCCTTCGTCATTGGGCCGGGCTTCCGTCAATGCCAGGGAAGACCGCGACGTTACCACTTGCGACCAGTCGTTGTCTTCCACCGCCACGCGAATGTTGGGGAGCAACGCATGATCGTAGTCCTACCGGTCAAAAAATCAACTTGCAAAGGGGTTCGCAGAGGACACTTACGGGGTCGAGACTGGCGGTTGTGGTTTTGATCGTGGTGAAATGGATGTCGGCTTCGTCCAAGTGATCGTCCACCGCTTCCACCTGTAAACAAAACGTCACACCGTCGCTTGGATAAAGCAAACCATCGTGGGCACACTAGTTGGACGCACCGTGACGGGTTGCGGAATGTTCCACGTGGCAGCTGTAAACACAAGCGACGTCGGGGACACGGTGGCATTGCACAGCCATGTCTCGTTGCCGACGAGGGGGGTGGTCACCACCGGACACGAAACTTGCAACGTGGGCACGCCACAGGGGCGGTAGCAGTCGGTGTTGGCGTTGAAGTAAATGTGCACGTCGCGCTTGGGTTCAGTTTCGAGCGCTACTTCGAACACGGCGTGCAGTCCGTCTTCTGACACGGTCAAGTACGGCGACGACAGCACGACGCCGGCGACGGCCATGCTTTGCAAGTTCAGACCTATGGGAGGCACAGCCACAGAAGTGTAGTCGGCCTGGGGGACTGCCGACGTTGACAGCGTTTGGGTGGACCACGAGAGGGTGGTTTCGCCAAACAAACTGTCGACCGTGATGTTGATCAACGCGGCGGCGGTGGCTTGGTTTAGCAGAAGGTCGTGGAAGTAGCTCGACACGTTAGCCCTCGTAGCGTCGGAATACGCCGGCGTCGCGACTTGGACCGACGGAGTTGTCGTTGGAGCGCAAAACGCTTGGTGCTGATTCGTCAGTATCTGGAGCCCTTGGGCCAGCGAGTCGTCCGTGCCGTGGACAATAACGTATTGCGGACTGTTCCAGTTCTATCAAGTTTCCATTTCGTCAAGCATGATTCAAAACCTAATCGAAGACCAAACCAACCTTGGCCGTGAATCGAAGGGTTGGCGGAATCGCGCTCGTGTTGCACAGCCCCCACCGATAGCACTGCACTTCCGTGACCACGTCCACGTCCACGGGGGTCGACGGTTGCGACGTCAGCTGTATCGCATACGTGGAGTAGCTTTTGGACGGCGTGGGGTAGTAAAAGTGCTCGAGGGTTTCAAACGGAGTAAGCGCTCGCTGGTACGTCGCGACATGGGCCATACGACAAGGCACCAATGCGGACGTGATCATGAACGTACCGGTCCACCGCAGTGAGATCGTGTCAGTTCGGACGACCTGCACCGTGTCGGAGGTACTCAACTGGTTCGTCACGACGTTCCACCCGTTGGCAGCCAGCGTCTGGACTTGTGAGCTCCAGTCGTACGTGGCTACGATGTGCGTCCACACATTGGGCACGCCTCCGACCACTGGCCCCAACAACGTCGTGACGACGCCACCATACCCCCGCAATGTAAAGAACGAGGTTTGGTTGGCAAACACGCCGATGTCGTACGAAGCTGACGGGGAGGCCGCCACGTACGCGAACAGGACCACCGTCACTGGGGGTGCTACCGTTGGAAACGAGAACCAGAACTCGACGGAGAACGAGCTGTCCCCGGCATTGAGGTACGACTGGCCAAACCACTGGACACGAGCCAGGGGCGGGGCTGTCAACACGAGGCTCGCGTCGTTGTTGACCAAGGCGTACCCGAGGGGCCAAGTAGTTGATGTGCCGAACGTGGCTCGCACGACTTGGACGTGGCTGTCGGCGTTGGCCTGTTGAAGTCGCCAGTAGCTTAAGGGCTGGTCCCGAAGGATGATGGCACGATAGCCAGTGGGAAGCAGCACCACGTCTTGCGTGGGAAGCGAGGGCGGGGGCACAAGGAGGGCAACGTCGAGGAACCCAGACGCAGCCAGCGTTTCCCCGACAATGCCGTTGGAAAAGCTATCCAAGGCGCAGCTGGGGCACTGGAACACTGCGCATCGATTCTGACACAAAGGCGGTAACGCTGCAGAAAGTACGCCGAGAAAGGACGACGTACACGCACACGGGTCCGTGGACGACGCTGCTGTAGGGACCGTACGGACAAGTTTTGAATCGCCGTACACTGCAATCGAAATGGCACTCACGGGGTCGACAGAGCCACCACAACCGGACGTGTCAAAGCTCATCTGAATGCTCTGCAGCTGCTGGACGGTGGAAAAGTCTACGACAATCCACTCTCGATACGACGATGACGTGGCAGCACGGTAGCAGGATGTTCCCCACGGCAGCTGCATGTCAAACGATTGAGGGGAACTCGTGCTGTGTATGCGATACGGAACAAACGCGCTCGACGAGTCCATAAAGGTAAAGGCGGGTAAGGCTATCGGTCGTTGGCCAGACCCGCGAAGCTCCAGCAGGACATAGCGCGTCATTTCCGCACGCCATCGACGCACTTGAATGTCCTGCACCGTCAAAATCCCACGGCCAGTCAATTCCACGCGTAAGTACCTAGCAACATCGCCAAAGTTAGCATGCATGTATTCGTTTATAGCCACGAAAAACACTAGATGGTCGTACCGGCCAGATGCATAGGATGGCCATGTCACTTGTGTGGAGAAGCACGCGCCAAGTGCCTTTGTGTATGACACTTCTTTCGTAGGATCGGGTGTGTTTGTCATGGGTAGCGCCGACAAGCGCAGTCGGATCTAACGTTCACATGAGTATTTGCATCACACTATATAGGGACGTACCGATGTGAACGACGAGATGGATGTTGCATCCACTGGCATGGTGGGACTGGCACATGCAACCACTTCATCCAGCGTCCGGCCGAGCGTCAGTGCAATGTCGCCAATCGACACCACCGAGCCCAAGTCGAGATTCCACCAAGGATTCGTCTCAAAAGACGTCGAGAACGGAACGGACCCGACGCTGCTTTGGGTGGTGGGCATGCCCGCCGCAAGGTTGTCGTCCCCGATGTACGCGCCGGACGCAAACCCCCACGAGGTTCGCACGAGGCCGTCGTTGAGCTTGGGTTCGAGCAGCGCGGTGGTTGACCGTACGCCCCACCCGTCGTCCGTGGTGGTAAGGGTGATGCCAGGCCCATAAAACTCGACTTCCGCAAGGGCGACCGACGCAAAGATGCGAATGTAGAGCGTGGCGGCTTTCACAGGCCAAAGAAGGACTGGTCGGAGAATGGGCAGCCGGCGAAACGCAGTGCCGTGGGCTTGAGATGTGGCCAGGTCCCACGTCGAATTGAACGGATCGGTGGATACCACGACGTCCAGATACCCCGAAGTGACACTTTGGGGGAGAAAGATCGCGAGTGTGCCCGATGGCGTCGTAGTCCCGAGGCTGGCCTGCCAGAAAGACGTGATGACGTCTCCAACACTCGTGCGACTTCCATCGGTCGTGACGTTTGCGATGCTGCTATTGGGCTGGACTGCAGTACTGGGCTGATTCCCCAGTAAGTTGGGAAAGTCGGTGGTGATGACCAGCATGGGCGGAAGGTTCTCTGGGTGGACGCGCGAGTGCATTTGCAAGTTGGCAGGGTCAGCCACGATGTCGACACGGAACGACACAACTACCAACGGCGATACCGCCTTTAGCAACGCCGTGACGTCAATGGAAAGGGTAAAGTCGGGACTGAGGGTCACATTTTGCTCGATCGCAGTAAACGGCAGTGTGGGGGGCTGTGGCGACAAGTCGGCCTCGGACCAGTTGCTCGCGACCAGCAACACCCGCAGCAACGCCGTCGGGTACAACGCGTTGTCATTGGTCGCATTGAGTTGCGTGGAGTTGACCACGTCATACTGTGTGCGGAACAGGACAATCGACGCCGACGACATTGCACCGTGGAACGCAGTCCAGTGCAACGTCGGAACGTGAAACTTGAGCAGCGTCATGGACGCATCCGTCAGTAACAACACGTTGCGTTGCACGCCCAACCCTGGCACCACCTAAGCCAGAATTTACGAATAAAAGTACTACGATTTCTTTTACCGTTAAGCTGTCGATGCAGGTCCCGCGCACTGTTTCCCCAACATGACGCGTGGTGGCTGTCGACTGCTTCAAACTCAACTGCGGCTTGGACACAACCACCCCCGCGACGTCGTTGTCGGCTACGACCACTTGGATGCGGCGATGGTTGGGGGCCTTGAGCACCTAAAATACCAAGCATACTGATGGCCAAGCCCCCTCATTGGATGCATTATAACGTACGGTGGGCATGTCGTTGTACGGAATCGGGAGGGGCATCGTGTCTGGGAGGTTACTCGATGGAAGTTCTTGCTTGAACCAGAACGCGGCGTTCGCGAACGACGACGTGCCAAAGAGAGTGTGCGTGATGGACGTGTTCAAAGTACCCTCCGCGACGGCGTCGTCGACAGCAGACACGGCGAACCATTGAGGAACAAACCAGTTGGCGTTGGTAAACGTGAGAAACGGGGGCGAAATCGTCACTTGGGCCGACGATTGCGCGACCACGGACACCTTCAAATTCGTGAGATGTGTTGGCAGGCAAGGAATATTAACGTACGGTGTCGGAGCTAGCACCAGGTGGAAACACCGATGTGAAAAAAGCAGCGGACAGCGACGTCCGGCACACATTCAAGTCTGTGGAGGGATCGCAGAACGACACCGTCGACGCCACCCCCGACACAGACGGAGGCGCGTGTAGCACGACTGAGTACTGGCTGGTCGTCCCGCCGGGACCTTCTGCCACTCGAAGCACTGGCGACGACAACGTGATAGCTACGACAGCACACACAAACAAGACGTTTCAACAATCACGACAAGAACCATCATGTCGTAGCCTTGTTTTATACCTGGGTCGTTGTCAAAGATGGTCACGGCCATCTCTGGACGGGGAGCGAATGACGCCATGCCGCAGTTCCACAACTGGCGCTCCTGCACAACTGTACTCGGGAGGACACGAAAGATGGCGTCGAGCACGCGGTCCGCCATTCCCGGGGGCCACGCCTCAAACGCCCAACGCTGGGTCGTGAGGCGCTGAACTCCAAGGCACAACTGCCACAACAACTTGAACGGGTCTTGGGACAGCGTCGCTAGACCAGGTCCGTCCAGCACGCCCTACATCAACATTTGCGATACAGCATTGCCTCAAAGAACGTAACGATAGGCAGGACATGCAAAACTAAAACGAACCGCAAACGTGTAGACGTAGCCAAGGACGTCGGCTGGGACAGCTGTGAGCACCAGCCCCGACACATTGGTACTGACGGGGTTGGGGTTGGGGAAGTCTAGACTTTGCACAGTTTGGCTCGACCACGTGCCGCCCCACCCGTCGTCGAACGGCGGCGGGTTGAACTGAACCTGGCGCGCCCATAGTTCGATGGTTTCCCCGTCGGCATTCACACTGGTGGAGGTAGACGACGGCGGGTTCGGATTTAGCGCCAAGTGGCCGTAACGAACTGGAACGGCCGAGAGGGGGACGGCGAGGGTTCCCCCTCCAAGCTGCACGACCGAGACGCCATTTCCCAGCTGCGATACAGTTCCATTCGAGGCTATATCGCACACGAGCTCGGGCGAGCCAGCCACGCATGCCGCAGTAGTCTAAATGCGCAATAAGGGGGTATGAGGAATATTTGTAGTGTGACAGGGTCAAATAGCGCACTGTGACCTGTATTGAAGTACATTGTCCACGAGTGACTGTGCTGCCGGCGCAAGTACACGTGGCAACGTAAAAGCACGACGGCTGGCGCGTGTTGTAGAAACAGTCGCGACTGGTCGCGTAGTGCCAAATGGAACCCCCCGAGTGCACGCCGCCGAATTCGTTTTCGGACACGTTGTCGTCGACGGCACGCACGACGATGTACTGTACCACGTTCCAATTCTGCGGCGTGAACACGACCTGCGACGGCGTTAGCTGGGTTTGCAGCGGCCGCATCGCCACGGCCGTCACCGTGACGTTATACCAAGGCCGAGTCGTGAGCACCACCCTACCCATCGAATTGTTAGTGACTTGGTGTAGATATCTATATATATACACAAGGAAGAACACGCTTACCCGTAGCGATCGGTGCCCCCACCTTCCACAGCATACACGTTCGACCGAGACAGAAACACACCCGGTCGGTCGTTGTCTGTGACGGTGAACGCGACGGACTTGCCCAGCATAAACGGCGTCGACGGCGCAAAGTGCGGGTCCGAACTCACCACTGCGTGCGTTATCGAAGCGTAGTGCGTGTCTTCGGCAATGCTGTCGTCGATGGCAGTCACAGTCACTTCTTGGGGCAAATTCCAATTCTCAGGCGTAAATACAAGCCCCGCCACAGGGGCGAAGTTCACTTGCGTGAGCCTGCCTCAACACACAAAGGTTATTGCATGCTGACTACGATCATGTATTTCATTTGACTTACGTCTCGCCGCTGGGGCTAGGGATAGCAGGACTGGACATCGCGACTGTTACTGGGGCAGACGGTCTCCGATTGAGCACCAAAGTGTACCGACCGGTGGTAGTCGAAGGCGCCTCGGAGATACGCGTCTGGACGGGCAGGATGGATACCCCTCCGTCCACCACGTGGTTCACTAGCTGCCCTTGGGGGCTAAACATAGCTAGAAACTTGACTCGGGTAGGCCCCCTGCCGCCACCACCCGCGACCACCACACTTCCGTCGTCGCTTTTGCTGAGGCCATAGGTAAAGTCGTCGGTGGAAGTCCCAAACTACAAATAAGCAGTGTATATGAGTGCGCCGTTTGTTCAGCCCATAGTAGCCATGCGGCGTACTTGTCGACCCCAGAGTTTGCGCCCGGCGGTGGTGTACTTCATGACAAATACATCGCGACCACCAAATTGGCGGTACCCATTAGTCGCGTGAAGCTGTTCGTCCAGCGCGCCAAACGTGACGCCACACACATACACGTATTCGCTTCCGTCGGCTTCGGTTTGCAGCAAGACATGCCGCGCTTCGTCGTGCTGCGGAGTGCCAATCTACGCCAACGCCTTAACGAATGTATGATGAAGAGTGCTGGACGCACTTGAGCAATCCATAGACGAGTGCCTGTGGGCGACAACTTGATCAAAAACAAGTCGAAGCTGCCCGCGTTGCACGTGTCCGCCGTCACATTGCCCGTGGTTGACCCCACGACGTACAAATTCCCCGCCGCGTCCAACACATTCGCTCCCACGATCTCGGTGCCCCCAGACGCGAGTGAATCGGACCACGTGATGGTGCCGTCCGCGGCGGCGTTGGCACTCGTCACGCGCACATCTTCGGTATTTGTGCGCCTGACATGGTATCAGAGACGGCGATGGTTGTTAAGGAAGGATATATATCCCACCAGTCAGCTGACGAGAGTTTCTCGGCCCTCGAGACGTAGTAGGTCGAGCCATCTGTGGCCACGTCGTTTGCTGCGCACAACGCCAAGATAGCAAGCAAACACCCCACGACGACTGCGCGCCATCCGGCCATGATGGTGCGACGTCTTAGGTGGGTAACTGCGTGCAAGTAAATGTTCGACAATTTTCCATTTGTTCCATCGTTCGCCATGGTAATATGAGTTTCTCCATTTGCAGCAAAAGTAGGACTAATGGTACCCCAACGCACCCCAACGCACTTGACAAGGGCATGGCACATACTGTAGTTGCGTCAACACCTCTCGTCATTTTTGTTGGCAGGCCGCGCTCGCGGAAGAAAAACGTGCGTGTGGCGTGCCACGTCATCCGCATACGTAACCGGATATATCCGTTACGGTTTCAAATGTCGTTTCGACCTTCTCCAAGTTTCAAAACGCCACGATGCCTATCATGGCTTCGTGTCGCACTTGGCAATCACTGTGAAAATAACAATGTGGAGGTCGCTTCGACTGTGCACGGCGGTCGTGGGTGTTGTGTCGGCCAATACGGCGTGGACAGTGTGCAACCGCAAGCTGCTCAAGGACGGCGCGCTCTTCTTCATCCGAGGGGTCAATTACCAACCTGCGCCCATCGACACATGGAGCGGAGTGGACTTGCTCCTTCGCCCAGAGTTGTGGCAGCGAGATCTACCGCTCCTTCGCAACATGAACGCGAATGCCGCCAAGGTGTATGCGTTTACGTCTGGGAACCCCGATGGACACAACGCGTACTTGGACGCAGCGTTCAACAACGGGTACTTGCCCATTTACACGATGTTTTCCATCTGGGTGTCGCCATATCCCATGTCGGCGGCCGTGGCCATCGACAGCCCCGACTTCGCGCAATTCGTGCCCAAATACGAAGCCATGGCCAAGGAAGTTGCCTGTCACCCAGGCACGATGGGGTTTGTCATTGGCGGCGAAATGAACGGCATTTGGGTGCGTCAAATCTCTGGTTTGTACACCACAAAAACGTGATCCCAATGTCTAGGAAGTGAAAACGCAGTTGTTTTGGTCCAAGTTTAACGCCCTTAGCCAAGCTGTGCGCCGGGGCATTGCGTCAGCCAACTGCGCGTCGCCGGCCCCCAAAATCCTCACGACCAACTTCATTGATGATTACGCGGCTTCGGTCACGTATGGCGAGCAGTTTCGGGCGGACGTGGACGTGTGGGGCATCAACATTTACGACAAGCGATTTGGGTCGGACAAAATGCTCGTACACAGTCGGGCTACGTCCCGTCCGTTCTTGTTCGGTGGTATGTCCTCTCAGAGCTGCTCCGTCTACCATTTGGTTTTGACGAACACTATTTTATGCATGTAGAATATGGGGTGCCGTTTGCGTCCAACTGGAACGAGGCCATCGGTACGCACAACACACTGTTTACCGCACTCTTTTTAAACCATCTATGATAGGGGCGGCGTCGTGGGACGTTGGCATGTACCTCATGTCGATGGCGAATTTGCTTCGTGATAGTTTCCTGGGCAAAGACCCCAGCGGCACAGCGGTCTTGGTGGGTGGTTTCATCTTCGAGTTCACGGACGAGTGGTGGAAACAAGGCTTTCCGTCGTCCCAAGAGTTTGGGTGGGATCCTGCCCCCATATTCCCCATGGGGTACGGGTCGGAGGAGTTCTTTGGCCTGTTTTCCGTCGCTCGTGGCCCTGGTACCATGTCACATTCCCCTCATTTCTTTCCCTTGACTGTGTTTGTAGGGCTAAATAAGATTTCCCCCCGCCAAGTCGTATCTCAATTGGCAACCCTTTGGGCCATATCTGTGGATGGCCAATCGTATAACTGCGCCAATCCGACGCCCCCCGCCACCCCCCGCGGGGTACCTGTTCTTCGACTTGACTTGAATAACTGTTTTGTGTTAGCCCACCACGGTGGTGCAGTCCTGTGGGAAGGACCCCTCCAATGGCGTGGCGTCATTTTCTGACTCGATTTGCTCGACACCGAATGGAGCTTTGGGGTGTCAAGGCACCGGTGGTCACTGCCGCTATTGTCAACTGTACCCGACCCCCCAAAGCTCGCCCTACGTCGGCTGTCCCGCCACCTCGCGACCGCCGACGACGACGACGTCATCCATGACCTGCGCCAATCCGTCCCAATTGTGCCTTAACGGCGTGGCGCTTCTCTCGAACCCCCAATCGTGCGAGTTTGGCACGTGTCCGACGACCACCTGCGACGCCGACCCCGTCATGCTTGTGCGCGGTGTGGGGATGGTCTACGACGCCACGTGCGTCACTAACAGTGCCCAAGTCGGCTGCGACCTCCTTCGCCCCGGGTGCCGCTACTGCAGTCCACCCAATTCCGTACGAATACATTTTATATTTCGTTAACTCGGTGTATAATTCTAAAACGACGGTATGACTAGCGCACAGCGTTTGCACCGTGTCCGACTATTCCGTCCAAGTCAACCTGCGTTGCGACGCTGAGCGATCTCAACATGGGTCTCGGGGTGGTCGAAGATGGGGGTTGTGCTGGCGGGGGCATCGGGTGCGATGCGACACGGCCCACGTGCCGGTATTGCAAAATGAAAGAGACAGCGCAGAGCAAACTGTTGAATGCGTGTCCGGGCGTGACCTCGACCTCTACATCGGGGTTTGCCGCTGCGGATGACAGCGAAAGTGCCGTCGAAGGAACTAGCACCACCAACAACGCTTCCACAATCCTACTCTTGGTGGCAACCGTTGTCGGTGTCGTGGTGGCCGGTGTGCTTGTGGCAAAAGTTGTCTTCCGCAAGCCCAAGAAGAGCGAGAAGCAGGGCGAGGTTGCGATGCATACCCCCTCGGGGGCTGGTATCTTGTAACACTAACTGTACATGCATTTTGCTATGGTTCACACACACATTGCTTCCATCCTTGTCATCGTCCTTCTGGTGCATTGATGGCACATGGCATCGCACATAGAAACACACACGGACGTATCCGGAGGTTATCCGGAGGACTGTTTTATTTTATCCGAATACATTCTGTGAGTTATTTTTTTGGGGAGACTTTTGGTTGGTGGGAGCCACAAGTCAGTTCATTTCGTTCACCGCAGCGCCGACACGATGTCCCCGATCCGCAACCTCGTGAAGTACCCCAACCGCGTCAAGGAATTGCAAGCCTTGTTCACCAAGAACCCGCACTTGCACGGTGCCGAGAACCCCACCTTCTTGAAGGGCCCCAACGACCAAGCCATCTTCTACACGTCCATCGCGTTGTTCGGCTTGGGCACGGTCCAAACCCTCCGCGGCTGGGTCAACATGTCGTTCGGTTGGGGCAAGGTCGAATAAATCTTATATACGAGACCTTTTGCATGCCGGTGAAAGGTGCGATGCGTGCATTCAAGACGTGTCGACATGGTGTTGATGCTTGGTGTGCGTGTTGCTTGTAGTTCAAGGCCTGTAACGAAACCACGTACAAGATTCGAATAGTGGACGCACAGACCTTGATATGAATAAAGTTGCCTGTATACTTGCGTCCTTGTTGGTGCCCTCCAAAGTCTGTCTTCGCCATCCCACGGATACAGGAGATGTATTTATGTTCACTGGCATGGCAATTTGACAATCCGCTGATTGATTACCTGCTCCCTGTACTTTTCTACATATCGGTAGTCAAGGAGCTCAAGTCAAAGCTCTTGCCTTGGCCAATTCGACAACTATGAGGCATGGTCGCTACGCCTCTCATCAGGCATTTGCGCACATGTGTACTTGGCCGATTTCATCATGCGGCAAAGGTCAACATGGCCATCACATCGGAATAGAACCCTGGCCTTGTGCTTGAGAAACGCTAGTATCCGATGTTATCCGTAGCGTTGAGAAATCCACAATCGACTTAGCAGTCATGGTATACCTCGGTGCGTTCCCAATGGCCCACACAAGAAACAAATCAGACTTTGCACTACATCGGACATTGCACTTCGCCATATGCTCCGAAGTACTCGGAGTATCAAGAGTGGCGGCGGCGGAAGGCGAGTGACAGTGGCGGGTTGGCACGTGAATCATCGATAGAATGTTGTGGAGTCATTGAATAGGAATATCTAAACCACATACAATTATTAAGGGAATGTCAAGCATTTAAAATAAATCAAGGACACCGAAGGAAGCGTCGTCGGCAGCAAATCAAAGCATCGACGTCGGGATGGCCACCGCTTACGCCTTGCACAAAGCCATCTGGGTACATGCGCTATAGAACCAATCTATCCACGACGATGTGAATCACGCTATATGCTGCACAGGATGGCAACGTAGATCAAGTAGAAGACATCCTTCGCTTGGCAACACCTGCTGACGACAAGGCCGCCAAGGAACTGCCGCTGCTACAAGAGCGTGATGGCCTCGGCAACACACCATTGATGCTCGCACTTCGATGCGTCCATGCGTCGCAGCTTGCCATCGTACAGCTTTTGCTGGTACGAAGGATGCTTCGTTGCTCTGTCGGTCCAGAGGCTTTGACATGCCAACGTTGGTAGAGTTATGGCGCCAACACTCACACGCGCGACGCCGTGGGATGGTCATGCGTTCAGAACGCCACGTTGTGTGACAACGACGACGTCCTCACCGCGGTCTTCCTCCAAGGTATATCCTCTCCATTTGACGAAATCCCCCATCTCAATGTTCCATGCTGTGGTCGTCAGCCGAGAAGCAAACGGTGGAGCTGTTGACGGCGCGATCCATGGTCTTGTACAGCATTCTCCACGACATTCCCGACTTTTACGTGGAAATCAAGGTACGACCTACTACATACATCCCTTCCAACTGATACGACGTCGCATAGATTGAGTTGACGTCGTGGGTGCCGCTGGTGTCGAGGGCGCTGCCGTCGGACACGCTCAAGATCTGGAAGAAAGGGAGCAACATTCGCTGCGACTTTTCCATCAAGGACTTGCATAACACGACGTGGAAGCGCGGCCGGCTGTCGCACCTCCTGCGCACATTTCCCGATCGTCCAGGTATGTTGTTGTTGCCTGCGAAATTGAGATTACATGCATCTGTTGAACGAGGATGCCTCCATGCATTTCACATGTGTGATGGTGCTGCTTGGTTAGGCCAAGTGGTGTTACTCGACCACGATACCCGCACGGCCCAAGACGTGTCCAAGTTTATCATGCATCCGTCGAAAGAAGCCATCGACACGAGTCTCGAGATGCTTTACACGTGCAAAATGTCCACTTATCACATGGACATTGCCAAGGTAGAGTGCAAGCATCTCTCATTCCACCCTTCCTTATGGGGATGTGTGTGCCGTAGATGCGACTAACCCCAAAGAAGCGCGTGTTCTCGTCCGCCAAAGCGACCGCGGGCGTGGGTGGAAAGTAACGCTGCGCCACCTCCCGCCGTGGTTGATGGATTCATCGTCGGTGGGTTTCCTTGGTAGGAAGTACGAGATGCACCATGCCCGCGTCAACCTCCGACTGCGTGGGGCGTCGCAGCCCCAGTGGACACCGAACGACGGCACCACCCCCGTGTCAGCGTCGACCAAACTGGCCAAAGCCAAAACGTTTTTTGCCCACTTGACCCCCAAACAACCCAATTCATCGTCGTCTCATAAAACAACCCTACCCCCCAACACGCTCGTGGTGACGTCGACCGCGCCGTTGGAAATGCATCTACAGGTCCAGCCAGGCGACTGCCTGCACTGGCAATTCACGAGCTCTGTGGCCGCCGTGCAGTGCAAAGCCGTCTTGTGTGCCAACAACGCCATGGTTGACGTCGTCGCCAACCCGTACGCTGTCGCAGATCACGGCCTCGTGGTGCTTACGTGGACCAACCCGACCAAGAAGAAGGCGGTGGTGGCCCATCAGATTGTGCATCAACGCCTTTGCGCCCCTCCCGTCGCCACAGAAGACGACAACCAAGTCAGTCCGCGTCGGCAATCCACCGCGACCGACGGCTTGTCCACGCCGCCGCTGTCCACCAGAGTACCCAACCCCCGCGTGCAAACCACGGCCTTCCATGAGTACTTTGCGACGGATCCGGAGCTGCACGAGAGCTTCCGCGGCCTCACGTGCCCGCCGGACGAGCGGTCGTTCTCCAAGGAGCTCAAGGGCACTGTGACCATGTCCGAGTCGTTTCCGTTCAAAATGTCCGACTTTTTACCCGTGGCGCAGTTCCTCTCGAGTCGCGCCGAGCAGTTTGACTCGTTGCGTGAGTTCTTTGAAATGAAGTTGCCCCCGGGGTTTCCCGTGCGGTTCCACCTGCCCATGCTGCTCAGCGTGCGCGCTTCGTACACGTTTGTAAACGCTGGACCGTGTACAGTACCCGACAGTCACTTTGACATGGCCGACTCGTACACTATAACATAATAATACATTGTCCTTTTACCCAAAATTTGGTCAAATCTATCAATCGATTTTTGTCCTGATTTTTATATGTAAAGATCGTCATGTTTCACACTAATTTAAGTCACACACTATTGTCTGATTAGTCCTATGGATTATCCGGCTATTACTTTCGTAATCCCCAACTATTGAAGTACTTAAGAAATTAAGACTTACGGGACAGCATTGAATATTAATACCAACCTTGTATATTGGATGAAATTGGATGAAGTTGTGGGATGAAACCTAAAGTAGTGACCAAGCCTTACGTTGAGCGCCCGGGAGGCCGTCTGCGCAAGCGCGGCGCGGATCTAAGCTTCTCACTTCACCGAATGATCTATCTTTTCTTCTTGTCGGGCAGCGGCAGGTAGGCCGTAGGCCGTGCCGTATACAATGACCTAGCATTATCCTAATTTACTCTCATCTATACTAATTATGATATGACCTAATAATGGTGGATGACGTTGGGACGTTTGGATGACACATGATACTATCACGGATATTTGAAATCCATATAAATAATTCGAAGTATTGGTTGAAGAGTAGATTTGATTGGCCACTTGACCCGTGTTCTGGGTTTGATTGGTCGAGCGATTCTGGGTTTTGATTGGTCGATCGATTGTCTGCCAATTTCCAATTTCGAATCGACTTGACAATACAAGGAGTAGTCAAAAAGTTAAGGCTGTGCACAGTTATACTGCAGTGCACAGCCTTAACTTTTACTGCTACGTACACAGTGGATAGACACATAAAGTTGTTCAAAAATCGACTCGTAACGATGCAGGTTAAGGATCGGTAGATGCCAGTTGAGCGCGCAGTTGGGCGAGTTCAGCTTCAAGGGATTCAAGATGGAGATGCAATTGGGTCTGTCGAACGGCCTCGTATGCCTCAGCACATTCCGCGGACACCGTTGCATTTTGTACAACGCCAGACGCAATGTCGAGCGCGGCAACGTCGTCGGCCGAGCATTCGACGGGGTACTCGGTGGACGGGAGCACCTCATCCTTGCGGGTGATCAATGCCTTTCCACCCTGTTCCAACGCAAACAACTTGTACGCGGTGTGGCATTCTTCTGACACTGGAAGGTTGGCTGCGACCGCGATCATATCAGCTTCCGAACACTCTGGTGGGTACGTGAAGTGTCCATGGTGAGGGGCGCCGACGCCTGGAGTTGTGTCGTCAATGACGAGAGTCGGCATCGTCGACGCAGCATCCGATTCATGCTTGGTGGATTGGACGAGCGCGTCCACAGCGCTCACGTCGACGGAAGGCTCAGGGGTGGTACTTGGAATGGGCTCGGCTACTGGCAGTTGTGCATTTGATTCTACCGTCGGTTCTGCATCGACAAGTTCAGGCTCGCCTTCGCGTTCTGGCATGGTAAAATTGAAGTCATCGCCGACTTCGGGTCGAAAGCGGCTTCCAGTATGAATGGATGGAATTGCCGTGACCACGTTCGAGGCGGCGTCCGTGAGACCGAAACTCTCGGGCTTCGTTGGTGACATCACGAGCGGAATCAAGGCCAGGCAGCAGAGCAGCCCTCCGACAAAAACCATTCGCGTATGGCCGCGGCTTTGATAATACGAGGACGAAATACTACCGTCCCCAAGCAAGCCCTGGCCAAGGGCACCTTTAGGTTCCGAGTACCCAGCTGCGGATTCGTCACTATCTTGGTACGAGCTCAATAGGGATTGCATGCTTTGACGTCAATTGTCGACTGAGCATGCCTTAAACCAGCACACGAATGTAACGGTCGAAGATCTTGAAGTTGAAAGGTCACGAGGCTATCCGGATATCGAAGGTGGCGATAATTTCTAACTGGAAGAGCATGGAAACATTCCTGATGCCGCGTCCTCATACGACCCTTCAGTTCGATTTCATCCTGCCGCCGAGGACTATAGTAACGTAAATATTCCTTGTTAACCAATTCTCTACTCATTGCGCTCTCGCACAATTCCGGCGGAATTGCTGGAAGGATCGATGGCTCCATCGTTTGTTTCCTCTGGTGGCGTTGACTCAACGTGAGACTCGTCGGACATGGAATGTTGATCTACCGGCAGGTTTTCATTGTCGGAGTCGTTGGCCTGGACTTCGGGTGCACGAGTCGCTTGTTCGACGGGACGCCATGCCCGTGGCCCTTTGACCTTGTCCGCTGCGATTGCATGAAGCCCGCTGCTTGACGAGATGTGGCCTCGATGACGTCTTTGATTGTTGTTGGTTGCCTGAAAATGTCGAAATTGCGATAGATCGTCCTGGACCGCATGGTCGTTCGACATTTGCAACTCCTTCCTTGAGAACTGCAGCGAGCTGTGTTGTCGGGGCCAAGACACGAGTGGAATGATACCAATGCAAACAAGGCAAACGACGACGAGGGCGTTCACAAACAGTTGCTTGCCATGCTGCCAGTTCACATGCAGGAGCCGCAGCTTGATGACGACGGGGCTTTTACCTTTCATCGGCGGCAGCTTGTCCTCTTCGCACACGGTGACAGTGAGGAATGGATTGAGTTCTTCAGCGTCGTCGTATCGGTGGATCAAGAACGAGGCGCTCATGTGCTTGCCGGGTCTGCGGAGTTCGATGATTGTTGAAGTGTACAAACTCTTATCGCTGCTCAAGGATTTCGTTCTCATTAAGTACGACGGTTGAAGTGTTGACCAAGCTTACAGACTCTCAAGTACTACTACAGGAATTGGAATTCGGTTAAGTACGCTTGCCCCAAGATCTGAAATTGCGACATACATTTGTAAGTTGCATGAAACTGGTGCAACTTATAAACAAGACCACAGCAACGCACTTATATGCAATGTGACACGATCAAGGGCTCGTAACATGGTGGATTGCCAAATGGCAAGATATTGGTAATTCGATTTCACATTAGACTGGGGCTGCCAATCGAATCGACGAAGCAAAATCGACGAAGTAACCGACGAACCAAAGTAGTTATAGTAGCCAATGAAATTATCGAAAAAAACCTTTCGACCAATCAAATTGCAGGCGTATTCGGTGCTTCTCCATTTCACAAAGAGTTCAACATTGCATCGGACAGACAGTGAGTATATTTAGTTCAAGTAAAATGACATCTTCTCGACGATTTCAGGTGGATTTGACGTCGTTCGTCGAATGTACCGAAAATACCAAACTTGAAAGCTCAATAACTAAAGTTATACAAAATGGTTTTGAGGTGTGGATCAGTGCGTTTTTGGACAGGTAGTGTAACAAGGTATAAATCCCGACCATATCAACTACGAGTTGTTTAAAGCATCATCATTTGGGATAAGAACTTCATAGGAAGAATATATCCCACACCTACTTGCATACAGGATACTTCGACTTTAGGTGCCTGTAATGGAACTGCGCACAGTTGAAATCACGTTTCAGTATCCGGCTAAAGCTTTTATACGGATGTGGCAAGAATTCATTACTATCCGGATAATGCTTTTATACGGATTTGGCAAGAATTCATTAACTTGTTCGGGCAGTACTACTGGTACCGGTAGTACGTAGGAATACAGTACAGTTTGAGGCGGATTCGATAAATCCTTGAGTTGTGTCCATTCATTCGGCATCTACTTCGACGTACTTCCTTATCTCGATGCATTAACAATCCCTTCCAAATGTCTCATACTATAGAACTGTTGAAGGCGGTCCATTTAGAAGCATTTTTCAACGTTTTGTACTATAGGTACAGTACTTCGTAGTACATTCGTTTGGTGACCGTCAAAGGTCGCCAAAGTTAAAATGATTGGAATAAAGATTTGGTTTGAGGTGTGGATCAGAGCGTTTCTGGACGGGTTGTGTAACAAGGTATAAATCCCACCATATCAACTAAGAGTTGTTTGAAACATCATCATTTGGGATAAGAACTTCATAGGAAGAATATATCCCACACCTACTAACACCTTAGGATTTCATGTTTTATACCTACAAAATGTAGTGCGCACGTGTGAAATTCACCTAAACTATCCGTTTAAAACCGTTTATCCGGATGTTTCATGCCAACCATCGCGTGCACAGCGCTGAATTACAGTACGATGGCGTCATCTACGTTTGACACTTGGCTGGCTACGCGGCTTGAAGAGCTATCCGTAGATAGCGAGGTACGCCAGACCACCACGACGAAGTTCATGATGTGCATGCGTAGGTGTATGGTGAATACGTGAAAGGAATTGTGGCTGACACAGAAACCGAACTTGAAGAACGATGCTCCACCGCTGTGGACATCCTGCGAGCAGTCTTGGGCGACGATGCTGCGTTGGACACCATGGCTGGTGAACTTCAAGCCAAGTGGACAGAGCACGAGCTCGAGGTTATCGAGTTGAAGGCGCAGGAACTGGAGAAAGCCAAAGCTCGCCACCTGGTCGAAAAGATGGAAGAGCTGAAGTTGGTGGAGCTCAACAAGCAAGCCGAGGCCGACAAAGCGCAAGCTCGCTCGCACATGTACACGACAGTCCATCCTGATGAATTATGTCGCATGATTTCACGGTGGCAAGCAGGTCCAAGGAAGAACTCCAGCAGCGCGAGAAAATCCTGCGCGACTATGGGGCCGTGGGCGACTCGGAATTCGACGAAGACGGAAACGTTATCTTCAAGGGCTCTCAACAGGTGCTCTTGTGTACGCATGGACAATGCATCATCTCACAATTTTCGCATTAGACGGAGGAATTGAGCGTGGTCAACACTAATCGCGGCCAAGGCAAGGTTGCGCAGCAAGAATTGCGGGACAAAATGAAGAAAGAGCACGACGCAAAGGTGAAGCGAGAGAAGGAGCTCCTCGAAGCCGACCGGTTGCGCAAGGACAAAGCCCAGAAACGAACCCAAAAGCGCGAAAAGCAGCGAGGGTGCGGCTAGGCACTCAATTGAATCGATTGACTGACAGTGAATAAGCAATTGACAATCCATCGATCGATGCCATAATTACCAAGTGTGTTGATTTCGGGGGTTCGGGGGTTTAATTATCCGGATGATCGGATAATTGTATTCTACTGCCAACATGACGACAGCCAAACCAAAGCAACCTGCGAGCTTTGCATGGCTGGTGAGGGACACCCTTGTGTCCGTGGGAGTGACGTACTTGACACCAGAGCACTTGCGCAGGTCCAAGTCCAGTGATGCCACCAAGAACAGCGACCATACAGCATTGGTAGGTCCACTGGCAAATATATGGGGATCAAATTCTCCATATTATGCTGTTTTGCTAGAGCTCCTTGTTGTGGAGAGCATTGCACGACTTGAGTATGGTAGTTCTGGCAGACTTTGACATTGACACTGTCGCGCTGGCCATGGAATCTCAAGCGTTAAGCGACGACGAGAATGGTATCCAGGTAGGTCGTAGACACGTCCATACATACCCCCGTGTGCCACAACTGGTCTTGTCATGAAGGAAGTAGGTGTGCATTGACGTGTCGCGATACTACCTGTACGATTGGGGCTTCCTCTGCCACGATTTCTACTCGTCGTCGACTCCATTGGACGTCTCTGGCCCAGTTCTGTTGTCGGCCTTGGCCTTTGTGTTGACCTATGGCGACTTTTTTTCACGACAAGCATTGGCCATCGTTCGAATCCAACTAGCCTGCGACACTGTGTGCATTCCGCCCTTTCCACTTGTACGCTTACATATGTGTTGCGTATTCGTCGCCCTAAAGAACAGTGTAGGAACCTCCTCTCCAAGCCCCTCACATCTCCAATGCCATTGCCGATGCCGTGGCAACCCACCAACCTACGATCGTACACCAGGTCTGCGACAACGTTTCCAGCCCTTTTCTCGCTAAGCGTTCGTTCGTCGTAGATGGAATCACAGCCATCCGTTTCGGATTTGGTGCATCGCGTTCACGCCACGTATGGCGCGTTGCAGTACAAACTTCGGGTAATCAATAAATAACCTATCGTACACAAGTAGAGTATAAACGTGTGTACGAACTAACCACCTTGAAAACCCACCATAGGAACTCGATGCGTTAAACGAGGCCCATTCGAAATACGTTCACAGGATTCACACCACGCAGCAGGACAACTTGGGTGGCACCTAGCTAGCTCCATTGACCTGGCTAACCCAGGACACCTACCGGTAGGCAGCGTCATTTTGATGGACACACGAGCTATAGCCGAACGCTTGTCGTCGCCATATATATTATGGCTCTTGCGGTGTCCGGCACAGCTACAGGTTCATGAGCAAGCCCTGGAAAAGCGGTTAGTCAATCGCCATATATATACAGCACGTACTCGTATTTCAAACTGGTGTTCGGTGTTCTAGGCTATCAAATTTCGCAGATGAAAAGCTGTATTATCAGTGGATGGTGTCCGTGGTGGGCCAAGTTCGGCCAAGTCCGAGGTAGTTCTGTCATCATCCTAAGTAACCCTGTGGATAAGCTTGATATCATTGGATTTTAGTGCCGTTCATCATGTGGACACGTCATCGAGATTTGCCGATTTGCTGGCGTCCGCTGCAACTGCCAACGATCATTTCCAGTCGCCCCCCAACAAAGAGCTGTACCGTGTAGTGTCCAAGCAGTGGAAGGATATTTCTGCACCGGACAAGGCCAAGTTCAAAACCAAAATAGACCGTGCGATGGCCAAAATGCAGCAAGAACTGCCGACTTTGAGCGCGTTGTACCAGCCCCTCCCGAAGAACTCGACCAAACCGCCGCCACATGATGCAAAAAAGCTAGACGAACCGGCCAGTCCAACGTCGTTGAAAGTGGCCACTGTCCAAGACCAAGTGGACGCCCTCGTGGCGTTGATGGAGCGCCGATTTAAAGTAAAGTTAGTGTAATAACTACTCGTACCAAATTCATAGCACATATATATATTGACACAAACTCTACGGTAGTATGATGGTTCGTTTCGATGTTTGATGACAACTCAACGCGTTGTATAGAATACTAGTATGTATTATTATGTCGCGAGGAAATAATCCCGAGGAAAATCAGGTTCGATTGTTATTCAGGTGTAATTGTTGCAAAACTACTCTATGGATTCGATTTACACAGTCGTCCCTGTGGATTAAGGACGGACGTGTCGAATGTTCGGCATGGGAGCTTAGCCTCGCTCTTGGATAGGTACATAGCGGCATGAGTCATCTCATCTCTCGTCAGGCGCTTTATCCGGATAACGTTGATCATGACATACTCCGGAGTAATACCTTGGAGATACTGTACCATCCCTGTTTACTTCAACTTTGTCATTGTGTACCCATTGAAGGGACAGCAGAGAATGTAGGCTCACATGAATGGAGCAAAGGAATGGCATAGGAGTGACCTGTACATGGCGGGCAGCAACATGTATGTGTACTTCGAAAAACAAGGCATTTACCGCCCAAACAGCGCTCGGTCTCGGTCGTTGCTAGCAGCGTTTGTGCGTGTCCATGGTCGCATGTGCCTGTCTTCGTGGTTGTCCTTGGCCACAACACGCAGTTTTTTGCGTCAACGTCGAAGCAACTTTCGTTCACTATTGGTCTGTCTGTACTACTGATTCTCGACCAACTTCAAGTCAAGTTTTTGATGTGATGTCTTTAGTATTTACTATTCATTTCTTGTGGTCCCTGTTCCTGTTCCTGGTTGACCCGTGAAAACTTTTTGGAGGCACCATATGGCAGCACTGTTCTGTTGGGTGAAGTGTATTGAGCCAATCAGATCGGTCCATTTTTGGAATGTCAAGGGGCGGTATACTGGGGACCAAGTTGTTTTCCGATTTCTCCGACGCAAAGTCAAGTATACTTCGATCCAATACAAATTCTGTTTTCCAAAGGATGTGCCACCGCGGCTTTGTACCAACTTCAACTTCTGCACGGTACACATAGTACAGTACTAGTCCACCGTCAAACAAGGGAACGTGGCAAGGAACCAAGTCGCGCGGAGCGTGGAGGTGGCGTCGATGTCCGTCGTATCGAAGAGAGGTCCTTGGGTAGGCCGCGAAGGCCGATGTTTGGACCAGCTGCGAGTAGATATATTTTTCTGGGCTCAAGGGTGTGTAACGTTCGGGTCGGAATGTGCATTCACAGTCAGGTGCGAAAACAACTTTCCATTTTACAATTTGCACTCCAGGCCACACATCACCACGACCACCACCACCGCCGCACATTCCAACATGACCACGCACCACCGCCTCCAATCGTTTGACGAAGACGCCCAGCACCTTCTGGAGGACGGCATGAAGCAAATCACGGTCGAAGCCACGGCCAACACCAAGATCTTGTACGGCAGCGAAAAGTTCACGTTGTACACGATTCTGGTCATGTGCCCCATCACCCACGCGTGGTGGATCATCCAGAAACGGTACTCCGAGTTCTTCTCGTTGCGCCACAAGTTGCTCAAGATCGCTAAACGAGCGTTGAAAACTCACCCCGAGGTGGTCCAGTTACTGCAACCGCTGGGCGAGTTTGCCTTTCCCAAGAAATACTTGCGCACCGACACCCCCGAGATCATGAACGAACGCCGAGACGCGTTCAAACGCCTCACGTCGACGTTGCTCGCCATTCGATCCAGCTTTGTCCTGCACATGCTCCAAGCTCCCCAACGCCAACTGGTGTTGAACCAAGTCGTGGACACCATCGAAGCATTCCTGTCCGTCCCAGACTGCCAGAAGGAAGGCGAACTTCGACACGCGTCCATCACTAGAGTCAGTGAGTCGGTCGAGGAAAAGAATCTGCCTGCGTGCGACGAGGAAATGTGCCCCATCTGCCTCTACGACTTTGCTGATGCGCCCGAGTGCACTTTGCACTTGGGATGCGGCCACGTGTTTCACAAAGATTGTGTCGTCCCGTGGCTCGAGCAAACCATGTCGTGTCCGCTATGTCGCCAAGAATCCACCCACGGAGTCTTGTAATTATTTTCAAATTAATTAAATTATTCTTAATCATCATTACCAATTTAAACGAAATGTAACTACACGCCAGCCAGCCAATACATCGCTTAATATTGCACGTTGTATTCGACTAATGCAATCGTTGCTTCGCAGCTTCCATGCACATGTAAAGGAGCCAGGTACATCAGCCGTGGATGAATGGCTACAAATCGCTTCAGTTACTATACAGGTAACCTTCACCCAGTGGTACTTCGATTTGCATTTAGAATTTGTAAAGGTATAAAATTTCGAAGTTGACTTTTGAGTGTAACACTATTATGGGACACTAGTAATTTGTATTGTTACACAATATTTTTATTCTCAAGTACCCCTGGATGGAGTACACCCCAATGACGCTGCATTGGTGGAATTTGTGAGAGCTGTACAAGTACATCATTGAAAATGGGGTCTATGCAAAAGTTCATGTCTACTTAGCCGGGAGCAGCGCAACGTTGCCAAGACCCAGTTTGGATATGCATCAGCTGCAGAAGTGCTTCAGTGATCAAAGTTTGACGTCAGCTGCCACACATATTCAAACACGCTGGTGGTCTCATTCACACGATACACTAGGAATACGTGAGTACCTCACGACATTGCTCATGCAAGTTTGATAGGCCTTGGCTATACTCGCACTGCAGTGCGAGCCCAACAACTTCGTGTTGGTCGACGAAATCAAATATCTCTGCGCCTCGTTGGACCCCGTTTCTGGGCGTGCCAGACTGACAGAAAGCCAAGGAAGAGCGTGGAATGACGTATAACAATGTTCAAGGCGCTCATCAACACACACACGTGCCCAATGACGACGAGTGTGTAAGTTACCTGTGCGACTTGGAAGACAATGCCGAGAAATCTGTGGGGGTACTGCGTCTCGGGTGCGGCCACTCGTACCGCAGCAGTTGATGGGAACATAATCTAATAATCTGCCCGTTGTGTCGACAACCTGCCGATGACGGGGTCATTTATAGTAAGGAGTAAATTGACATAAGTATTTGTCGAGCTACACCTTTATCTGTGTGGTTGAACTGACAGTGAGCCAAACTGCCTTGCCATCACCTTGTAGAACAATGAGTTGATCGAATTGGGATATCATGCATGGGACGCAATCTCGACATGTGAAACCCTCCAATGCGACCAATTTGCGCTTTGGGTGTTACGACAACCACCCAAGCAGAAATGTTAAGTCTTCTAAGCGCATTTGTACTCGGGCCGATCCAGTACATATATACTGAAATGCAGTATAGATTCTTTTTATCGAACCGCTTGACAGGTAAGACGACGTGAAAAGCGTTGACACAAATCTGGCAGTGAGTCGGTTGTAAAGTCTGGAACAAAACTATAGCCGCACCCCAAAATTTTCAAGTTGACATTTTTGTTTTTGTCCATTACAGAAGCCGCTAGTACCATTCGACGCATATTAAAAAATGATTACAATCTACACTTAGCATTACTATGGACGATCAATGGTATTTACAAAAAATGATAAAACGTGTATTTTAGTTGGTGCAAAACTATAGCCGCACTTGCGTTTTTCTACCATATTTCATGTAATAATGCTCTGTTTTAGCCGTAAAATAGGTTAAAATGACGCTGACGAACAGCCGATGACATGCATATGTTTCAACCACCCATTCGCTAACAACCCATGCCCAGGGGAACCAAACTGACCCCACAAGAGGTGGGCCAGACCCAAGCCTACAAGTCACTTGGAAAGTCCAACCGCTGGATTGCCCAGGCCTTGCAAAGAAGCGAAAAGGCCATAAGGAACCTTTGGAAGCAGCAACATCAACCCAAATCAACGAAACGGCCAGGGCGTCGCCTACTTTTTAAGCGGCGCGACATCCGAGGCATATTCCGACTTGCAATTCACAAGCAGCAAACCTCGCGGAAGATTGCTGCCTCGTTAGACCCACAACCAAGCCACACCACAATCATTCGTATCCTTCGCAGCTCCAAGTTTGCAAAGTATCGGAAAAGAAAGTCATGTCCATGGCTCACCCCCGCCCTCAAAAAAGCACGATCGAATTTCGCAGCTAAGTATTTTAATAAATATGATCGTTGGCTCGTAACGATCTTTTCGGACGAAAAAAAGTTTAACTTAGATGGTCCCGATGGCTTTCAAAGCTACTGGCAGGACTGTCGAGTCTTCCAAGAAATGTACTCCAAGCGCGTCGGTGGTGGCCGAAGTGTAATGGTGTGGGGGGCGTTTTCCAACGATGGAAAGAGTGAACTGGCCTTCCTACAAGGCAAACACAACTCCATCAAGTACTGTGAGATATTGGCGACTTACCTGCTGCCATTTCTGGCGACCGTCCAAGCAAAGAACGTTAGAAATTCCGTCGTGTTCTAACAGGACAACGCGTCCATACACGTTTCAAGACATACCATGGCCTTTCTGCAAGCTGCAGATATTCCTACGATGGGTTGGCCCGCTCTGAGCCCCGATTTGAACCCAATGGAATATGTCTGGGGTGTTTTGGCGCGCGCCGTTTACGCAAATGGACGTCAGTTCGACAATGTCGAAGATTTGAAGTGCAAAATTCAGTTTGAGTGGAACCGCATCACTTTCGCGTATTGCAGGACCCTCGTGGACAGCATGCCAACTCGCATGGCTCAAGTCATCTTGAAAAGGGGTGCCACAATCGACTATTAGTGCACATATTGTAAGTGCGGCTATTGTTTTGCACCAACTAAAATACACGTTTTATCATTTTTTGTAAATACCATTGTACGTCCATAGTAATGCTAAGTGTAGATTGTAATCATTTTTTAATATGCGTCGAATGGTACTAGCGGCTTCTGTAATGGACAAAAAAAAATGTCAACTTGAAAATTTTGGGGTGCGGCTATAGTTTTGTTCCAGACTGTATGTTGCGTTGCAAAGGGACAAAATACCAACTTGAGTATGGGATTAGAAATGCTTGAGAATAATGAGCGAATGATCCCTCAATTCACCAATATCAAGGGACTAGCTGGGCTCGTTCGATTCATCATGTCATTCTCAGCCAGCGAAGAACAAATTCGAAGGTTCCTGCCATATATTTGTGTGATTTCCAATAAATCTCCCCTTCAACGAACTGAAACCAAGTGGACGAACTCCATCTTCAAGCTTCGTTAAGCCGTAACTAGCTGCTACTTTGCAATGCAGCATTCCACGACTAAAAGGTCGGGCAAAGTCGATCGCACCACCCTTCCCTTTTCCTCACGACGCTGTCGCCTTCAGCATATCTGGTCTCGATCTTCAACGAACCACAACCCCTTCAACAAATCGAGCTCACATGTCACGTAGGATTTGGAACAGTAGCCACATCGCTAGAAATCGGAAAACATCTTGCAGTTGAGTATGAGGGCGGAATGTAGGTCTTCGCACCCCTCGTTTGTGATTGGCCAGGGCGGTTGAAGGTTCCAAACCAGATGGTTCTCAAATTGCCATTATTGATTATTGTAGGGTTCACATTTCCTTTTGCGAGGTCGTACAGTACTCACAACACGTAGCCGCCTTGCACGTCAAGGTAGCGCCCAATCTGTCCACGATGATGTCTTCCTCCACAGATCCCAAAGATTGGATGGAGAGTGCCCACCACGACCTAAAGCAAGTCAACGTGTACACCAGTGCCACGCGCATGGTGCACGGGGACAGTGACCCGTTCACAGTGTACACTGTCATCGTGTCGTGCGCGTCGACCAAGACGTGGTGGGTCATTCGGAAACGGTACTCGCACTTCCACGCGCTGCGGCAAGGCCTCGTGCACAAAGTGCGAGCGATGGCCAAAGCCAAGTCAAACACCCTCGCCGACGTCCACACGTTGCTGCAACCGTTGACGTCGTTTCCATTCCCCAAAAAGTTCCTCCGCCTCGACACCGATGCGATCATGGGTCATCGCAAAGCCGCGTTCAAAACCATAACCACCATGCTCATGCAAGCCCGCTCTGCCATGCTCGTGATGGCGCGACGCCAAGAGAACAACTCTGCGCTAGTCGGCGAGTTGAAGGACTTGCGCTCAACGCTGGACACGTTCTTGGGCGTCCCCGACCGCCAAGTAGCCGAGGAAGAGCACCGCATGGCGACCCCTCTCGTCGGTAGTTTTACCTCCATGGACCTCCTGCATACACACGACAATGACTGGTGCGAAGATGACGGGTGCTCCATTTGTCTTATCGCCCTGAAGGACGCCACTGACAAGGCCACGGGGGACCGAGTGCTTCGAATGGGTTGTGGCCATGCCTACCACGAGAGTTGCATCGTGCAATGGCTGGAAAGGAAACTGTCGTGTCCGTTGTGTCGTCAAGTTGCACAGGACGGCGTGGTTCATTAGTGGTCGCCGTTCATCGTCAAGTAATGTAGTCGTCAAATGTCCAACTCGTGTCTGTTTGGGTCGGTAACTCGTTCACTGTACACCTCGCAGTTATGTAGCTACTAGTACGGCTGCAGCCTAGACCATACATGTCAACTACTAACGTTACTGGTAATCATGTGTTTATTTATTGCGCACATGACTCGGGTTCTAGCACATTACTACGTAGTATTTTTATTGTGTTTGGTCGACTTTTCTTCCTTCGAGTGTCCAAACGAATCAATGATAGGTCAAAATTCAGGAACCAGTGAACGAATCAAATTGCTAGATTGAATTTCCATGGGCATTTCGTAACGGAAAGGTCACGGCCGCGAATCCATGCCAAGTGGCGAACAGGCATTCCACGGCACAAGTTGCTGTGACCAAGTACAACATGACAGGATGAGTGTGTCCGTAGGCGCCACGGCCTTGCTAGTCAAACAAGGAAGGCCAACGCAAACACCATTTACAGTGTACGTGCTCGAGGTCAACTCGATGCCAACCAACACGTGGTGGATTCTTCGCAAACGGTTCTCCCAGTTTCGTTCGTTTCGGAGCGAACTCGTGGCGTTGCACAAGCACTCGCGGCACGCGGCGCAGCTGCAAGACCTACACGAAGTCCTCGGGCCCGTTGTGTTGACACCATTTCCCACGCGAAGTCCTTTTCTCGTCGAGTCTGACCGCACCAAGCACCAGCGACGCGCTGCTTTGAAAGCGTTTACTGTCCAGCTGGCGAACCTGCGACAAACAGCTCTATCGCATGTGACACCGTCGTGTCAATTGAAGTACCTCAGCAAGCGTCTGGACTTGTTCTTGCAGGTGCCACCACCAATCCACTTCCAAGCTGAAGGCAACTACCGGCGGGACGAAGACTGGAGTAGCTCGCCACCGCCATCACATCATGCACTACCGACACGATCGTTGGACGTGCCGCAGTGCTGCGTGGTGTGCCTGGAAGACCAAACGCTGCAGGATGCTGTGTATCTGCACTGTGGCCATGCCTTCCACAACTCATGCCTCTTCCAATGGCTCACCGACAACCAGTCGTGCCCGTTGTGTCGTAAACACGCCAGCTACGGTCACCTTCTCCCCCCTCCTGCCCAATCCAACTAGCAAAGGGCCAATGTTTGCGAAACGGTCGGTAGTCACGGGTGTCCATGGATGATTCGTCCAACGTGCAAAATACTCGTTAAAGTCAGCGTAGACCAGAGTCTACTTGAGTCAACATGCAGATAGAAACGCTCGTATTAGGGAGAGTAGTTCACCACATACAATAGAATGTCGACCATCTTTGGCAACTCAAAAACTGTAGATTACCGGTAGTATGGTTAAACTAACTACAATTACATCGTCACGACCCCATGTATCCGTGGCAACCCTCGGCTCTGCACACGGGGCACGTCGTGTGGGAGCTCAGCCACTTGACAATGCACGCGGGGTGGAATCCGTGGCCGCAGTGGAGTTGGCGATGCTGAGATGAGTCGTCGAGATCTTCTAAACACACTGAGCAGACCGAGTCCAACACTGGCGATCGCTCCATCAACCGAGGACCGTCCAGGAGGATGCCGGGGGACTGACCCACGTGGTCAAATGTGGCTTGACACCGCCGAAGGCGCGCCAAGAATGTGCCTGTTTCGTCGCTCAGGATGGCGTGGACGGTACAGCTGATCAAGTAGCTCTCGTCGTATGACGCCGTTCGGCACAGTGGGCACGTGAAATGGCACTTGGTCCAGCCGCCGACGCAGTTCTTGTGGAACGTGTGGCCACAGGTCAGCTGCACGAGACGCTCATCGCCCGCCAAGTCTTCCAAGCATATTGAGCATTCCACATGACCATTCGTGCATTCGTCGTCACTACGCGATGTACAAAGTCGATGCGAGCCAGCAACGGTGGTCGACACCACTTGGCGAACCTCCTCCTGAATCTGAAGCAAGGGAACATGGAGGAAGGTTGTGAGGACGGAGTAGAGCAGGTCGACTTGCTCGAGGACATCGGTGTCTACTCTCGACATTGCAAGGGCCATGCACTCTTGACGCATGCGTGCCAGCGCAGCGGTGAACGTTTGAAGTCCAGCGGCGCGCTCGGCTTTGATTTCGTCGTTGTCGCCCTGGATCTTTCGTCGCGGGAACTTCAGTAAGGACATGGGGCGGATCATGGACGCGACGGGCTGGGTAACCCCTGGAAGATGAACGAGCTGTTGACGGATGGCGTAGCATTCAGAGAACCGTTTGCGTAGGACCCACCACGTCTTGGTTTGAGGCGAGCACAGCGCCAAGATGTACGTAGTGATGGGAGTGCATTGGGCCCAGCGATTGAGGTCGAACTTGACAACAAACGTGGCCGGGTCAACGTTCAACGACGACGACGGAGTTTCCTTGGTGGATTGCGTGGACTGGTGTCTGCTGCGCAGCATGGACAAATTTGAGATGACCTGGTCAATTTGATTTCGTATTTTATTCACTTACGATAAATATATACTTGGAGAAAGTATGGACTAGCATTAAAATACAGCACACAAATACGTGACCTATTCCCATCAATTGGCAGCATGTTTCAGTTTAATCAGATTCCGTGCGAATCAACTTGTGTTTTGGCATTATTATTCCCGAGTCAATTTAATTCAAAATACCCTCATCGAATCTGACCACATCCGTGGGACTAACCATTCAACACTGCCCACCAAAACAGACTTATACATATTTTGACGCTCAACACAGTGCTTTATATCCATCGACTAATAACTCACCATCAATTTGACTGCGATAATCTGACGCGATTTTGCAAACGTCGCAGCAGACGAGATTTGATTGGCTATTACTTTTCCGACGTATTCTATTCGACAGACAAGGATCCCAAGTGCTTTGAGAGCTGGCAATCTATATGTATGTACGTATACTGGTATGCTTTCAAAAGTGCTCACAATCCAACTTTGCACCACCACAACATGCTGCTTGATTTCATTTCCCGTGCTGCGATGGAATCAGTACCGCGTGTCCACCAGCGCGCCCTGAACTATAACTCGCACTACATGTATGTCGGCTGTACCCGTCGTACTACATGCTCCCTGTGTTCGCGATCATCGTGATACTTCTCGTGGTGGGCCTGTGGGTGGCCTTCGTTGGCCTCACGTCCCAGCGCGTGTCTGCCTTCCTGGGCACGTTTGTGGCGGTGACGATACTTTCGGCGTATGACCTGCACTACTGGCGCAATGATTGCGTTTGGGCTTGCGTTGGTGATGGTGTTCGTCCCAGCGTTGCACAAATATGGGCCGTTTATGGTCGGCATGGGGTTCGGTGCGACCGTCCTTGACATCGTGTCCACCACATTCGTTGCTATTCTTGACACATACGTTTCGTACGCGATTCATTATTGGGTGTTGTTGGTGTTGCTGGTCGTCGTAGCCCTCGGGTGTGGAGACAAGAACGACACATTTCTCATCATGGCCACCAGCTGCACTGGCGCGTTTGCTGTCTCCAGCGGCATCGTGGCTGCCATTGACGTCATCTTCAACCTGCGCAGCGTCGTTGCCCATTTGGCAATCTTGCTCGGTGTTGGCGTCGCCCTGATGGTCGCTGGCATGTTCCACCAAAAGGCTGCCTTGAACAAGCTCAATGCGCCCCTCCCGATTGCCACCCCCGTCAACGACAAGCTTGATTATTAACTGGTCCTAACAGTAAAATAACTAATCATTCATATCTATTTTCACTCCCAAAAATTCGACTAGGCTCATGTTGGCCACAGTACGATAACATACTACTATTAATAGTACGATAACATACTTACTACTAGTAGTTAGTATATGTGCTCATGCCTAATTTCATGCCATGTATCCACTTGATTGTCCTTGTGGTCTTCGGTAAATAGTAGTGGTAAATAGTCGCTTATGCACCGGCACATCCCAAAGTTCACTTTGCATATGATTTTAACTTTACAGCGTAATATCAATATCAATATCACTTTGCATATTGATCTGTACATATTTGACAATATGCCACAACACACACTCGCGCAATGGCTTTTCAAGGAGTAGGCGGGAGGTGACCGTAGTGGGACAACCGCCGGCAGATTGGACATGTCGTGTGATCTCCCAGCCATCCGTAGATGCATCGGCGGTGGAACGCGTGCCCGCATTCGAGCTCGAGGGTATCCGGATGATGATCCCGGCCTGTGAGGTCGTCCATGCATACGGCACACGCGATATGTTGGTCCAACGCGTCGTGATGATAGTGGTGAGGATGACTGGGGGGTATCGGGGAAAGCGACGCGGCCGCGTCTTGTTGCCGAAACAGGTCGAACTGGAACCGCGCTTTGTTGAGCAGGTACAGCAAATCGTGGCGACTTTTCAACAGCACCCGTTGCGTAACATATTCGACCATGAACTCTTCGTCAAACGACATGGTTCGGCAGAGAGGACACGTGCAGTGGTCTTTGAGCCAGCCGCCGACGCACTCCTTGTGGAACGTGTGGCCGCATTGCACCAGTTCGAGCACTTCTTGCGCGCCGCGGTCCACTCCGTCGAGGCAAATGGCGCAAATGACATCCGTCGTACCTTCGTTGGCACTTTGCACGTTGGCTGGCTTGGTCACCGAGGGGGGAATGTGGGGAGATATCTTGCCAATGACGTGATGCAGTTCCTGGTGCACTTGAGGCTCGGGCACTTGCAAGAAATCTGACAGGTCGTGGTACATGTGATTGATGTAATACACAAACAACGAGGGCGGAACCGGGGTTTGCACTGCGAGCACCATGCTGCTCAGTCGGATGGCCACCAACAAAGTTGAAAACTTCCGAAGCCCAACCAAGCGCTCGGCCCTGATATCGTCGTCATCGTCTCGGAGGTGTTTGCCTGGGAACGTGGACATGTCGGCTACTTTTTGAAGCAGTCGAGTGACGTTGGCGAGGTTGGCATCCCGGGAGGTGGTTTTCAAGAGGCGCAAGAGTGATTTCCGCATGGCGTCACACTCGGAGTAGCGTTTCCGAATGACCCACCACGTGTGGGTCGCTGGACACTGCATCGAGAACACGTAATGCGTCACGGGTTGGTACTGGAACACGCGATTGAAGCCCATTTTGATCACCAATGCTGCCGGTTGCACTTGCGGCATGAATGTCGGCACGGTAGTCCAGTGATCGCTGGGAATCTCCTGGTTGTCATCGTTGGATGATGTATTAGTTGGCGTGGCGTCCATGGCGGAGGTTCTTTGGAGTTTGAACTGCTACATACAGCAAAGTGGTACGAAGCATATGATTGGACCATACTTTGACAATGAGCACCACTGACTGGTTCAAAGTTTGCTGCCTGAGTATAAACATGCAGCCAATCAACAAGAAGGAAGTCGAACGAAAGAAAAGACCCCATTTTATCACACACTAACAGTCCGCGACAGCATTAAGCTGGCATTCATTGAAAAATTATCGGTTTTTCCTGTATTTTACACTAGAGGATGCGTAATAAAAAACTGAGTTTGAACTCTGGCATTGAAACACTTTGAAACAGCATATCCTGTCACATATAACGTTTCAAACCAAAATCATGAATATAATTTTACCCCAAATATAGATAACTTGTATATCATGATATTTGGTTCCACTGCACTTGGTATCAAATGGTAGAGGCAACACAATTTTCATTCCTCTTTATTATATTGAGTATTGATTTATACAGTTTATTGTATCTAACATGTGCGCAATTTCCTGGGGTACTTTGGCACTTTAACTTTGCGTTCGGATCATCCCGCATCGCCAGACCAGCTTACCCGGTATGGCCCACTAGCAACTTGGATATTCACGTCCACAGGTTCAATTAAGAAACCCGGATGTTAAGGTTTGCTTGATGCGCGGTTAACATAGGGATATTTCCACCTTGAACTTCGACATACTTCGAAGTACATAGATAGTACTGTATGTGTTTTTCATACAAAAGTGTGTTTGACTTATTAATTTTGGTCTTCGTCATTTACAGTGCGTGACAAAATAGGTCCTCACTCACAAAAGAAATCTCTAGTGTCGTCGAGATTGAGAATCAAATGGCATGTCAAGTACTACTTGGAGGTGGCTTATGGGGCGTTTACACTACTACTCTAGCGACGGATTGACGACGGTAAGGGTCGTTGTTACGACACAACAGTTTACTCGTCGTTGGTTGTGCCTTCGGTGGTAGCTCTGCTCCCAGGCAACTTGGCCTTCCAATGCGTCGGCTTGAGCTTCTTCTTGCGCAATTCGCCGTCGTCCGAGTCCCCGTCCTCTTCATTTGCATCCCCTACGCCTCCCTTCATAAGTCTCTTATTGAACCATCTTCACACACTCACCCAAGACGGTGATTTCCGCCAGCTCTGCAAACGTGTGGACGTTCGGGATGTCCACAACCTTGACGCTGGAGGCGCCCACTTCAAACAGTTCCAGGAACGGCGCCTGCTTGTACGCGACCGCGAGTCGCCCGTCAGCCAAAAACTGGACGTGGGTCGGCTGCGCCTCGCTCGGCACTTCGTGGCGAATGTGCCGAAGCACCTTGTCTTCGATGGTGAAGAAGTCGACGTGCTTTGTGTTGTTGCGCACCACCGCCACGTGATTGGTCAACGGACACACGGCCAGGCCGCACTGCTTGGTCTCGTCGGCGGAGGTTTCTACACCCGTCAAGCTAGCCGAGTCCAACAACTCACCAGTCGTCATCTCCCACAGTTTGAGCGTATCGTCCAGCCCCACCGACACCTACATAATGCATGAGCTTTCGTGTTGATGGAAGAGTTAGGGCGCACAAAGAGCGACGGGGTTGTGACGCTGGTGGCTAGCTTGCGCACGCATTGGCGATGCCCGAGGCAGTAGCTTTGCACGAGCGCCGTGGTGGGGAAGTTCGACACGCGGATCTTCTCGTCGCGGTCCGCAGACAGCAGCAACGTGTTGTCGGTGTTGATGGCCTAATCATAGCATCCATGTTGGAACAACGTTCGAGTGGTGACGATGGACTCACCACGTCCGTGACGATGGAGGTTGTGTGCGCCAGCAAACTCTTGCCCTCGTGACTCGAAACATGGGGCACGGGGTACGCCATGACTTCGCCGGCATTCACAGCGATGAGCACGGCGTCCTGTTGGGTGCCGTCGGCCAACGTCTTGCGCGAGGTGACCATACTTGTGGCGTTGCGAGGGACTTCGCGGGCCTCCACCAACGACGTCTGCAAATGACCCGCCTGTGTATCGACCTTGTATGCGGCCAACTGTTTGTCTTGAGAGGCCACGAGCAGCACACTGGCGTCGGCGTTGAACGCTAGCGCGACCACTTGGGCGGCCACAGAGAACTGGGCAGATTCCTTGCCGCTGTGTACATCTCTCAGACGACATACACACACGAAGAGGTATCATATCAAGAGCTGTGTTGTACGTGGAGACGAGGATGTGGGGGCCATAAGCACAGGCAAAGACACTGGCGCGCGTTGCAAGCACCATCTTGAATGCAGCGGAATTTGCGTGATAGTTATCCGGACATTGAACCGGATAACTTGCTTGGTTGCAATTGGCCAAAGCAGCCTCTGCATACTTGATACGCTCAACAGGATATTGAATCTTGGAGGTTTTCTTGCGCCAGCCACAACTCGCAAAGTCAGTCGAACCAACATGGGCGCCGTGACCAAGTACCCGTACCCCAAGCACACGTGGTCCCCTGCCGGCGGGTGGTGGAACCAGCCCAAGAACTGGAAGAACCGCACAGCCATCCTGACCGGGGTTATGGTCTTGCTGATCGTGCCCATGACTGTCTTCTCCACCAAGAACAAGACCACGTACAGCCATCTCCCCAAGGCCGCGTCGGACGACGAATAGATATTCACGTAGCTCCGTCGTCCCGTGATGCACGTCTAACCACATCAATTGGAACACGGATATGTGCTGCTGTGTGAGATACTATATTAATGGTTTTTAAAACTGATGCCGCGACCGATCGATCTCTTTCACGTCGCCGTTCACGGCGGCGTCCTTCTTCTGCTTGGCAAACGCGTATGTGTTCATCCGAGCGAACGTTTGCTTGTTCATTGTTTTCTTCCACAGGATCTTGTACTTGTCAAAGTCGCCGCCGCCGCCGGTTCCGTCCCCACTCGTCGCTGAGTTGGTGGTGTTGCCCTCGTCGCCATCATCGTCGACCATCGACGACGACTGGTTGCTGGCTCCTCCTCCATACCCGTATTCGACGCCGCCATCGTCGTCGCTGCCGCCGTCCTCCGTCACGCCGCTCAGCGGCATCTCCCACGATTCCTCGCCCGTGGCTTCGTTCACGTAGTAAAACGTGCCCGGTGCTTGCTTGCTCTCGACTCGCGTCCACCGACCTCCTCCTCGACTGGTTGGCGTTATATTTGTCGGATTGCGCTGCAGCTTGGCTTGCACGAGCCGCGTGGTCGCCGCTTTGGCCTTGCTAAACCCGAGACTCATGGCCGCGCCGAGCATTTGCGTCGACGGCGCCGTCGGCGCGGCGAAGCCGCGCATGCTCTTTTGCTTCATGGCGCGGATCTGCTTGGAACTGATGGCGCCCTGCGAGTCGTCCAGCACGGCTTCCAGGATCTCTGGGTTCAATTCGTCCAGCCCGTCGTTCGTGTCGTCGTTGAAATTCGGAGACAAGTTCTTTTCCCGGCCAAACTCGGCTAACTCGGCGTGCAGCTTGGCGATGTGCTGGTTCCGAGCGTGGACCTGCGTCGTGACATCGCCCACCACCTGCCCCAGCTTCTCGAGGCTCGCGAGGGCGTCCAAAGACTCGGCGATACTCTCGTACGAGTCGGACACGAACGATGCTTCCTGCGCCGTCCGACAGCTATTTCCATCATGACGTGACGAAGGAACGTGCGCAAACCTACCTGTGGGTTGAAGCCATAGCTTCTTTGACCGTGTACTTGGCACGACGAGTGATGTGGTCCAACTTGTCGGTGAGCTGGGCGACGGTGGCCTCGCTGGCAGCTAGCCGCTCTTTGAGCTCCTTCAGTTCCACGGCTAGGTCGTCTCGTTGGGAGTCCACTTGGATGTACCGATGTCCTTGCAGGGCCTGCATCCACTTCCTTGCGTCGGCGGCGGCCGCCTCACCGCCTTCACGCTACAGAGCCAACGGTAACGATAAGACTTTGGCTGACAGCGTTCGTTCGTACGTACGTCGTCGGTATCAATGTCCAGGAACAGCGGTCGGATTTTCTTTTGCTCGGTGGTTTTCACGTCTGCTGCGACGCGGAAACTGTAGTTGGACCCCCCCACGCTGCGCTTGATGCATTGCGAGTTGAGCCGGACGTCGGTCATGTACTCCATGTCGATCACGCCGCGAGGGTACTCATCCTTTTCGGTCTTGTAGTAGTACAGGAACGTCGATGGCTTCACAACGAAGAAGTACTTGCTCCATAACCCCTTCTCGTTGTCTGCTTCCTTGCGCAGGTACCCGCATTTCGTGCCCAAATGCGCCAGTTCTGCCGCCGAAGTAGGCGGTGACCCGCGGATCTACACGCAGGTATCATATTAGTAGTACCCATGGGAAGGGTATTGCGTTGGGACAGACACACCTTTTGCTTCGGAGGCCCACCTCTTGACGATTCCGTGAGGCCGGTCACCGCAGGTGATCGCGCGGCGGACATGCTTTGGCTCATGGGATGCCGTCCTGATATCAGCCTTGGACGACACAAGAAAAACGTCACCCGCCTGCCTCTAATGGAGCCTCTGCCATCTGTAATGCATACAAAACCAAGATAAAACAGAGTGAATGTTGTTCTTCAATATTTCTCACCACTTCAACCTGTCGGGGCAATATTTATTTATTTATTTGATGTTCATGATAGACAGTATACCGTACAAATTTACGTGGGGGCGTAGAAAACGAACGAATGAACTCTCGTATTGATCATAGTAAGTACTTACATTATCAGTCGATGGTACAAATTGTACTTCCGAGTATGAACTACGTACCAGTAGTGTACGCAACTTGTTTGAATGTGCCTCATGTCTGTGGGTACATACCGATACTAACAGTAAAACTTCGCCCAATGTGCCGTTACTCGTTACACATAGCTAGCCAATCGACAATACGAGTAATCGATAGACTAACATGTACAGTACTTTGAGGTATTTCCACAATTCTGATCGTTTTTTACTGTTAGTTCATACTTCGAAGGACTACAGTGTATTGTACTCCACAATACTAGTATTTGATACTACACCATTTTGCGTTTAATTTCAGCTTTTTTTCAAAATATTTCCACTAACCTCCGATATATTTCACCCAACCTCCGATATAATTCACCCAACCAACACGTAATTTCACCTTTCGAAAATATATTTCACCTGACCACCGGTATATTTCATGGAAAGTAAATTAAAACCAACCCACGCAACATCTCTACGACATCTACGGCTCAAGCACCAACGTCCATGTCTTCCATGTTCTCAGCACGGACATAAAATGGCTCAAGGCGGGCCGTGTACACATGCAAACGATTCGGCTCAATTCCTAATTCATTGTTGAGTTACATCTTTTAAGTTGTCCGTCTGGCGGTGGCCCCATAAAGGCCGCGACTCGTTCGCGCAAATATGTCTTAATGCGGCTCTTCAACGCCGGCCACATATTCTTGATCGGGTTCAACATCGGGGAGTACGGCCCTAGTTTTAAGAACGAAGCGTCTTGACACGTCATGTTAGCGGTCAACAGAGAGACGTACCGGAGTTTGTGGTGCAGGGATGGCCTCTTCCATCGAGCTCAGATTCAAAAATGGTGAAAGCGCGCGAAACTCTTCGCGCGCTTCGATCTTTCTAGATTCCCAGCTCGAATTATAATGATTGTTAGGTGAATTATATTTTCGACAGTTGGAATTAACCGTAGGTTGGGTGAATTATTACGCAGGTTGGGTGAAATATAACGGCGATATTTTTGTGAAATATAATGGAGGTTGGGTGAATTATATTGGCGATTCGGTGAAATATATCGGAGGTTGGTGGAAATATATCGAAAATAAGCTGGAATTAAACGCAAAGTGGTGTAGTACTGAAATATATTTTAATAGATACCAGTGTATATCTTAATATATCGAAGTGGTAATATTGTTTTGAAAGTGTAACGTCAAAGTTGAACTATTAAAATAGTACTAGTACAACTTAATATATCAGTTTCTGAATAGCTCAA